GGCTTAGTATCTTTCTTGTGGCCTATTTTGTTTGATTTATTTTCTCGATCAAATTCTGAAAGAGCCACGGAACAACCGGAGGTTTAATCAAACTTATTTGCTCATGATAGCGATAGACTAGTTATTTTGTTCCGTGAATCTACAATGTAAAAATAGTCCGACCACGTCTTCATTGTCAGTGAGCTGCCGTAGTAGAACAATAGGCAGATGGTTCTGCCTTACATCCAAGGAACACAGATAAGCACGTCACTCGCACCGATATTTCCAAAGGCTTTCAACGAGCAAAGTCAGGAGAGTGTAATCACATCATTTATGATAAAACTTCCTATTGATGCCCGACTTTAGATCTCACCCATTATGGCCCTTAGTGAAACGGCAGAATGATTCTTTAAATTTCTATCAAATTTAAGTATTTTTCTATGTATTTGAATCCTTAGTTGCCTGTGTTCATTTGCGTGAGCATGATCCATTGCACATCAGAAACGAGATCTCAGGGAGCAATCTGTTGTTGGTTGAAGAAAGGTGTTAACAGATCTTGCTTCCCAACCGGTACTCCTTTAGAACGAATAATATCGTAGGCGGTTACAAGATGAAAGTACATGTTGGGTAATCCATAGCCTCCAATGAATTGTGAAATTGTAGACGTGATGTACTTGTCCGGACCATAGGTGAACGTGATAATCGCTCCCGCTCTTGAAGTGAACTTATTTCTGTCCGAATCATTGACGACATCCAACGTTTTCCTGACCAGTGTTTTCATGCTTCCCAGTGTCGTCAATTCTGCCAGTTGCTTCTCCTCTTCAGCGCCGAAGTTCTTTGCGACATCTTCAGCGCCTTGGCAATGGCCAACGATGTCTTTAGCCATTCGACAGACCATGAAGACTTGGAAATCAAAGGGATACATGTTCGAAATGAGTCTAGCGTTGATATATTCCTCAACGGGAACATTGGCGGTCGAAGCATGGGTTTGAAGCAAATCAAGAAGGCTGAGAATGGCATTAAGAGCTGAAATGGCATGAGGCACTGTGGCATCGTAAAGGCTATAGTCGGCCATTGTATAGACTCTTAGATATCTGTTTGGTTATAGTCCCGGCGGTGCTGATAGGTTCCTTATGATAGCTTAAAGAACGGCCAAATCCATGAAACTGGTTATTGTGACGTGTCCAAGAATCGTCCATAAACCCCGCCTCGCCAACATGCCAAGCCGCTTATCAACCCCCTTGATGTGGTGGCAGGGGTTTCTTGCCCTTACTCCAAAACACACATGATAAGCCCACAAAATCATCCTACCTCTATCAATAAACGCCATGTTTTGAAGTTTGAAAGAAAAGGCTGGGCGGGAGACTGGGCGGGGGATGTTCTGCAGATGGGTAGAGGAAACGGCAGTTAAGGCCTCATCTTTGAATGGTGAGTGGCTACTAATTTGGGTTTCCATTCTTTGAACTTCAACAAATTCTTTATCATGTCAACCTCAAGTCTTTTTTAAGCTTTAAAAATTCGAGTGTATCTTAAGTTTCTGTGGCCTGTTAACATATTTCATCTCATAAACGGAATATTATAGCCAGCTACTCAAATAACGCGTTTGGGTTCATTTCTTGAACTACACACCATAGTGGACTTTGAGAGGGCCACCTAAGTCTGGCCCTCTGCCAGGTTACTAAAATCCCATTTCTCGACTAGGCCTCTTCCAAGGGAGTCTTAGTTATAAAGACGGAGTCTAATCCAATTCTTCCGTTTCAGACTCGCATTCGTTTGAATAGTAAATCTCTAGTCTTCCTGACTTGTGATGATCACATCGAGATGGACACACGAGCTTCAATGGTCGGTTTAGGTTGTATTATGTTGGTTTCGTAGTCAGGAGTGCAGTAAAGAAAGAAAGTCCAATAGAATTATCGCTAGCCTCGAACTTGTATGGAGACCACAATGTTCTGCCACATGTTCCAGAAGCTTAATCATCGTGTTCGCCATGTTTATCCATAAGGCAACTTGACGCACTTGGTGACTTGAAGTAGATGGTAAAGGCGAGCGAAATTGAATTTGAATGAGGAAGCTGATGTCTAGACAAGAAATCACGCAAACGTATGTTTATGTTAATCTGAGTCAGAATTATGAAAAGGTGCGATTTAACTCTAAGCATCTAATGAACATCTAAAACTCTAAGCCCAAGAAAGGAGGAAATCCTATGTTAAAATATCTACAATGAATTGCACGAATGGAAAATCCCATAACGCCCAGTGTATGAAGCCTCGCCGTCAGTTTCCGTCATGATGATTGATACGCTCCTTAGATTCAAAAGCCCCCGTTAGGGTTAGGATTGGGGATCACTGCGCCGCCCTGAACCGTAGGGGGGATGACAGAGACGCCAGTGCCAGCAGCAAGCTGTCGGTGCTTAGCAAGACTGAACAGCTGGTTATCGAAATTCTGGTTGATAACACCGACCATGCCCTTCTGGCAGTGGTTGCCGTTGGTTTGAGGGCAGTAGTACCAGATGGGCTTCTTATCCTCCACCACAATCTGGAAAACTTTGGGGGCTTGGTTCTCTTTGGTAGCGAACTGAAAGCCAGAGTAAAAGCCGGTGCCGTTGTTGAGTGGCTTGCAAGGCTCAGCGAAGGAAGACTGCGCGACAGCGTGATTGAGCGGCAGGAAGTGCCACTCGACAACATCGCCGATTTCAGCAACGACATTATCCGGGGAGAAGTTAAGACCGCCAAGACCAGCCGTAACAGAATGAGTGACTCCAGTCAGCTTCACTGTGGTTGAGGGGGCTGCCCGGATGGTTGGTGTCGGGACGGCGGTGGCCAATCCACTGACAAGGAGAGCGGTTGCGAATAGCGTAGTGAAGACCATTGTGAATTGCGATTGTGGAGAAATGATTAATAATTTGAACAAGTCAAGGTCTTGATAGGTCGCGTAGATGAAGGTAGAGATTGGAATTAGAATAAGGTATTGATGATATGATTTTGAATGTTGATGCGAATGATAGTGGGAATACAACACTTGATCTCGACCATGCCCGGCTTCTTAAATACATCATCGCCATCTTTTAGACTGAGAAGCATTCTCCAATCTCAAAATAACCATCTTGCTGCACTAAAACACCGCCTCTCGGATGAGCTTGGTTCCGATAAGACGGCGGCGGCGGCGGAGTCGATCCCCCAAATGCTCTTACTTATTCTTGTCATTCAGTATACCGCATCAGGCCAAGCAAGTCATCATTGACACCAAGCTAAACTTGCAATGGTTTAACTTAGTTGCTGACTATGACGAAGGTCGAGTGCCGCAGCGAGTGCCGATGCATTTACCTCTCAGTCAGCACCGCCTGCACAGCCACCACGGAAATATTTAGAAATAAATGTGGCCGCGCCGCTCTGGGCGGCCGACCACGCTCAGAATAGATATTCTCGTCCTGGCTGGGTTAGTCTCTCAGAATTACAAATCCATCCTTTTTTGCTCGAAGCCACATCATGAATCTGCGCGCAGCAAAAACTATGAGAATTACCTTGCCAAATCATGTAAGTCTTATGAGGATCTTTTCCGTTCTATACTGTCCTTCTTTTCAAACATGGAGCGAGTGAGCTTTACAGGGATTTCTTTTCAGACTCTACTGTGTTGAGCTATTCAATCGTGCCACAAGATCAACTGGAAACACGCGAAGTAGATCCCCAGGCCAAACGACTTAATCTTCTACGTTGAGCCAGATGCAAAGATGTAGAAATTTTAACCCAATCTTGGGAATAAGCGAACAAATAAAGAAATTTGTTACTGAAATACGGTACTCAAACCTGAGCTGGTGATTGCTATGAATCTGACGAAAAGGGCTGGGAAAGATTGGTTTTGTCGGGGTGAGAGGGAAACAGGGTCGAACCGAAAAACAAGATAACAATCTCTTCTCAAGATTACGCATAGCATATCAATATACTTGCCATGACAGAGCCAGACTATGTCCTTCTGTTTGAAGTAAAACCCTGTTACTACGTCACTAAGGCGCGACGCGTATTAAGCTTTGGAATCCTCGTAGACCGCATATAATAACATGCTCTCCATTGAGAACTAGCCATATTTGATCAAGTCTGCTTTGAGCTGACAGTGTCTGGGTAGCTGAAACCTTTCTTCCTGCTCGTTGCACGGATTTTGAATTTTTAACGAGTAACTATAAGCTCGACCGAGAAAGCACATATATTGGTGCCAAACGAGCATTCATCCACGGATAGTGGCTGCTCTGTTGTTAGTCCTAGTTGGAGGCACGACGCATCATACCGTCATCTGACGTGACACGCATTGGTAAACCGAACTTTGTACTCGGGGCTTTCCATAGAGGGATGATCAATTCCCTATTTTCTCCTTGGGTTAGCGATACAAAATTAGCAGATAATACATGTAGGGCGATGATACGGTGACTCGTAAGTCCAACCCATTTGTTTCTTCAATTAGGGGCGATTTGCAAACATCACTGCATGAACACAATCTGGCTCAGAGTCGTCTGACGGGAGACACGGAGACATCCGGAGGTTAAGGCGTGCATATATACTGGTACCCACTGGGTTGCTTTGGGCCTATGTTTAGATTGGATACAAGATGAGTGTATGAAGGAAGCTGTCCACGACGGGCAGCACTCTAGCTCGTTCTGATCGCAAGGGAGTGATCAGCATTGAGATTTACAAAGTTTTCTTCTGCATCACTGTAGACTTAGGCTAGCAGGGCTTATTCAGGTCGTTCGTGTTTGTTTATTTTGAGATTTCGGGATTGGCATCTTCTATTGCTATTTTTTGCTAGGTCAATCAAGCTACTCGAACTCTCACACGCGTGACGCGTATACAAGATGTGTTATTGTCTGCAAGAAAGCATATCTATTCTAATCAACAATACAAACCATCCAGAACCGATAAGAGGGCTTTTACTGCCAAGTTCCGGTGTCTTTCACTTTTTCATCCTTCTCCCATACCCCTTACTATTTTGCTTCCTACAACTTCATCTACCCCTTTCTTCTCTGATTCCTGACCATGGTTGGCACCCACCGAGTCGGAGCTGCGGCAGCTCTTGTGTTATCCTTGGCAAGCAGCGTCGCTGCAGTGCCTGATGCTGCCCAAGGGCTCGAAGAAAATGAGGTCTCCCAGCGAGACTTGGGCGAGTCTGTTGCTGGCCCTGATATCGACTACAAACTTGACGACCGTAACGACGTCGACGAACTGGCCGAGGGGCAATTCGAGCTCTATGTTCGTGATCATCTTCTCGCGCCGCGTGCCAATGCTGACGGCACTTTCCCATTCAATGGCCCTGGACGACGTGCTCGTCCTCGACGAGGCCGCGGCGCCTTACTAGGCAATGGCTTCGCAGCACGAGGCCGCGGTAATCCACGAGGCCGCGGTACTGGACGAGGCTGTGGTCCTCCACCATGCTGCGATAATTCACCATGCTGTGGCGGTTGTGGAGCTTGTCAGCAAGGGACAGGCAACTGCTTTGGAACAGGAAACGGCTTTGGGGGATTTGGAGGCTTCGGCAAAGCTGGCCCCCCCGAGGCTGACGACCATCTCAAGGCTGACGGCCAGGTCAAGGATGATGGGCCCCTCGAAGCTGGCGGACCACCCCGGCCTCAGGGCCAATAGGATCGGAGCGCAAAAACTGCCAAGGGGCATAGTGGCTCTGGATTGTGCAACCTGAGGATTTCAGGGCAGGCGTGCCTCCGATTACAGGATGCTCATCGATAAGTGGCTGCTTATGCCACCATCCTCGTTTATGGTGTTAGAGGCCATTTGAGTTCAACAGTCAGAGAGATGGTATATATCATCTGGGAGAGGTGGTGTCGGATCCCCGAAATAAAGGAATAAGGAAACTGGCCACATGATATACGTGTCAATAGCATGTGAAATCTGATGTCCGCTAGGCTCGTTCTAAGAATAAAAACTTCCATCCACACGATTCTTCATCCTTATTTACATAGATCAAACGTAATGAGCTACTTCACCTCTGAAGATCGACATACTGTTCCGAGCAGCAATGCACGATACGGTCTCTCACCACCCTCTTCATCGAAGTGACCAGCCGAAGCCTAAGAGTCCTTGAGCTTCGTGCTACCCAGAGGCCCAAACACTCCCAACACGCTCAAGATCCTTGCGGCATTGAAGAGATTGTCCGTGATAATCAGCCCCCACATGCCAGAGTTCCATTGACTTGGGTTCCAGAAGTAGTCTGGCCCAACTGCCAGGTACGCAGAGTAGAGATAGAGAATATCGGCGAGGAAATGGGAAATCATGAGCCATTTGATGGTGGATGCGCTCTTGTTGATCCACACGCCGATGACCTGGGAGGCTGCGATGCTCAACATGAGAGCAGCGATGTTCAGCGCAATCACGCGCGTGAACACCTCTGTCTCATGAGGAGGATGGTCTACTGGCTTTGGCACTTGATGCACGTAGAATGTTGCCGGGTCGGAAATAGCGCCCACAACCGCCAGAGTTCTGATCCGTCTGTTAGTTATTTTGATCAAGGCGTCGAAAAAAATTGAAAATGGACATACATAGCCAGTGGATCAATAATGCCCAGTATGATCCGAGGGACGACGGGGAGACAGTAGTTGGACATTTTGGATCAGCCGGCACAATCGGTATCTTATGCTGCAAAGGTTCTGATGTAAGAGGAATCACGAGGTATAAAAACCAATGATTACAAGAATATATTCAAAGGATAGAGATGGATTGAAAATTGAAACCCTTATTAATTACTCTTATAGAAGAGGATACACAGCAGGTCTAGTGCTTATGCGCGGAGATAACGGGGTTGAAGATCCTACACCAATGCATAAGAAACCCGCTTAATAAATATAGGAACTTTCAGGTTTTCATTGGCTTCTGACATGGGGAGCAAGGGGCTTGAGCTGTGCGCTTCCTCGAGTAGGGGCCTGCAAGGTCGATCATCGAGGACCTTGAGCTACCCTATGGCAGAGGTGCGTGATGATTCAAAAGTGAACAACTCAATGACACAATGCTAATTCGGTTTTTGCCTTGGGTCAGCATCAGTTTCCGAGCTTCCTAGATATGGCTGCTAATCAGTCTTTTAATACTCGTAATTAGGAGGCGACAATTTATCAAAGACCGCTGACTAGCTCATTCATTTGGACGGAAAGGACCATAATCGGAGATATCTTACGCAAACCCTAAAACTTTGTGTCAGGGGTGCAGGATGGCGGTAAAAGAACATACCAAGGCCGTAGGCTGGCATTTGGAAACTAATTAAAATCGAAGCTCCGACCAATCGAGCTGGAAAATATTCATTTAATACGCTACACTCAGGCCCTCGTTTGCTATATCCATGCTAATCGTTTATGTATACAAATCATTTTTGGTTCTTTAGTTCATTATCTCCATCTGCAATCTCAAGCCGCATCAGCGCTTCCCACAAGCTGATCAATCTTCGTCACCTGGTTACCTGCCCGGATGATACGGTGACCTTCCGAATCGTTCACGTAGGTGACGTTCTTATTCTCATACTGTGCCCGCTTCCATACTTCGACCTCACAGCCGCCTCGCAAGACACCGACACGCATCGTGGAGAGGAGGTTGTGAGCAGCGTTGGAGTGATAGTAAACTCCTCCGTTGAAGATCGCCGTGGCATCCTTGCCGATGGCGGACTTGATTAGGGCTTTGCCACCGGGATGCTCGGCGATGAAGCTCGACACGTCGTGGATGACGCCGGCAATAACAACCAGGGCCTTGCCGTCCTTGGTGCTGCCTTCGACGAATTCGTCCCAGTCGATGACGGGGAGCTGTTCCAGGGGAATTCCCCAGTCGAGAGTAGCACGCTTCTGGTCGAGCTTCTTCTGCAACTGCTGGACACGGCCCATCTCGATCTCATTCTGGCGGAACTGCTTGAGGTCGTACGCGAGCCCGAGCTGCTTCCAGACCCAGATGAACCATTTGGTCGGGTCATACTGGTACCAGATGATGGCATTACGGTAGTCGGATGGGAACTCGTGATGGAAGTTGTGATAGCCCTCGCCCAGAGTGACCAGCGCAGTGATCATGTGGTCACGAGGTGAGTTTCGGTCATCAAAGGGCTGCTCGCCGATCCAGTGGGCAAGCGAGTTGATACAGAAAGTAGCCTGCTGCACAAAGCCGACCCGAAGAAGACCAGCGTAGACCAGACCTCCGACCCAGTCACCCCAGCCAAGGCCAGCAACGAGAGCGGGGAAGATGAAAGCCATGGTGACGGCAGACTTGATGTAGTTCTTGTGCTGCCAAACGACGATGGGGTCTTCGTTCAGATCGGTAATATCGGTTCGGCCCTGGCGCTTGGGATTCTGCTTGAAGATGATCCAGCCGATGTGGGAGTAGAAGAGACCCTTGCGGACCGAGTAGGGATCCTTGTCGGTATCGGTGTATCGGTGATGGACTCGGTGTCCGTAGGACCACCATCGGATAGATCCCTCGACGGCGCCGGCGCCAACTGCTGCGAGGTAGAGCTTCAAGAGGGTGTTGCCTTTGTAGGCGGAATGCGACCACATGCGATGATAACCTATCACAGGTTAATATTACGGGGGAAAGGGTGTGGAGTTTGGGTGGATGCTTACCAGCAGTGATGCCCAGACCTGTGTTGAAGTAGTAGATGAAGGCCCAGATGGCTGTGTATCGATGGAGGGGAACCCAATAGGAGGCGATGAGCCCAATCATGGGAATGAAGACGACAAGCGTGGTATTGAGCCAATTGACATGCTTGTACCAGTTGGATAACGTCATGGGCGTTTCGGAGATGTGGACGGTGCTCTTGTGAGTTGCGGCTTTGGCCTTCCCACTCTCTCGGAGGGGGACGTAGTCGACGGTGCCATCAGGGAAAGCCGCAGCCTGTTTGGCAGCCGAGGCCTGCTCAGACATGGTGAGAGCTGCCTTGTTGATAACACAGGCGAGGGTGTATCGTAGCCAGAATCTATGCAAGTGTTGCCACTCCTACTATCGAGTGATATTGGAAAGGATCGCGCCGCAGACCCAGGAACTCTTGTAGAGAATTAGGAGATGAACGAGAACAGGTTTGAAATTTGGTCTGAACCTCATGCCTTGTGTTATATGGCAAAACTGTTGGCCACTGCCACTGCACACATTGCCTATGATTACGCCGCTGGCCCGTAACAGGTCTCCCGGTCCGTTGGGCTGATCCTCTTTTGACATCCCCAACAATGTTCTGGGCCAATCGGCGAGCGACGGCTGCGGAGGTTCGGTCAGCCAAGATGGCCAGGGGCAGGATGGCTGGCTTCTCCCAGTCCTCCCCCAATCTCCACAGGAATCACATCGGCTGGCATAGAGATTACCGAATGACTTTTTTAGTCTTGCCCATGGTACGATTCTCCCGTCACGAAGAGATGCCGCGGTGGCCTGGCTCAGTCTCGGACCCAACAAATCGTCAAAGTAGGAGAAGGCAAAATTGAAACCTTGCCAATACCCACTTGCGACCCGATTTCTCCCTCCCGGCCGGCTGCTCCGCCTATAAACACCCTTGCCCCCTCAGATTCATCAGGCCACTTTCACGGTTTATGTGCCCTTTTTCTCAGAATTGTTGGCTCGCTTCCCGCCTCCAATAAGGGGTCCATAATGAGTAAGGATAGACCTACCGGGTGCGCATGTAATTTATACTTGCGGTAGAGAGAATTAATCGCGATAATACTGCTAGTGTTAGGTGTCTGGTACTTGTGGCCGGGCCACGTTGGTAGCGTCAAGGGCCAGGGCCGTATATTGAGATCTGTTGGACAATAATCCGTGAACTACACAAGATTGACGAAAATTGTTACTAAGATTCCGTGACGGAGGAGCAGATAGAATCCCTCAATTTGCTATCTACTGCCTAGCTCATTTCGTTGGCTGTTGAATTCATTGGCTTCCGCACAACGGCTACATCGTTCGACATTCCTGCTGCTCGGTGCATCCGATGCTTGATGAATGGCCCCCGATTAGCTTAGAAGCGTAACAATTGAATTGTACGCCGCCTTTGGGTTGAAGCTACTATCGAAAAGCAATGGGTTCGTCCCTGCTCGCCAGGAGTCCTACGAGGAGTCAGGCTTATTCCCATCCATTCAGATATCAGGACGGACTTACCTTGTCGCTGATGCCCCATACAGTAATTCCGTAGCACTTTGGCGTATTCAAGCATCCCTGCACAACTGCGTTGTAGTCACTGGTCGGCGCATTGGCGATATCAAGCTCTGTAATCGCTACTTCTGTCACCGCTGCAGTGGCAAGTTGCTGGAGTGCGCCCTGCACAGCAGCCCCTCCGCCTCCACTCAGATGTGTTTGAGTTCCTGTTCCAGCTTTGATCAGTCATGTGCATTCTTTATAGAATTTTTCGTGATTTGATTCTAAGAGACTGACCTATTCCGTCAATGGGAACTCCTTCCGAGATCCATTTGTCAACGTAATATCGCATCTGGTTGACCTTGCTAGCCCCGGAACGATCCAGGTTGTAGTCGTTGATGTAGAGCCGGCAGGAGGGGTCAGCTTCTCTGGCCGCACGAAATGCAATCGAAACAAACTCTTCCCCTAATAATCTAGAGAAGACGGAGCTTCGGAGGGTTCCATCCTCGTTGAAGATTTCATTCACCACGTCCTAGCAAGCGTCAGCGTATATTTCCTTTGGCACGTCCAAGGGCCAAGGCGGGTTGAGAACTAACCCATGCTCGGATCTTCCCTTTATACCTTCCAACCACAGTGCTAACGTGAGTGCGGATAACTTGGCGCAGAGTATCGGCATTGTTGATATTGGCCACCCATTGAGGGAGCTGCGAATGCCAGACAAGCGTCTGTAAGATCTGTTAGTAGTACTCAATATGTTTTTGCATTAGTCCATCGAACTCACATGACCACGAATGGATTTCCCATTCTGCTGAGCGAAATCGACCAGGTAGTCAGCATCGCCCCAGTTGTATTGGCCCTGGGATGGGTTCAAAGACTGCCACTTCATGCTGTTCTCAGGCGTGACCTGGCCAAAGTTTGCGTTGATGATCGCCGCATTCTTTTCTCTCTGGAGCAGGCCACGGTCAGTAGCAGTACCAAAGTAGCCCTTGCCTCGATTTTTAATCAATTGATTAATGCTAGATGATGCCTGACGTTCTTCCAAGTCTGGCATGCGCTCAGTGATGTTAACACGGCGGAGGGCAAGTTCAGGATCTAGCTCAATTGAGTCGACAGGAAAGGCCGCTGCAAGGGTTCCGAAAAGGAAGGCAAGAAATGGCTTCATGGTCAGTGAAAGGTGATGGGGACTCTCTTGTGCCAAGATAATCTGTCTTGATGAAAGAAGCGCAATGAAATCTTGGGTTCCAACGCCTTCAAGTTCGCTTCGTAGACAGAGAGAAACTCATTTATATTAACCCTGAGACCCGCAAACTACCAGATGAAGCTTTCTCTTACTCCTCCGCTAGAATGCTACTTCGGTGCTCGATGAGACTACATCTCCCTTCCTTTTTTGGCAATTAAGAAAGGTCTCAACCATCGTGTAGCTACTTGGCGTCTCTAAGAAGTGACCCCTTTCAGTGAAGCATGACCAAACTGAGTCACGCTATCCTGTTCCTGATAGTTACATTACTAACTACAACGCTGAGATTCGCACAAGTCAAGAGGTGACGGATCTAAGGGAACCGGCTTGGCAAAGCTCTCCACCGCGTGCATGAATTTTCCAGTGCAAGCCCCTTTCTAATTCGACAATGGCTCTAGACAGAAAGGTCATTCACCGAACTTTATTTGCTTAGGCTCATAACAGGACGGAGGCAGAAATCCGTCTTACCGAAGACGCCAATAATTAGAGCCGGTCATAGGCTAATTACAAGGTGCAAACCTCAATGAATAAGGAAACTGTTCTTGCCAAATACAGTTTTTCAACTGCAAGTCGTGGACCTTGATAATTTTTAAGCAGATTTGCGTGGTTTCTAGAAGATGATAAGAAGAAAAGTTGATTTGAAATTAGTAGAGGCCCCATGAATGCTCATTATCAACCACACCCATTCCCCAAGCCTCCAGCAACTCATCTCATTTCTTATTCGGCTGAACATATTAGCCTAGTGTTAGATACCCAGAGCCCACCTAACTTAGCCTGATGGGAGATCACCTCGACAGCAACCCTCTCCTTTCAGCCTATAGAGTCCTTAATCGTGGACACGACAACAGGGAGTAAAATTGACTGCCATCGACGGAGCCTAATCCGACTGGAACGAGTGTAATTTCGGTGCTTGACGATTTTTCTATGTTAGTTGATAATTCGTTCATGCGGCTATACCTCTAATGCCTTAGTTCGAATGCCTTTGTTATTAATTGAGTTTAGAGCTGGGTTTCTCACAACCGCTTTCATTGAAAGCGATGAAGATGATGGTGAATCAGGCACTGTATCTAAGAATATATGTAAAGGAACCTCACTTAGTCGCCTAACGAGAGTGAACTTTCCAAATCAAGGATTTCATAACTCATACTGGCTATATATACAGGTTTCTATTTGTACTCCATTCTCCAAAATGCCGAAGCTGCCACAACTCTTTGTCACGCTCGCTTTTTCAACGAAGCCTGAATTCCACTTGTTCATGCCCTCTGCCTTCAACAGCCTCCCCATACATGATTCCATAGACCAGGCAATCAGCAAAAAGGGTAAAATCCAGACCGCCCTTGGAAGCTTCATCCGTGGAGTCCACAGGGCTGAGGAGAAAGGGAAGCCTGCTACCACCAACCACCCATACTTCATGTCCTGGCTGTGCGTTCTTGGGCCCGATGCCAAACTTGCCCCTCTCTGTGATGAAGAGTGATTGGCCTTGCACCATATCATAATGGTAGTCTGCCACCGCGCCAGTGTCGTCCTGATCAGGGGCGAACCTCCCTGCAGCAACACTGCAGAGCTCTCGGACCCAACCACGACGAAGCACTCCTGGCCGTTCTTTCTGAAACCTCTCAACCACCTCCTCCCATCTTTCCACCACGCTGAGAGTCCTTGCCATTTCTGACCCATAATCTGCCTCAGACCGGTCGTTGTCGAGCTCCTCCACTACAGCCACCTTGTCCACGTACAGGCCGCATAGACACAAGATGTCTTCCCCAATCATCTTCAGCCCATCTCCCACTCCATATAATCCCGCGTCAGGGGTGAAGTCATACCAGTACCAGGATGCTTCATGTTTCCAATACTCTAGTACCTTGTGGCTTGGATCTACCGGCTCAACCCAGTCAAAAACCCACGACGGGAAGCCCTCAGGTTGCCTCGCAAGATCGGACTTCTCTCCGCGACGGCCAATCAGCGGCAAAAGACTGCCTTCGGCACGAATCAAATCGGCGGTGATGCGCTTGAAAAGCGTCCTAACGTCGATCGTGTAGTCGCATGATTTCACCGTCGGCAGCGATAAGTCTTCGCGGAAACCCATGAGACCGTAGACTTTGTCACGAGGGTCGGTCGCGTGCCGAAACCTCCATCGAACAAAAAGCTGCAATAGCCTCTCGTCCTTCGAGAAGGACAACCCACGCATAGATGACGTTAAATCGTTCATGGCATTATCAGCGAACAGTTCGTCTGGGATGTTGGGACAATCATCATCAAAGACGGTGTCAGCAGCTTTATAGAGGGTGGTTCGATCGATTGAGAGGTGACCCCAGAGGAGGGTGGCCTTGGAGGGTAAAATCGTTTCCTGGACGGTCCAGATGCGATACCACCAAGGCAAGTGCATGAACTTTTTCAACGTTTGCCCGATGAACTCCGATCTGGAACTGTCTCCTGTCCATGTAGGCTCCTCTCGCTCACCAGCCATCCAGTGGATCAGGTCAAAGACGGCTTCGGCATCTGGGGGCTCAATGTCGCCTAGATGTCCTAACCAGACAACTGACTGTTCGCATTTCGAGTAAATCTGATCCATCATATCAACTTGTACGGTTTTCTCGTCATCATCAGCCTGGTTGATACAGAGCGCGTCGATCCACATAAAACGATTTCGATCTGGAAGCCGCAAATTCTGGATGGCGTCCAAAAGAGTTGAGGTAACTTGAACATGGCCATTATCGATCTTGAGTAGGCGATCGTTATCGGTGTGAGGGGTTCCCCAGGCGTAGGAAAGGGCCTCGTAAGTCAGATTCAAGTCTGTGAGGTTGGCAACATGGTATTTGCATTGCAGCGGAGAATCCTTGTCCCCAGACTGGATCTCCAAGACGCGGATTTCGGCCTTTTCTGGATCCAGGCGAGGGAATTGCATTTGGGACCCAGCAGAGTCGCCCGCCATATTTGCTCAAAGCTGGGTGTTGGTTGCTGACTGCTAGGATTTGAACGGGCAGAAGTATGCTGCTTCAACTTGATTAGAACTGAGGAATCTGACTATTTAAGAATTCAAAGTGAGGGGAGTCTGACTTGGGCATCGCACAGGGCTGATTAGAACAGTCGCACAACCCCTGTCGTCAGCAGTGCTACACACTAACAGAGATGTAAATAGGTATGTATATTTAGTAAGCTGATCCCAGCAAGACCGCAGTATACTTAAGTAAGGGCTTATTCAACAGCCCCTCCTTCAAAAGCATAGCGGAGCGTCCGAGGGCTGTGTATGCAATGTTCAGCCTGACATAGAAATGGAATTACTAGGCCGATGGGCGCACTACGCCTTAGACTAGCAGGGGACCTAAGCATCGAGGTTGCATACAATAGGCACCAATTAATTCATGGACCGGTTCCAAGCTAGAAAGGTCTCTTGCAGAACGAGCGACGAGCTTATGAACTCTTCTTACCTCTCATCCACAGGTACATGGGTAATCTATTCATCGTCTTTCAACGTGTCAACCAAGTCCAGATGTATTATCCGTGACCTAGGATGTTGATGTGGAGATGGCCAAGAGAGAAGCCCGCCCCATTAACACCATAAAATGCAATCTTTTGATGACGGGACTAGTCCAGGAATCAGTGACGCAACAACCGCACTTATGTCCCGAATCGTGAACAGTATAAGTATCCGTCCTCCAAAAGAAGCTCCAAGGAGATTTTCGATGCTATAATCCGAGCGGAGAAGACTTTTGACAATATTTGGTATTATTTTGACATGACAATGCGACAAGGAAGTCAGCTCATCGACTTGAAAAGAAAGTCAAGATCAAGACCAGCGGCCTGGCCTCGGAGCCGACACTGAAGCATATGAAGGTCCATTGACGCAGATACAAATTCCAGTCAGCCACCGCGCGTTGAAAGAGTTCCACAACCTCTTCTTTGACCCCAAGTCTGGGATCGGAACTGGAGAGGTGCTATGGAACGACATTGTCTACGCAATGAACGGCCCCGGCTTCTGTTTAGCAGCGTATTTGTTTGGATCAATCTGGGAGTTTGACCGTTTGCGCAAGACAGTGACTCAGGTTCAAGCGTGGGGAGGAGAAGGATCATGTTCCAACAGCCACGTCCTAGCAACGATGGGCATCGTTACCGCTCGGTCGATTGGTGGGAGGCTCCAGAGGCGTTTTTGAATGGCATTTCAATGCATTTGTCTTGAGCGAGTAGAGGAGGTTTGCGTGGCCGACGGTTCAAGACACTCAAGAGATTAGCTCTTGCATCAACTACCTATTCCAGAGTAGGAGGCTTATTCCTCTTTGCTTTCCAGATCGCCCTGCCGCCAAGTCTTACACAATCCATGATGAAGTCAGCAATTTCTTGAACGTGCTCAGCCTCAGTTGGAGAGATTTTGTCCGCGGGGATAGTTTGTATCATATTCATTGCCGTCGTTAATGCTGCCATGTCGCTCTGAGCGTGGTCGCTGTTTGGATGGATCAGGACATCGATGAACAATGACATGACCGCCACAGGAGAATAGAACACGACATCCCTGGGAGACTTAATATACTTTTTGTTCTTTTCATGTTTTGAATTTCAGGGCTGCACTTACCAAAATGCCTCTTCTTCTAGCAAATCGATTGCAAATTTCAGCAGGATAAGCGTTGACCGGCTAGCTTCCAAGAGAAGGTCGATGCTTGAATGAAGTACGAGGTGAAGATCCTCTGGCAGGCTTTCAGATTCCGAGTACTCGGAACCACACCTCCTCACTGTTGTGTGTATCGCCGTCAGCATATAATGGTAGTCCAGTTGCAATTGTAGACGAAAGACACTCGACAGGAAGTTTGCCTCCTTTGTATGGGGAAGAAATGGTCGATCTGGCGGTATAGACAGCCTGGGTCGAAACTCTGGAGGAACAGTTAATCTCCAGTTCTCTAGTTGATCATCTAGTTGCCGTATACGCAACAGAAGCTCTGTATCGTTCACTTTCAGGGCCGCTGGCGAGTAGAGCAAACGAAAAGCTTCTTCTCCGATAATGCTTAGACGGACATCTCCTGGGGCAACAGGATCAAAAATACATGCCGAATCAGCTTGTATATCCTTGCCATTGTCCAATCGCAGGAAGTGGTCAAAACAAGAACTGTAGTCTTCCGGTAGTGCCAAGTCGCAGTAGTTTCCAGCCAGTGACGGCGGTTGACCAGATCGAAGTGAGACGTCTTTATCCCTGGTATAACAAATCCAGAAAAGACGTTGAATGTGGTCAATCTGGCGCTTACTTCCGTCATCGCCCGTCCCAAAAGACGAGGCAGAATGTTGAAGTTGAATGTGACCTTTGAGTTCGCAAACCATGCGACACGCCAAAGCATGCAACATGTTTGCATTTTGCCATCGTCCGCTGACTCTCCTATATTCTTGCTGCGTGCCAGTGTGTTAGATCCGAAATGTCATGGGATAGAGGGTGTCTTACCAGCATCAAAACAGCTTGAAGGCTCTCTACGGTGGCCTCAACAGTGAGGTAAGGCAAAAACGTCTGTGCTATGTCCGCACATTGATCACCATTTACCGCGATTTCCAGAGCTCGCACGTCTCGCAATCGACTGGATATCGCATGAAGACATAGAATGCAAGCAGCTGCGGATACCCGTGGCGTCGTTGGGTCCTGGTTGCCGTGATAGGCCCCCAAGATAGTTCTCTCAAATAGAACGCGATCTATGACTGGAAACAACAGCCAAGCGTGCGACTGGAGGAAGCACTCCAAGACTTGTCGAGTCACATCTTCTTCGGGCAATTGATTGAGCCCGTGCAAGTCTCCGGAGGGCTTTGGAAGAAAAGGTCCGAGTGTAGATCCAAACAGATGATGGCGCTCCAATGCCGTCGCTTGACCCGTTTTGGATGCTATCCATACGCGGCCCCTTTCTGATAGAATAGGCATTCCCCGGTAGTACCAGTGATGCCCCAACACATTTCCCGAGGGAGTGGTTTGGCTTGGGATTGTCTCTCCGGGCGACGTTGAACTAAGCGATCTTGATCGAAGATTCGGTCTACTACTCCCAGCATCGGCGATTGGAACCGTCATGGCCGGGGAAGGGTGGCTTCTTTGCGCATCGTGGCTAGCTAACAAGGCGCCTTCGAGTTGGTCAATACGACGCAATAGTGCCTTGATCTCGCCAGACGTTGCCCTATCTCCGGATTAGATTTGAGGTGACTTAGTAAAAAATAAAATTAAAAATAGCCAGCTCAGCGTAATACCTAGATTTTGAGCCTCTGGGCACCTCTCGATCAAAGGTACACTGCAAGTCGTGATGGCTGCACCAATTACATGGCGAATTCGGGGCAGGGATGGAGCATTGGATCTGGATGGCGTCAGCAATTGACCGGCCCCATGGTCCGAAATAGACGAGCCTGAGAGCGCCTCAGGGTCAAGACTGACCTTTCTCTTGTAGCATATGTCGCATGCTTTCTTCGGCGGCATGGCACATTCTCAGCATTCAATGAATGGTGGTGAGTTGAAGAGTCGCAGGTCTGATCGGAACGTTTCAAGTCCGCTTTGTCATCAAAATGGAGAATGAGGAAGTGCGATGATCACGGAGACGGAACAACTACCCCCGCTTACATAATAAGGCACGCCTCCCAGCACACTCGACTTGATGAGGTAATCGGCGCCGAAACTTCCGATGAGTTCATCCCAGAACCTGCACATGCGTGATTTCACCCTCATGCTCCAGCAAGAAAGCGGAAGAAGAAGAAAACGCGGAACCAGTTCGATATGCAAGTTAAATAATTTAGTTGGAACGTCTGTCCTCGTAAAAGACCGTAAAATGCATTTAAACCACGCGTTTGCCGCAGGCTCTGGCTCCAAACGGGCTCGAATCTCAGCACCTACCCTATATGCACTTCCTAACAAGGACGATTCATCAACTCATTAGAATGCCTGCCAACAAAGCAACTTGGACACGCGTTGTCCCATCCGCAAGCCTTGACCGATCATCCCAAGCTGCGTCGATAGTCGATAATAAGCTCTATATTTTTGGTGGCGAGCTCCAACCCCGCCAGCCCGTGGACAACAAGATCCATGTGATTGATCTCGCCCAAGGCAGTAGCGACCTCAACCACCACCTCACCCACTTTCTCAGCTAACAGCCCTCCCAGACCCTACACCCCAAAGCCTCGACGCCCCTTCCGTAGCACTCACCCCCCGCGTCGGAAGCCCCAGTACGACCGTCAATGGCAAGACCTACATCTTCTCCGGCCGCGGCGGCCTCGAGATGACCCCCCTCGAGGAATCAGGCGCCCTCTGGTCCTACGACCCCTCCGCCGCAGAATGGTCCCTAATCACCCCGTCCGACCGCGACGCGCCCTTCCCCGCCGGTCGGAGCTACCACTGCGTCGCCTCCGACGGCGCGGACAGGATCTTCGTCCACGCGGGCTGCCCCGAGACGGGCCGCCTGTCCGACCTGTGGGCGTTCGACCTGGCGAGCACGACGTGGACGCAGCTGCCCTCCGCGCCGGAGCCGGCCAGGGGCGGCGCGTCGATCGCGTTCGCTGGCGGGAAACTCTATCGCGTGCACGGGTTCGACGGCAAGACGGAGCAAGGGGGGTCGCTGGACGTGTTTGATCTCGAGGCGCGGGTCTGGTCGAGCAACCCATACAAGGCAGACCAGGTCGACGGCCCGGAGGCGAGGAGTGTCGCCACGCTGTTGTCCGCCAAAGTTCAGGGCAAGCCGTACCTGGTCACCATGTTCGGTGAGCGGGATCCCTCCCCACTTGGTCACGCTGGAGCTGGGAAGATGCTGAAGGATGTCTGGGTCTACAATATTGAGCAAGGGAAATGGGGCATTGTTGAGACTGAAGGCGATGCTCCGGTGGCTCGGGGATGGTTTGACGCGGATGTGACGACGGGCGCGGGTGGCCAAGATGACATTGTCGTTCATGGAGGATTGAGCGATGATAACACTAGACTGGGAGACGTCTGGCGCTTGAGCTTCATTTGAATTCTAAAATAACTTAATTCTAATTAGTTTTCGGGCAAATTCATTAAATTATCAAAGCATATTGAGTCAAAATGACCTGCTTCGTGAAGTCGGTGAAGATAGATATCCTGAAAATGACATTACCAATTTAATGGGATGCCCTCCGTAATCTACCCAAAAGCAACATGGTTCCAACCGTGTGTTCCATCACGACGTATTGCCATTCGACTTCTCCATCACGACGTATTGCCATTCGACTTCTCATTGACCTGCTGCTTGTCTACAGTGTTGCCACCCTTGGGCTTCTTACCGCTTCCTATATTCCACTTCTTCACTCTGAAAGCCCAGTATGTCACGACAGCAATGAAAATGTTGAACACAATGTACGCCCACATGATCCCATAGTTTCTCCATCTTTCACTGTAATAGATCTCGCTCGCTGCTAGATATTGGTCCGCCACTCGGAGGGGGCAGTAGCGACAATTCTCGCTGGCGGAGGGGTTCTGTAGCGTACCGGGCGCCTGTTCGAGGAATGGCTTCAGGTACTCTTGACATGTCGTTCTAGACGGAGGGTTGAAGATGGATGTCTCATCCTCCGAGCATACGATAGCACGCCCATGGAGCTGGGTGGACACAATGCCAGAAATCCAGTAGCTGAATGGACTGAGACGCCACATGAAGATCCAAAATCCGGGGAGAGCTGTGGGTGTCTGAAGAACACCGCAGAAAGTAAGACTCATGAGGACGAGAAGCGTCACGAGTGATGAGGCTGTCAGGGCATTGGGTAGCGCCGCGATGGTCATTTGCGCGAATGAGCTGGCGTACAGAAGCAGCTGGATACAGAACAGCAGGACTAGACCCTGACGGGCAGAAGACTGAATGCCGATGATGGGGTAATAGAAGCAGGCATAGATAAGCACGGCAGTGATGATTTGGTACGGAATCTCGACAATGACGGCGGAGATGACGAATGCCTTCCAAGAGTACGCTTTGCTTGGTCGCTCGCGAACTTCGTACAATGATCGTTGGGTGAGAAAGTGCGGTTGAATCTTGAGACACGTTAGCTTCATCCCAAACAGTAAAATACGAATGTATGCGCCTTACCTGTTGGACAAGAGTAGAAAATATGGTAATCACCATAAAGACGCCAAAGATGACATTTTGCATTCCTGCAAGAGATGGATCCGCTTTCCAGAATGAGAAGCCGATGAACAGTCCCGCGGCTGTTCCTAGGAAGAATTTGGCAAGTACGTAGGAAGGCATTCGCCAGTACTGCTGGAAGATGCGACGCGTCACGTACCACAGCTGCGAAATAAATGGCATAGCGAATTCAGAATGTTTGCCGGCCTCATCATCCATATCCGTGTGTGATCCTCGTTCGGTGTGTATCCTCTCAATCTCTTCCATCACCACCTTGTATTGTGGGCTCTTGTTCCACACCTCATGCCAGTCTTCTCCATCTGGGGTTGTGCCGTTGTTGACGATCTCGAGCATGTACTCGGCAGGATTCTCCTGGTCGCCGCACTTGCGCGCACCACGAGACTCAAAGTACTTCAACAAGGTGCGCGAGTTGGCCCCAATATCCCCAAAGTATACGGTCTTACCACCGGCTGCAAGGAATAGCAGTCGGTCGAACTGCTGAAAGAGCACCGCGCTCGGCTGGTGTACCGTGCACAATACAGCTTGCCCGGCATCGGCAAGCTTCCTCAAGAAGTTACAAATGGCCCATGAGCTTTGGGAGTCGAGGCCGCTGGTGGGTTCGTCCAGGAAGAGGAGCAGCTTGGGCTTGGCGGCAAGCTCTACCCCGATGGTAAGCAATTTGCGTTGCTCCACGTTGAGTCCCTCGCCAGGGATACCAACGACAGCATCGGCAAAATCACGCATGTCGAGCATGTCGATGACCTGCTCTACATAGGTGAGTTTCTCCTGCTTGGAGACTGTCTTCGGCTGTCGCAGCATTGCGCTGAACACGAGACTCTCACGAACTGTCGCTGTGGATAGGTGAAGATCTATTTATCGCCGAGTCAGCACACTTTCATTCAAATTATAACGACGGACTGAAAGAAATCTGTCAACGAACCTTGCTGTTGGACATAACCGGTCTTGCGTTGGAAGCTGGCATCCAGCGGCTTGCCGTCGACGAACATATCCCCACGGAGGACACCTACCGTTGTGCGCTGCGCAAGGGCATCGAGAAGCGTAGTCTTACCGGCGCCACTGACGCCCATGAGCGCGGTCAAGGTGCCAGGCTTGACCCAACCTGAGACGTGGTTGAGCAATCGTCGAGTGCCCGTCTTGACGGGCACGTCGTAAACCACATCGCGCCAGGTGAAGATGGAAGTCTGCGCGTCAATGGCGGCGGCGACTTGAGGTTCCGATGCGCCCTCTTCAGAGGATCCTCCATTCTTGGTCAGATCTGTGGTAACGGGTGGCGTGCTATCTGTCTTCTTTAGGTGGTCTGGTGCCTGGCCGCGACGGAAAACAAGAACTTCTGCGGTGCTACTTGCTTCCGACACCAGCTCTGTGGCTATAAAGTAAAGAATCATGAAGAAAACCAGAAACCCTATGAGAATACCAAAATTTCGCCATACATGGGAGTAGTAGTACTCGTAATTGGTGTTGATGAACGAGTCTCCCGAGACTGTATCCTGGCCTGCAACCGCCCCGACAACAGGGCAAATCCAAGAGCTACCAACCCTGGGCTGGTATGGTGGGACGACAGTGGAGCATGGAAAGCGTTGGCCGTGGAACTCGCTGGCGATGAGAATCTCAAAGGCATAGTAGATGGGGTTGATCCATCGAATCCAACTGAACCAAGGGTGCATCTGGGGCACGCGGATGACGAAGCCCGTGTAGATGACGAGCGCGAGAACCATGACACCGGCAAGGGCCATAGCCTGTGAGACGGTCTTGGTGACTGCAGCGAGAGTTCTGAAAATACCGCTCATGACGAAGATCGATGTGTACGTGATGAGGAAGTAGAGGAAAAAGTTGCCAGCCTCGCGACGAAGACCTGCCATGAAGTAGAGGATGACGTTGAAGACGGTTGCAGTGACGAACTTGATGGGGATGTCAGCCACAACGCCAGCCATGGCCTCCGCAGCTGGATGGTAGTATGCATATGAATTGTGTTTCTCAACAATGGGCCGTTGAGCATACTGATTGTTGATCTCTGAGATGGCCGTCAGCGCGTTGAGAAGAACGGCTTGGAAGAGCACAGAGCCTTTAGCGAAAAACCCGTCGGTTGTGTTTGGTGTATCGAAGAAAACTGAGCCGATGATGAGCGAAAGAACGACCTGCATCGCTACTTGAGTAAGGGTGGCAGATTTATTCCCCCAAATGCGTTGATACGCTCTCCGCGTCGTGAGGTAAATTTGCATCGAAAGTGTCTGCAGGTAAGGGGACTTCCGCCACGCGTTCTTGGCTTGCCTCTGGCTCTTGCGCTCCCTCAGCTGCGTTGCGCCTTGGCCCTTGGGATCAACAGGGAACTCCTGCAAATCCTTCTCAATGCCGTCGTTCAAGGCACGGTATTCGGGAGAGTTGTGCCAATATCGTTCAAACTCCTCGGGAGTTCGAGGAACCGTGTCCGTCATGCCTGGGCGAGCCTTTCTCTCCACGGGATTGGTCACTGAGGTCAGGAAGTCACCTGTCGTCTGTCGTTGGGGACATTCCCAGCCCATGCGCTGAAAGTAGGATTTCGCGGCATTTGCGGGGCCAAAGTAGATCTGGCGTCCCTCGTAAAGGACGACAGCCTTGTCAAATAAATCGTAGATGGCTTGGCTCGCTTGATAAATAGCTACGGCATGAGCGCTCCTACCATAGTCGGCGGCGACACGGAGAGCTTGAACGAACTTGAGCGCCGTGGCTGAGTCGAGGCCACGGGTGCTGTTATCCCACGCTCCGATGGGTGCACCGGCCAACATCATCTCCGAGAGACTGACACGTTTTCTTTCGCCTCCAGAGACGCCACGTACATAGTCGTCGCCAACCTTGGTGTTGTAAGTATGGCTAAGGCCGCAGATGGCCATGACGATGAGGGTCATATGCTTGGCGAATTGGTTACGGGATATCCCATAGAGACGGTGCGAGGGTGTGCGACAAGCGGCGGCGAACTCAAGAGTCTGGCCGACGGTGAGATGGGGGAAGTGTTTATCGATCTGTGCACAGTTAGTGTGATTGTTAATGGCGAATAAGGGGGGCTTTGATGCTTCACCTCTTGATTGTAGACTGTTTCGCCCTTGAACTCCTTCATCATGTTGACTTGTGGCATGCCGCTGTAATGGATCAATGATTCTTGGCTGAGAGTCAGGCCATGAAGTTGGCCAGTCATTGTTTTTAGCAGTGTGCTGCATCCCGAGCCCGGGCGACCAAGAACAACAAGAAGCTCACCGCTCTTCAAAAGGCCGTCAAATTTATGCAGTATCGTCTTAGGCTTCTTTTTGCCAAACGAGAAAAACTCCCCAAGCCTAAACGGCGCCTTCAACAATGATCCCAGGGTCTGCTGATACTGTATTGCATCTCCAGTACCGGTCACCTGAAGGTTCCGGAAGGAGACGCCAGTATTCGTCACTGTCAAGCCCTCCTTTCGAAGCTCCCCGACAATATTCTTCAACCATTTCGAGAGATCAAACTTCCCGCTGGAGGGATCCAAAGCTGGGTCGGTCGCCTCTGGCGGCAGTGGCGTTTCGCTTTCAGCTATGCTGGCAACGCTCGCTCTTCGGGCGTGGGAGCGAGTGGTGGCAAGTCGGCGGAGCTCTTGGCGATCAGACTCGTCAATCATCGCGATTGAATCCTGGCGCTGTAGGCGCGGATAGGGCGCGGGTTGGGGGGCCATCCTCGTATCGGCTAAGGTGTCAGAATCCAAGCGGGCTGGACGCAAACGGGGTGAATTGCCTTGAATCTCCTCATCATCTTTGAGAGCAGGATGACCTGTGTTGTGATCTTGCCCAGGCTGGAAATCCGAGAAGTCACCAAACGGTTTTCGTGAAGATCCATTGTGTGCTGCGGTTTTCGCATTTCCTCCCACAGCACCTGGGGCAGCCTCCTGAAACGATCCATCGTGATAGGTCGTAGCCCTGCTCGTCGATTGATGGAGTGTCTGAGCGTCGGAATAAATGGAGCTGGTCTTCCGGTGATGGGATGATCCAGTAAAATGAGGTGCAGGTAGCGGAAGAGGTTCGTTATCTATGGGATCTTGGACATGCCTCGTCGCCTGTGCGTTGGAAGCTGCATGGGCAGATATTCCTTGGCCTTGTTGATTAGATGAATGCGCAACATGGCCGTGCTGGTTAGCTGCATGAGCACGGTCTTGCTGATGAGATATATGCGATCCATGTTGCGCATGTTGTGATTGATTGGCGCCAAAAGTCGCACTCCGAGCTAGGTTGCTGGACCCTTGGTGTAGAGAAGGATCCGCGCGTGCTTCGATATTTACTGACTGGGAAACCAATGCCGGTGCAATGGAAGCTGCATGGAAGGATTCTCCTTGGCCTTGCTGGGAGGATGCACGTGCAACATGATCGTGCTGGTTAGATGCATGCGCATGGTCTTGTTGATGAGATACATGCGATTCATGTTGCGCATGTTGCGCATGTTGCGCATGTTGCGATCGATTGGCGTCAAGAATCGCACCCTGAGCTTGGTTGCTGGATCCCTGGTGTAGAGAAGGATCTGCGTGTGCTTCAGTCGTCACTGATTGGGACGCAAGTGCCGGTGCATGCACAACTCCAGTTCCAGCTCCATGTTGGTTCGCGCCATGGTCAATTGTGCTCCCTGTCCACCCCGTGGTCTCCGAGTATGTATTCCCGCTCGTCGTGGTCGATCCGAGGCCGCCTATAGAAGCTTGAGTTCCTTGCCTCAAAGTAGAGCCGAGGTCGGAAACGGTATCGCGGGCTTCTTGCTGCTCGGATGAATGCTGAACTGTCGAGCTCGTGTAGTGTTGGATCTCGTGCAGGTATACGATCTCGTTGTTCTCGCCGTGCGTGTGCGCAACTGCATTGGAATCACATAGCGCGCAGAAATCACCGCTGTGGCGTAAAATCTCCTGGGAAGAAAGCCGCTCCATGGTCGAAGCTGGAGGGAGCCGATCGTTCCTGCATAGGTTTGCGGTCCCGATGGACTGGTCGAGAGGAAGGCGAAGGAAATAAGTAGACTCGGTAGTCTTCAACGAACGGCCGCTTGGCGAAAGCAGTTGAGAAGGCCCGAGGTGCCTGTCCACCCTCCCATCAAAGCAAAGGCATAAGCTCGAAGCTTTGATATCCACATAATGCGAAGCTTGTTGCGTGCATTGCGGCGTCCAGCTTTCACTAGAGCGAGGCTATACTGAAAGCGAGGTCTCCGGATGCGATACATGGCAGATGATTGGGCCGAAACAAAGTTTAAGCTCTAGCTCAGCTGGTAAGGTGTGGAAACCGGTGACGGATTTGCCGGCTGTGAATGAAATTCAATCCATGGCTATTGCTAGCTTGTTGAAAAGCTTAAGGGCGAATCATTATCCGAATGTGTTCGGGCGTCCCGCAACATCTCCATGCAGCGGCAGAATCGGAGGAGGGATGGTCCACCGTAGTGAGTTTAGCCATCGTGGTTCGAGTTGCTTGGTGTTGATGGGCACATGCCAATGGCGCAACGAGGATGGACTAGCTTAGGCGTGCGGAATGGTGATGCTCGTGTCACAGGATATCTGTTGCTCTGAAACACAAAATAGAGCAAAAAGGATGAGTCGTGTGAGACAACAAGCCATCCCAACCAACTGGGCACGTGCTTGGCTCCATGTCTACGGAGGAGACAACGCCGGATCCGGGCTCTGCCTCCATCCGGCCCGATCCACCAGTCTTTCAGTGAATGTGCTATCTTAAGGAAGGCGGCACTGTTCCGCGAGAGATTTCCCCGATGTTGTACCCACTGATGAACAATGGGGCAAATCCCCTCCGGTGCTGATAGGGCGAACCTGTTCACAAGCTCCCGGCTTCATTGTTGACCAACGTGATTCATGTTGTGTTGTTTAGGAGCAAATTGGTAAGCGAGAGGGACAGGTGCCATGGCTCGACATTGGGCTCGGCTGTTTGTTTGGTTTGGTGCACTCCCCGCCCCGGGCTGCAGCGTCGGAAATTGTCCACTGGGGCATGCATGTAACCAGCCGATGGCCCTGTGCTTGTCAATGTCGGCTTTGGCTGGCAGGAAGCCAGAATGCAAGACAACACGACGGAGAATAGATGATGCGTCCTGCAATGAAGGAGGGACTAATCGTCTGTGAAACAGCACCAGCGTGAGATGACGAGAGGGTTTCCTTGACCGCCAGTTACACCTGTAGCTCTCGTTGGCCAGCAAAGGGACAATTGATGCAAGGCGATATCACAAATGATATGTCTCGGTGGCTGGGGAGAAAAATGTGTACCGTACCTCCATGTAGAGGGACAATGGCAGGATACGCAATTAGGTAGACGGATGCGACGATAACCCCTCTTGCGCTCGTATTGGTTTCTGTGGAGATTGGGAGCACTGATTCGACGAGCTGGTGCAGCTGAAGTGGGATGTCTCACTTGATGCTCATGGTGGTTGGACGCCAGGTCTTGGCTGTGTGCTGAGTCGGTCGGTCGACAAGGGACTGATAACCCAAAATGGGCAGCATGGGCGCACGCATGATGGGCTGGCCAAAAGAGAGGAGAAAAGAGAGGAGGCGATGGCCATGACATGCATCATGTACTGCAACGCCAAGTCTGTGGTATCGCGAGAGGCGACGAGGGCGGGGATTGACGCTGCTTGTGGGAGCTGCGAGAGGTCCAAGAGCGCTGCGGGCGTTGGGAGCTGGAAGCTAGAGCTGCACTGGTTCTGCCGCTCGGCCTATGAGCAGAGAGCCAGCCAGCCACTCTGACCCTCGAGACGCATCTGGATCGATTGACTCGAAGAGCAGCCAATCGCAGCCGCAGTCACAATCACAATGGTGTTTCATTGCTTGCTTTTGCTCTGCTCGTGCATTATTTTGCTTTTTCCGCTCGCCACAACCAGGACCGGTGAGAGGAAGGTGCAGCCCAGAACAAAAGTGCAGGAGCGGGACGGGCGAATCGCGGTCGCTAATCGGCTGACTCAGCAGAATCACGATAACGTAACGCCTTTTGCTGGGCCACTCACAGCGAAATCTCAGTCTCCCCGCAAAACCAGGTCAAAACTCCGCGCGGGCCGCTTCGACCGTTTGGCCACTCGAAGCAAAGCCCAGCCCAGTCTCGACACACCACGCGCGAGCCGTGCTCTGGCTCAGCGGCGGCCCATTGCAGTAGTCAAGTGCCGTGCCGTGCAGGACCACGGGGTGCCGTGGGGTAGAGGTACATGTACATACCGCCCTCTTGTCTCTTGTCCCGCTGCTGAGGTTGCAGCTGCACCACCGCCAGCACCACCCGTGCCACCACCTCTCCCGTCCCCCCAGATCAGATCAGCTTTCTCTCCGGATGTCAAACTCGACCTTTCATCTCCGGTCCTAGAGACCTCATGGCCCGACACCCGCAAGCACCTGGCTTGTCCCTCGTTGCTTGGCCTCTGCCTTCTTCTATCATTTCGTCTTGAGCCTCCTCGGGTAGAGCCCAGCTCACTATTCCAATCAGCACAGAATTGTGCGTTCCGGCACTGCCTGACTGAGAGAGAGTGCCGAAGCCCCGCACTTGTCCTTCGTCTCCTCTCCTGCCCTGCCTTCATCGCCCTGGTCAGCGACCTAAGGCATGGATGAATCACCGCAACCCACGCGGCGGAGCGAGAGGGTTGCAAACCGGGGTCCAAAGCCAAGATCTCCCTCGCCGTCAGTGTCCTTGATAACACTCTCGTCATCACCACCACCGCCGCCACCACGGCGGCGTCAAAAGCCCGTCAAGCGACCTGCCGTCAAGAAGCCTGATGCTACGGCGACTCCCCAGGCACCGCGAATTGGTGACTGCATCACGCTAAGTCCCTCGCCATGCCTGAGCTCAACACCACAGCCCATAGTCCCAGATGAACTTTCTACGCCAGCGTCTACCCAACAGAAAGCTCGCGCCAGGTTCTTGGGACCCAGCAGCCTCTACCGGCCTCAGCCCAAGAGACGGATCGAGGATGATGCAGAATTGCCCCTAGCCAAGAGGGCTCGGCGTGACCTGCAGGTAACGACACCAACCCCATTGGCTTTACAGGGCCAATCCGTCGTGTCGCCCGAGGGGGAGGTGATCCTGTCGCCAATAGAGCCCAGGAAACGATCACGAATGCCAAATCGACGGGGCAACGCAACGCCGCGTGAAACTGAGTCTCCCACAATGTTGAGGAGTGCGACCGATGCCTCCCAGCTACCACCACCAGTCTCAGAGGCGCAGAGCCTTGCTTCCCCGACATTGTTGAGGCGTGGGACCGATACCTCGCATCTGCCACCACCAGTGTCGAAGGAGCAGAGCCTTGCTTCTCCCACATTGTCGAGGCGTGGGACCGATACCTCGCATCTACCGCCGCCAGTGTCGGAGGCGCAGAGCCTTGCTTCTCCGACATTGTTGAGGCGTGCGACCGACGCATCCCACCTCCCACCGCCAGTGCCGGAGGAGCGGAGCCCTGCGTCTCCCACTCAGAACCGCGCTCCGACACAGAGACAAGTCCTCAATAAGGCCGCGAAGGAAGCACAGATCAAGGCATGGCTGAAAGACATGAAGGCGGCATACACTCAATTGACACCTCCGACGAGCATATCATCCTGCAGCGTTGGTCCTACTACTCCAGCCCCGCCGACAATTCAGCCATCATCTACCCGTCGTGAGAGACCCAAGGAGGTGGAAGTGGTTACGATCAGCTCTGATTCGTCATCTGGACCACCATCTGATGTCATGTCCGAGCACCACTCCGTACACTCATATGCCTCTGCGCCAAAGTCCATCTCGAAGAAGCAAGGGTCTGAATACGAGTCTGCCCATGAACTTCTTTCCACGCACGAAGCAGCCCATCTCGTAGGCGATAACGTCGCGGAGGAGATGGCCAACGCCATTGGCTCCGAGCCCGGTACGCCCGAGCTCCATAAGGAAGAAGAGGCAACCCCAAGACGCCACCCGGCGCTTGACATCTTGTCGTCAATCTTCTAATTCAACCCCATCCAATAAAACACCAATGCTGCGGTCCGTCTTCTGGATGTCGACGGACCCGATAGCATACAATCTGTTACAGAACACAATGGTCTCGTTTTTAGGGCTACGATGCGACGGCGCATAGGGAAGGAAATGGGATATCAATTTGTTTTCTTTTTTTCATCTTGGTCGGTTTTTATTATTGTTGTTGGTTAGGTACGATGGACGGCCACGGACGGAATTGTGCTTGGAAAAAAGCCGATGATTAAATTGGGTATCCATGAGCGGGTTACACCAAATGACATGATGAGTGAGCAGGACTCTGGTTTCTTTCTTCCCCTTCTTTTCCCCCTCCTTAATGAGACAGACAGCTAGTGTCTGTGTGCCTGTTTACGGTCTTCTCTACCGTGTATGTGAGACAGTCAGTTCAATGAAAGCAATGGACAAACCATTTTGAACCACCATGACGCGAGTGATTTCATGCCCGACACTGCCGAGCCAACCTGTCGCACGCGCGTCCGTCATTTCCCCATCGGGTTGGAATTTTTGTGACGAGAAGCAGCCTCTTGTGTCCCGGCTAACGGCAGGGAGATTGCATGAGCGGGATGGATGATCTGTCCCAGCCACACGCTCGCCCTGGTTGGTATGCTCCCGACGTCCCCTCGACCACTCGCGCTGTGTATGTATGTCCCTCCCTCTGATTCGCCAAGGTTTCACTGGGCACGGTTTGACTTTCGGCCATGCTGATCATGGTTGGCACCCCCGACATGGTGCCGGTACGTAATATCGCCGACGCTCATCTTCGTGTTTGTGTGTTGGCACGTCACATCCAGAACATATGTATTTAGGTGTTGCCCTGCCGCCACAATGTCGCCCGTTCCCCAGCCTGTGGACGTCGAAACGCTCCAGGTACCCGTTGCCAGAGCCGTTGCTGCCTCCCAACAGCTGCCAAGATGGTGCACCTCCAGCAGATCCTGCTCCTCGCTCTCCCCTTGATCTCACCCTCTGCTGCCCATCCCGACGATGCCGCGATCCAGCAGCAGTATGAGGCCCTCATCTCCCTCCGCGCACTCCCCGACTCCCCCAGCGGCAACTACACCCCCAAGGTAGTCGACTGCCCCAGCACGAAGCCGTCCGTCCGCTTGGCCAGCGAGCTCTCGGACCAGGAGAAGTCGTGGATCAGCCTCCGCCGCAACAACACCGTCGACCCGCTCCGCGCCCTCCTCGAGCACGCCAACATCCCCGACTTCAACGCGACCTCCTTCATCGACGCCGCCCGCGACAATGCCACCGCCCTGCCCAACATCGGCATCGCCGTGTCTGGCGGAGGGTACCGCGCCCTCATGAACGGCGCTGGCTTCCTCTCCGCCGCCGACAGCCGCAACAGCCAGGACGGCGCCATCAGCGGCCTGCTCCAGTCCGCCACGTACCTGGCCGGGCTGTCCGGCGGCGGCTGGCTCGTCGGGTCCATCTTCGCCAACAACTTCTCCACGGTCCCGGCCCTGCAGCAGGGGAATAAGGACAACGCGCTGTGGCGGTTCGACCGTAACATCTTCATCGGGCCAGACAAGAGCGGGCACGGGACGCTCAACACGGTCGAATACTGGGGCGACGTCGTGGGCCAGGTGCAGAAGAAGAAGGAAGGCTGGCCCACGTCCATCACCGACTACTGGGGCCGAGCTCTCTCGTACCAGCTCATCGGGGCGCCGGACGGCGGGCCGGCGTACACGTTCTCGTCCATCGCCGACACGCAGGACTTCAAGGATGCGCAGACGCCGTTCCCCGTCCTCGTGGCGGACGGTAGAGCTCCCGGAGAGACGGTCGTCGCGCTCAACGCTACGGTCTACGAGTTCAACCCCTACGAGCTCGGGTCCTGGGACCCCACGACGTTCGGATTCGCACCCCTGGAGTGGATCGCGTCCAACTTCACCAATGGGACAATCGGCGACAATGGCAAATGTGTCCGCGGCTACGATCAGTTTGGGTTCGTGATGGGCACGAGCTCCTCGCTGTTCAACCAGTTCCTTCTGCAGAACATCACGGCCAAGGGCGAGTCCTTTGGCCTCTCCTCCGCCATTATCAACGCCATCGAGAAGGTCCTGCAGAACCTCAGCTCGGGCGAGGACGACATCGCCCAGTACAACCCCAACCCCTTCCAGGGCTGGAACCCGACTTCGGGCAACCCCACCGCCAACGACGACGATCTCACCCTCGTCGACGGCGGCGAGGACCTCCAGAACATCCCCCTCCACCCGCTCATCCAGCCTTACCGTGCAGTCGACATCATCTTCGCCGTCGACTCATCCGCCGACACAACCTACTCCTGGCCCAACGGCACCGCCCTCCGCGCCACCTACGATCGCTCCTCCACCTCAATCTCCAACGGTACCCTCTTCCCCGCCATCCCCTCCGCCGAGACCTTCATCAACAGCGGCCTCAACCGCCGCCCGACCCTCTTCGGCTGCGACCCCTCGAACTTCACCCTCTCCCCCGGCCAGGCCGTGCCCCCCCTCGTCTTCTACATCCCCAACGCGCCCTACTCGACCCTCAGCAACGTGTCCACCTTTGACCCGCAATACACCATCCCCGAGCGCGACGCCATCATCCGCAACGGCCTCAACGCCGCCACGCAGGGCAATGCGACAGTAGATAAAGACTGGTCGCGGTGTGTCGGCTGCGCGGTTCTCAGCCGGAGCTGGTGGAAGGCAGGTGAGTCCGCGCCGTCGGCGTGCCAGGCGTGCTTTGATAGGTACTGCTGGGACGGGAAGGAGAATAACACAGCCATTAAGGGGGAGTACGAGCCGGCGTTTATTGTTGCGCAGGATTTTAATGCGAGTCAGACGGGTGGTAATGATGATAGCGCGGCAGGGCGGAGGAGGGTGGTTGGGTGGGAGGTTGTGGCATTGGCGGTTGGTGTTGCTTGGGTATTGGCTGCGTTGTAGAGTTAGTGGACCATGATATTTGGAAATATAAGTAGGATATGAATGCACTTTTGTTCGTGTACACCAGTTGAATTGCATCTTCGGTAAAGAGTTGAGGCGGTGTTGGGTCGCAGTGATGGCAGTGCTGTGACAACCACTGTGCCAGGATGCAACCACAGAGTATTTGGTTGGCTGGAATACACGTATAATGAACAGACTGCAGCATGTCGCCTTGGAGCTGGTTTTGTGATTGGTTCTTGAGGAGTCAGCATGCAGGATGAGACGTGGCATGGCGATTCACAAGGCTCTGCCCGTCCAGAATGAATTCCCGCAGCTTTGATGCAACTTCACCTCTCGACTGACCGTCAGACGGCTCTTCTTCCCATCACCTCCCATCATTTCTCCCCATCACCATCGAATTGTCTCTCGGTATCGTCGCCCTGTATCGCTGACGATGGAGGTCGTCGGGTTGGTTGCCAGCAGCGTCACGCTGTTAGAGATGTCCCTCAAAACGGTCGGCTTTTTCCAGGAAATGGCTACGGCCCCGGATGATTTCCGCGGCCTGCAAGAAGTGGTATGATGCCCGGCATTGATCTCACTGCATCTCCATCTCTACATAACTTGCGAACCTCACCACTAATAGCGCACTTAGGTAGCCGACATCGCCTCCATCGACCAAGCTTTCCATTCCATACCAAGCCTATTCGCCCAAGGCTCTGGCCTACCCCAGGCCGCCGAACCAATATTGATTGCCCGGGCAATATCGCAGTTGAAGCATCTGAAGGCTGAGATGGATGAGGTTATAACGAATTGCGCGCGGAGCTCAGACAGCGACGGCAGTTCGAAAGCGAAGAAGCTGAGGTGGATGCGAATACGAAATCGGGTCCCAAAGCTGCTTGAGAGGGCCCGCGACGCACGGTCGAACTTCCAAACTGCAATACAACTTCAGTCGATGGCTTTGGACGCAATTCGTGGCGCTAGAGAACACAGGTTGGTTCATCAACTTGCATCGTTATCTTCTACGATTCTGGCATGTTAGACTGACAGTGATCAAAAGAGAACATCTAGAGGTCAAGGCGTTAGTTCAAGAGCTCCGGTCGATACAACAATTTGCTCATACAGACCAACAAGGAGAGGTAGAAGAGCTGCCAGTGGAAAAAGAAGAAGAAGAAGATGGGGATGAAGATTCAGGCGAAGAAATCGCACGACACTCCAAGTCCACAGTTGCAAATATCCACGGTTTGGGTGTAATAGGCGCTGAACAGTTCTATCCCATTTGCCAAGCTGGAACAGCAGCGACAGTTGTTACACAAAGTTCAGTCTCCCAGTTCCATGTCCAGAGAACCCCTGGAATTGGGCCACCAATGGAGAGTCAAGTTTGTCGCTGGCAAACTAAACGGCACTGGAACCGCTACCAGGCACCGATCTGGCTCCGGCAGATGATTGGGACGTGGGTGGTGCACCATAGCCCGGGACAGGTTTTAACAAGGCCTCGCTCTTCAGATTATAGCTGCCATTCTACCCAAGCCCTTTGCCTGAACGTCGAGGGTCTTCTCCCCGCCTGGAGAGCGGCCCGAACGTTGTTAGTCAAAGTGGTTTTCAATAACTCGGGTTTGGCCTTTGCGTTGCGGCCGGCAAGGCTCATCACTGACGTCGATGTCCATTACTGGGCGATTGTGGGAGCAAGGTCGGAATCCTTTTGGATGACCCGTGATTGGATATACTTCCCCGAGGACCATATAGCAAGTGGGAAAGGATTAATTGAAGTAAGTACTATAATGCAATGAGGCATGGAGCTGGGAATATCACCATGTTGACAGTGTAGATTGCTATTTGGAGTGGTCAATTCTCTGTTGTCGAGTTCTTGCTTTCGAAGTGGCAAAATATTTTGCAGGATCGAAAATTCCGACGGTAGCATTAAGCCCCCTTAATAGCAGCAGCGACAATCCGAGCGCTAACGACAAGCAGAGAGGTAGCATTCAGGGTGCACAGTGTATTCGCATGCACGCAACCCAAAGAGCAAGACGCGGAAGTCCTGAAACGAGTTCTCTCATTTGTTGAGGATGCGCCCGTTTGGGGGGAATCGACATTAGTCCATGCGGCGGCCAGGAAAGGGTACGGCATCATGGAGGCCCTCGACAAGGAACCTTGGGCGTTGAACGAGCCTGATTACACTGGAGAGTGTCCCATTCATGCGGCCAGCGTTAAAGGGAACAAAAATGCGCTGGAAGAATTGATCCGGGCGAATGCCAACGTGAACATGAAAAACTTCGCGGGATATACAGCACTGATGCTCGCATCGCCCAACAAGCACATCGATTGCGTACGACTGCTGCTTAGGCAAGGCGACATCAATATCGACCAGCGAGACAATGACGGACGTACAGCTCTTCATCACGCTGCAAGAGCCTGCGACCCAGAAATTGTTGCAGCGCTGTTGGCGGAAGGAGCCTCTGTTTCAATTCGCGACATCGATGGCAAGTCGCCGCTGCATTACCTTGGACAAAGTTGCACGAACCATGAGAGGCTCAAACAAACTCTCTGGTTGCTTCTCGCGTCGGGCAAGATGAACATTGACGCAGTTGATGATTGCGGGTCGTCACCATTAATGGATGCTATGATCAACAACAGAGTAGCAAACTTGCGGTGTCTTGTCGAGGCTGGAGTTTCAGTGCAACTGCTTGATAAAAACGATCGCAACGTATTGCATACAGCAGCAGGCAGTAATCTGGACGTCCTGCAATATCTTTTGAGCCTTGATCCCACAATGTTCCGGGGTATTAACCCAAATCTGCCAAGCGCATGGTTATATACGCCTTGGGACTATTTCCAGAACACTTTATTCCCAGACAACATATTTTATAGGGGGGAATCCTCCCACGAAGCCAGCGAAGCAGCTTTCAACCAGCTCCTGCAAATTGCACAAGATGAAAACCTGCGATGGGAGATAAACATTTTAGAATCCACACTAGCCCACGTGCGTCAAAATTGCGTGGGCGAAGCACGGTCTCAGCTTAATTCAGTGGTTGTCCAACGGGAAAAGTGGAAAGATGACGAGATCGCTCGTTACTATCGAGGCATTCGCCAGCAGATTCAAGCTGGCGACTTTGGGGGAGTCATCACAGCGCTCGAGGAAGATGTTGAAGATTTGGACAGACAAATTGGCTCGTCGCCGTGGCTGGAAGATTCTGATTTCAGCCTGTCTGACTCAAGCGACATTGCCAGCAGTGAAGAGGAAAATGGTCAAACAGATGGCTGCGCAGATGGTGACGACGCTTACGAAACGGCCGAATCGGGAGACGAGGCTGAAAACGCAGACATCGGGACGGCGTCATGAATCTGGAGTTGAAACATGGAATGGGCAGAGATACAGCATCTCCGCCCGCATAGCATCGTGGACGTCTTCCAACAGCGTAGTCAGCGTCACCGCCATTACCATAACTAAACACTTGTGTTTTGTGCCGTGGATGATTGACACAGAATGGCCGGATAAGACGGCACTAGCGGTGTCGAACAAAGCAGCAAATCTGCTTGGCAGCTCGCCCCATTGTTTGCTGGCTTGTTCCGGGTGTTCAGGGTATTCCAGAATCACCAGTTCAGAAGCAAGGTGTATGATGTGGAACTCTCGCAATGTTGAGTTTTTAAAATATTTTTTCACCGATATTTGGGCCCTTTGAATTCCTCGGCCGTTCCATGCATTTATGCAGGCCAATACAGGCTGACGAGGGGGCAAGCCAGACATATTCAAACCATTGGTGGTCTCTAGCTCAATACTAAAGAAATTGGCCGCCGCTATTGCTCGTGATCGACAACCGTAGATGGTCCCTGAGCAGCCCTGAGAGATCCCTGCGAGATGGTCCAACAGCGACCTCGAGTGAGCTTAGGGCGCTGTAGCTGGGGCCAATCGCCTGAGCCAGAGCGCGTTAATGCTCTGAAGGCGGTCACAGTAGCTGTCCGCGAACGGCTTAGCGGCAGTCAATCAGCTTGCAGGCCCGGTCTAGGCCCCACCACCCCTATTTTTCTCAGTGAAGGCCCTGCTAGACCCCTGCTGGGACCCTGCTGAACCTGCTGGATGATCCGCAATCTACCGAGTGCCCGGAGCGAAGGACCCTGAAAGAATCTGTGTTGCTCCCTTTCTCAATCTCCCTTGAAGGCTGCTTCCCACCTGCCCAACTCGCCTTATTCTCATCTTCAGCCGGCTGAGAGTGTCGCCTCGCGGATGAGCCAGTAGCCAGACTCGTTATCCATCATCTCGCCGCGATGGAGCACATTGTCTATGACCCGGCCTTGACCAAGGCTGATCGCCTCGTTCTGCAGAACCTCGCGGCCGACATCAAGGCCGCAAGCCAAGACTCGCCCTCCTCCAATCGCGCAACTCCGAAAGCTGGTACGTAGCCTTCCGCGGACAAGCTGCTGTGTCAGCCACCCACCATCTTGTGCCATCTCCATATCCATTGTCGCAGTAGCTGTCGCTGTGGGCTTCCAGTCCATCCGTGCTAACCTCAGTCCAGCCGAGAGCAGCCTTGACGATGAGGCCGTCATCGACGCCCTCAATGGCTTCAACAACCCCAAGGATGCTCGCTTTGAGCCCACCGTCATCACCTCCGTAGACGCGGACAAGATCTCCATCTCCCCGCTCTTCGATACCTGGATCGTCCCGTTCTACATCCGCATCGCACGCTCCCTCGTGCGTGTAGAGACCGACGTGCTCGTCGTCTCCCACCTCTTCCTCTACTTCACCACCTCCATCCCCAGCGTCCTCTACCTCTTCCACTCCTTCACATGGCTTCACGGCGTCCTGCACCTGGTCCTGCAGTTCAGCTATGTCGGCACCTACACCCTCATGATGCACCAGCACATCCACATGCGAGGTGTCCTGGCCAAACACATGGCATGGCTCGACCACACCTTCCCCTATGTGCTTGATCCTCTCATGGGCCACACCTGGAACAGCTACTTCTACCACCATGTAAAGCACCACCACATCGAGGGCAACGGACCCAACGACCTGTCGTCCACGCTGCGCTATGAGCGTGACAACATCTTCCACTTCCTCCACTATGTCGGTCGCTTCTTCTTCCTCATCTGGCTCGACCTGCCCACGTATTTCATCCGCAATGGCAAGTTCATGCTGGCATTCAAGGCCGCCTTCTGGGAGCTCTCAAACTACACAGCCATTTACCTGCTGTGGCGCTACAATCCCAGAGCCACATTCTTCGCACTCTTGCTGCCGCTGCTCCTGCTCCGCATTGGCCTCATGGTTGGAAACTGGGGCCAGCACGCCTTTGTCGACAGGGACGATCCCGACTCAGACTACAGATCGAGCATCACCCTCATTGACGTTCCCGTGAGCATCACCTCAGTCTCCCTAAAAAATATAGCCTGCTAACCTACCTCTCTCCAGAGTAACCGCCATTGCTTCAACGATGGCTATCACACCTCCCACCATCTCAATCCGCTGCGCCATTGGCGTCAGCACCCTGTCGCTTTCCTCAAAGGGAAGCAGCAGTATGCATCTCAGCACGCCCTCGTCTTCCACAACATTGACTATCTCATGATGACTGTGCGACTCATGCTCCGAGACTACGAGACCTTGGCCAAATGCATGGTACCCCTTGGCGACCATATCTCTCTGACACTGGAGGAGCGAGCTGCCCTCCTCAAGAGGAACACAAGGCCATTCACAGAGGAGGAAATCCGCGCCAAGTATCCCAAGTTGGCCAAGAATTGAGCTGAAGACATGAAAATTGAAGAGCAAAAGCACATACGATAGACATAGAGTATATTTTTGGGCTCAGCATACTGATCAGAAGCATTATTTCCTCGAGAGTCGGTAATAGTATTGCTTGGACAGCTGGTTCTGTACAGGAGAGAAAAATAAGTTGCATTGGGAGAAGGTCACGCTTGGTTGTTGGTCAGTCATGATAGAGTTGATGATGGCGAAGTAGCGGTCTCTTTGTAAAGAGGCCCTTAATACACATGATTATTGGAAAATATCCATTCGCCGTATCACTACGAAGGCTCAATCGTGAAAAGGTTATGATATCAATGGTCTCTTTACAGTTAAGCCGGTGACTTTGTTGCTACTGCCATTGGCTAGGTGATTTCACCATGGAGCACCTACTTTCCAATATTGCTTTTATTAATCTGCTATAATTCTCTGCCTCGTAACACATAACCATAGTCTCAAATTGGGTATCTTCTACTTTTGAATAGTAGCCTAAAATCGAGGAGGATAATTCTTAGTCACCAACCTGGTTTAGCTAAACGCTCCTGTCACTCAATATGAAGACAGGTCTATCCAGCCACGAAAGAAATTTCCGTCAAGCAAGGCGCAACCAGCATACTTGATAATAAACAACTATCACTTGAAAGACATGTCATTAACACTTACCCATTATTTATCAGCAAGAAAAGCAGCATGAACAGGCTTATCCTCCGCAAAGTCAGGATCTCATGGCTATAGGGTATGTTTGCACCTGGGGAACGAGACATCAATATTCGGGTGAATTCTAAAATAGAGGGTTAAAACGTCGAATAAGTCGTTTAACATATAAGAACGACGAGAGTAGGTGTCAAACGAGGATGAAATGAGACTGCAAGATACCACTCTATTCCACGGCGACAGCAGGGTGCACCACCTTTAGGTGGTCTGCAACAGTCTGCTAGGCACCTGGTTCAGACATTCTCTGTTTCCCTTGTAATCAAAGATATTGCCCCATGTTGAATTAAGGCGGTCAAGGCACGAAATATCATACATATGCCACGTCGGACACTTTACAGGCGCGTGGAGGTCCGGGATAATGCGGAATTTGTACCCTTACCGATTCAGGGCATTGCTGTCTGAATATCAACCTCTAAGTGTGTAAATATCTCCGCATTTAGCCATCTTAGCTTTAATATGACTGCTATGCTCTAGATGGATAAATATCTAGCCTAGTTACGTGTACTAGATAACGGTACACGTATACTGAATGGTACTGTACCCCTTAAAAGAGACAAACGACGCGCAAGTGGATTGCCGAAAATGCAGCAAGGGGAGGTGAAATCAGCCCACAATCGACATTTTCGCTTAAAATCCCGAACAAGGTAGACAGACATTAGATGGAAAGAAAATCAATTAGGTCATCACGCCATACGGTGTCGTGGGAAACTAGTGAAGGTATGCACTAGGCAGGGAATAGCCTGGATATGGGTTGTTTAAGGAAATGTAATCGTCAACTCTCGTGCTTTCCTTCCAAGGAGACTTCTTATATTGATCATTATATACCAAAGACACGGTTAAGTCTGCAGGCAAATCTTGTATCTTTTGAAGGTACATGAAAGCTTTGTAAAAGAAAAGAGCCTGCTGTTGTATGATGTATTTTTTAGGACAACCTGTTACACCTTTCTTAGAGAGTATTGAAGGGGAAGTCTCATTTAATATAAGATAAAGTGCTCGACTTCGTTAGGTATATGAATGAACCAACAAAGCTCGCCCTGAACACGGCTCAACAGGGCCCAAGATATTGACCACGATGTATGTTATTTCATGTTACTCGAAAAGAGGGGAACCGATTTATCGTATCGCTACCAATGGGCGGCTTGTTGGAGATAAATAAGGTGGCTGACATGGCGTTGTTTCTATTATAAAGCTGCTAATAAAGGGTAGTATATATTTTGACACTGAATCCATAACCTTGACGGATGCGATATAACTATGGGTGTAGAAAATAAACTCCCCATCCGTCAGAATCAGCTTCTAGCAAATGAGCATTAACTTGGGTGGCTGCTAGTTGATGGGCTAATATCAACTAAGGGGATCGCCAATGAATGGTAACACCTACTAAACCGCAAATGCTGTCAGCATGAGGGTATGGTGATACTCCACGTTCTTATCTAAGACCTTAAGTCGCGCTTTATCACAGAAAATTGGGTGGAACCCAGTTCGCGAGAGGCGATGGGCGACTTTTTGTAACTGGAGAGAGTCTAGGATAGAGGCGAGAATATGTGAATCATAGATAGCTATAACATAGCCAGTCACTCTAAAGATGTCTACAACATTGTTGAATCCTCCTGGGACTAGATGGTAATGATATGAGAGTCAAGTCGCTCTATAAGGATACAGTGGTACTGAAGGGGAAACTGCCGTACCAAGGTATCTAGATTAGTATGCATCTCTTATAGATACAATTCAGGGCAACATATCAACAATCGGCTTCGTATTAGTGTTGGGAGGTACTGCTACACGTTTGACGCAACTACAAGCAACCATGGCATTACCGCCAAGGACCCTGAGATAATAACAAGCCAAACATGACCCAGTTTCCATTTGAAGAGGCTTTGATGGTCTGGCAATCTGTCTCATCAAGGAAAAGAGTACTAAGAGTTGGAAAGGCAACAAGAGGGTTGGGGCCGTTGGTAAAAGCAGCCTTCCACCCACATTATTTGAGGTTATGAGGGAAATGGAAGTGTAGGGGATACTCTTGGCTATATTGGCCGGAATATGAAATACTAGGGACGCTCTGGAGATCTATTGTAGATAATTAATCGGATAATGGGTGGATAATCTCCACACTTGGTATCTCGTGAATAATATCATGATGAAGAAGAGGATAAAGGAATGAAAGCGATGTGGCTTAGGACAAGCCACTGGAAGAATCCAACAAACCCTTCAGCTAGAAATTAGTTGGTGCAAAACCGACCCCTCCTTTGTTGTAGTATGGTTGCGGAACCGGAACCAATGAAGGCCGCCAGTTCCGCTCCAAGCCATTTCCTGCATAAATTGCGTGACAACCCCGCGTTAAAATAGTACGAGGGCTTTTGAGTGCTCAAGACTAGCCGGAGCCAGAAATGGACAGATATCGTGCTGGACGGAATGTCCAATATCATGTTATCACACGCCGCGAGGTAGGTTTTGTAACCTTCAGTGTCCGGGTTCCGGTTTGGAATCCGAGAGCAGTCCGGTAATTTGCGGAGTATGAGGGAAGTGCCATCTACCCCTCGGGTTGATATTGGCTCTGTTGGCGTGGAATCCAAGTTCAATGCTACCAACCGGTTGCAATGGAAGTAACGGATTGGAAAGGGCTCGGCCTAAAGTCCCAAGTTGGCTTGATAATCAACGCGCGCGGCAGTGACTAAGCGGTGATATTCGGTCTAGATCCCTGTTTTGGTTTCTCAACTGCAGAATGAGGAAGTTTAGTGCTGAGGCAGGGGCTCGATGTGGAGAGGTCGTGGCGCATTACCGCGCGCGAACCATGTGCCAAAAGGGCACCAGCCTGATTATCTCCTAGTCACTGACAAATCGGAGAGCTCAGTAAGTAGGCTTCCGGGCATCCAATGAACCTTTCTTCCTGTGTGGAATAAAGCGAAGTGATGTGACGGTGGGCGTCTTTGCCATGGTATTTATACCTGGCGCTGTCCTATCTCCTCGCGTTCGAGAAAACAATCTCATTCCGACCTCATTCCGAACTCAATACAAAACTGATAGGAGCACTATTCCATCACTAAATCTACATTCTAAACAAAATCCACCAAATCGTCCACAATGGCCACCTTCAAGAGTTCAACTGAAGCCTTTCTCGAGGTCGTCAAGGGCCGCCGCACTATCTATCAGCTGAACAAGGACCTCGGGTCTGTTTCAACCTCCCAGATCCAGGAGCTCGTCAAGCAGTCTACCCTTCACACACCATCTTCCTTCAACTCACAGTCCAACCGCCTGCTTGTGCTCTTCGGCGCCGAGCACGACAAGCTCTGGGACATCGTAAGGGATACTCTCAAGGCTATTGTGCCCGCAGAGAACTGGCAGTCCACTGCCGACCGAGTTGCCGGCTTCAAGGCCGGTGCTGGTACCATTCTGTTCTTCGATGATAGAACCGCTGTCAAGAAGATGCAGGACGCCTTCCCTCTCTATGCCGATAAGTTCCCTGGCTTTGCCTCCCAAAGTCTGGCTATGCAGCAATACATTCTCTGGGCCACACTTGAGAACGAGGGCCTGGGCGCCAACCTCCAACATTATAACCCTCTCATCGACCAAAAGGTTGCCGCTGAGTGGGGTGTCCCTGAAACCTGGGAGTTGAATGCACAACTCGTTTTCGGTGGCCGTGGTGGAGAGGCTGGACCTAAGGAGTTCCAAGCCATCGAGGAGCGCGTTAAGGTCTTTGGCGCTTAGATCAACGAATGAGATCGGATAGATATAAAGTTTATACATAGATCTTGCGGGGAATTTTGATGCCATCAAATAGAAAATTATGAAAGCATTATCACAAGATTCAGCATTCAGGACTCAATCCAAGACTTTGGAATAGTGATAGATTTATAAGGGTTGAGTATGTGAAGCCTCAAGGGAAGGATACATAAGGAGTATTGAGAAGTGACGAGGGCCTGGAGTAGCTTAAAAGTTCCAAGTTTTCAAAGGAGGAGTGATTTTTGACTTAACAGAAGGGAGGTTTTCCCGGGCTAATCTGAGTGAAGGGCTTAAGTTCGGGGTTAGAGGCGGAACAACCTTTCGTCTCTTCGTTCGTTCGTTCCTCAAGGCATTCTATAGGAGATCTCTTGTTCCATATTCCTGGCCTTAAACCTAGATGAGATGTAACAATCACAGGCGACAACAGTCTCAGTTTACACCAATGATTAGCCACGCCTATATATAGATATACAAATGGAAGAGTGGTTGGTGTTTGATTTTATTGGATCTACCTCTCCAACGAGTTTCTTCTCATTTTCATTCTGACTTGGCCTGGGCCTAACTCAGTACACCAATTCAACCTTCAGGACTAATAGTTATCCTCCCATCCACCACCACCCACAGTTTTCTTCGTTGACTGGCTATTCCTGACAGACGGCAACCTTGATCGCACCAAAGAGGTCTCCTGCGCTTAGCGGTCCTCCAGCAGCCGACAATGCGTCAAACACTGCACCGCAGGCATCCTTGGCCTCGGATGTGCTGATCGATATCTTGTATAGTGTATTGGGGTCGCCGCTGTCGTAGTTGCGCCTCAACGATATATACCCGGGGACCTTGTACTCGACGGCGTCAACAAAGTCGCAGACGGGGCCGACGCAGTGGCTTATCCGGGTGTCCTTGGTCTCCATCGAACCCTTGATGAACTTGCCCACGATTTCGAGGATATTGCCGTGGTTGTCGTCGTAGTTGTCCCCGTCGACCGCGATGCAGTGGGCCACGTTGCACTTCTTGGTTTGCACGTCGCACCCGTTGCTGTCGCACGCGTCGAGCACCGAGTCGACCAGCTTATTGAAATCCTCAGGGTTATAGCCGCTCTTGGCGCGCTTTGTTTCTGTCATCTCAGAGTTGTGATCGACATGTGTTTTGAAGGCCGAGACACTGCTCAAAGCCAGGATTGAGAAGACAAGGACGGGAAGCATCATGACTGGCAGAGATGGATGAGAGAGTCAAGAGATAAGACAAGGAATGCCTGACAAGGGGTCAGACTGGAAGATTCAAGATACTTGGAGGACTCAGATGCTATAACAGACAACTATCATTCATTTTTTGGGGATTTACATTATGATTTATATGCTCATGACCAAAATTAATCAAGTTAAATGAGAGCACATGGACAAATGCAGTTATTTCTCAGTCCATCCTTAACACCGAGGATGAGTATGCCATCCATTCCAACCTCCAAGTGAATCTGGAGAATGGGCTCACATGACGTCAAAGCGGACCAGGGAGTAATTTTAGGGTTTGAATACCACATTAAGCTATGGATCATCGAATGTGTGTGCCGGGTATTCTAGGTCGTGTGGTGATATCTCTGCATACTAAAACAAATACATGGCCGCCACAGAATTAATAAGCCTCTATCGGGTTGGCTGTGCTTGATGCCACGTTTGTTTCAAGACAATGGGCCAATGTGACGTGAGAAATGTATCAAGGGAACAAGTCACATATTAAGCCCGCCGTAGCTGTCTTGTTGAATTATTCAGTCACTGTGTGTCCTGGATCGTGTTTTTCAAAGTTCAAACAATGACTTGAGGCTGAATCAACAACTCTTCACAGCGGATACCTAATGTTGAACACAACCGTTATCATACCCAATCTACATTGAGAGAGGGGCTGGCTTTTATGGCCCTGGCGGCGTATTAACTAAGAATGGCGATCTTGTCTATAAGAGGTAGACTGCGGTATGTAACGGTTTCTGTCATGGTTGACCGCGTTTTGTCCAACACTTATTTGACATTTCCCTTCGTCATTGAGAGTATCCATATATGCTTAAGTTAAAATATGAAAAAGAACTCACATCTTATTACATTATCGTCTTTTTTTCATCTCCCAAGCATGAGAGGCTAGGCACAACCAATCGGCAATACGCCACCACTCACTGAGACATGTATATTAAGCGAGCCTCTTCGTCTCTGGAAGCCTCTTCTCTGGCTGAATCTTGTTAAAATTCAAGCCGAAGCTTATTCGTCCCAGTCGATCCACTTCCATTTTGACGGCTTCAGCCAGCCAATGTACGGTTCTGGGTCGTCGCTCTGGACATCATCCGCAAGGTCGCTCAAACCCTCTTGCGAACGCGCTGTCTTGCTTCGCCGCTGCTCCAAGGAGAGTATTCTGTAGATGGAAGCAGGGATAGCAAACAAAGGGACGAGTCCAAACATTGTCAGGTACGTCGGCCGGTGCTGGCCGCGCTCATTAATCTCGCGCCAAGGTGTCCAGGCTCGGAATTGGGACAGCTTGTAGGGCTCCATGTAGATGAAATGGGACAATATTGCGCTGGGAAAGACAAGGCAAATTGGTCAGATTGTGCTTTGACAGAGAGGAAGAATGAAACAAGGGTAATTAACCTGCAAGATCGGGCAGATGACCCATCACGAATAAGGATATTGCTCTCCTTCTAGAGTGAATTCCTTCACGTACCTAATCTTGAGCGCTGCTAGTTACTAAATTTGGATGTTACACGGAAGGCCTAGACGATTGATCCTTGACTAGGTGATCAGGTTTGGCTAAGTCCACGTGGACATAGCTCTCTATTACGATGTAGGAAAACACGGACATGGACATGAGCCGACTGCGAGCACAAACGTAATCCACCCATGTCTCAGATTTAACCTGGCAATCGTTTCCTAGGAGAGGGATTGATAAGATCATTGTATGATTTAAACCCCATCAACAGCCTCACCTACCTTATTCAGAACCGTAAACCCTATCCTATTTTCTCCTCGCTTTAGTTACCAGGCATGTAAGCTGTGGGGTCCACCCCATTAGAACACGAAACCCAACGGGCTCAAGGGGGTAAGACCTGGGGTCGGTCTCCCAGGGGCTCAAAGGATCTTCACTCACCGTCTTACAGAGCCAAGCCGATCGCTCGACTTACCGATTTTAGCTAGTGCTGCGACTCGGGGTCTTTCGTGGTTGGTCCTGTCAGATGCTATCGTCTAGGATTAGCCTCATTGGATTCGGATTGAAAGTGTCCCGCGATGTGAAAGGATCCCTTGCAGTCGCGCTTCTAGCTTTCTTGGGAACCACTTGGCGAGATGATTCAATACTTATGGATTGCCAGGAGGTGAGTAAAGTGAGCTGGAGCAAGTATATTAATCGAACGCTGCACCCAGCTGTATCATGAACTACGCTTCATATCTTCATCAACACCAAGTTCCTGATTCCAACACGCATTATCTCCCTGTTTCATCAGTTTCCCAATCAATATGTCACTTATCGCATCGCTGACTTCGTCGCATCTAGCGACGCCTTCTGCACCTTGGCCGTTGCTAAAGACTGACCTTGCCAACACAACTGTGCCGCAATGCGGGAAGAACCAAAAGATTGCCATTGACAATGTCAAGGTGTTTGATGGCTGGAAGCTGTTGCCCCCTTCCACAGTCATCATTGACGGCACGGTAATAGGAGATGACGAATCCCATGTTACGGTGCGAATAGATGGCCAAGGAGGTGTTCTGCTTCCTGGTTTTATCGAGTCTCATGCCCATCCACGAAATAATGACGATCTGGAGGCTCTCACAAGTTACGGGATCACGACCGCATTCCAAATGGCTTGTTTTGCAAAGGGTCAATGTACGGCGCTGGACGGCCAGAAAGGTCTCGTTGATCTCCTGGCGGGGACTACCCCTGCATCTGCCCCTGGAAGTACGCATGGTGACCTCATCGAGAACAACACGTCGAACCCAAGTTTGCTTGTTCAAGGAGAAAGTGATGTTTCGCGTTGGGTTGAGGAACAGCTCTCGTGGGAGCCTGACTTCTTCAAGTTAGTTGTGGAGACTCCTGGTCTTTCACAAACCACCTTGGATGCCTTGGTCGGTCAAGCACATGACCACAGCAAGCAGGTTGTGTGCCATGCAGCAGACGCCGAGTCCCACGTTCAGTCTATGAAGTCAGGCACAGACCAAATACATCACACTCCGCTTGACAAGCCAATCACACACGATCTGGCTCAGCAAGTCTTTGAACGCGGCCAGGTCCTTGTACCCACATTATCCATAATGAAAGCGTTCGCCGATCTTGGGGGCGCTGGACAGTTCAGTTATGAGGCTGCTCGTGAATCACTGCGCTTGTACCATGAGGCCCATGTTCCGATCATGGTTGGGACAGACGCAAACCACGAAATTGCTGCCGCCGTTTCCTTCGGATCATCCTTCCACGAAGAATTTGTGCTTATGGCGGAGGCTGGAATGTCGAATGTTGAGCTTCTCAGATCTGCTACGGTTGTTCCAGCTACGCATTGGGGATTCACTGATCGAGGAAGCATCAAACCGGGAAAGAGGGCTGATTTGATCTTGGTCGAGGGAAATCCTATCAGCAATATCAAGGACACGCGCAACATCAAGAGAGTATGGGTTGCTGGAACGGAATACGCCAAGTCTCAGTAGGGGGGTAGCGAGATATAAACGGTATATGCTCGAGGCACAGTTGCCTGTCACGAGAGATACATTTGCATTCTAAAAACTATTTGTGATGGGCCTTGCGTCATGTCATGGTGGAAGAATAGGTAGATCTCTTTGTTGGCTCGCAAAGGAATACCTCGATCTTGTTCTTTGGTTGAGCGTCTTTGTCTTATAGTAGCACAGCCTCCTATTAGATGAAAAACCAAAAATAGACCATTTGTGAACACGCACTGAAACTAAGTTCATAAATAGTTAGGCGCGTTGACTTACTTACAGATTTGGTGAGGGAGGTGTTATATAACTGAAGCATGTCACGCGATAGGCAAAACCTCGCCCCAGTCACCCCCAGAGCACCCCGTAACCATTACTGATTCAGTTATAAAATTTCCAATGCTGCGCATATTATGGAGGCATGAGTTAGAGGGGCTCTTCCCTACCCCGTTTGGAGCCAAACTCAACACTTTTCAAGAGAAATAACTTCTGTGAAGGTAAACAGTCTCGAATCCCCCATCACTCGGTTTAACCCTCTAACTTTAAATCAACAACTCGGCTTAGCCAAATACCACAAGAACACAAAATCAACCCAAATATTCAAGACAGAAACATACTACGCTCCGACCTATTTGAAGATGCTTAGTAGGCAGAGGGCCGCGGAGATCCGCATCATGGAACTACAAGAATCATTACAGGAAATCAACACGAGAATGATCAACCACACCAAGGCGAAGTCAGCGGAGAGAAGACGATTTGAAGAAACATGGAACGGACAAAGCTTTAGGTGGAGAGCTTCTTTCGCAGGGCAAGAGTTCTATACAAACTGGATGAACGCGAATAACGAAATTGCTATACAACTGCACCAACTTGAAGCAGAAATCGAGGAGAAGAAGTACGAGGTCGAGGAAGCTCTCCGTGAGCTACGGAAATGTGGCGGCTGGCACTCACGTTACGCATGAAGACAGTCTGGGTCAAAAGTATCTTGGCGAGAGGAAAAATCTACACATCCAGAATCGAACTTCTCTACTATCCTGACGAATTCGACGAGAGCACATATGAAATAATACACTGCGAGTTTTGGTGGAGTACGTTTTAGTTTGCTCATTCCACATCCCGAATTTATTATCTTCGACTTGGTGTTGAACCCTAGACCTCAGTTTTGTCCTCTAACATTTGTCTCTCACTCAAATTGTCGGCCTCGTATCGCCTGCGAATCGGTTTCAAATGATGGCTATCAACGTGAGATTCATCGAGAGTTCCGGATGACTGCTTAGGATAGCTCAGAGTGTCCCTCGCGGTCCTGGCCATACTTATAAATAGAGGCCGGAGAGTAGGAAGGCAAGCGGCAATCAGGTAGCACGCCGCCTCAACCACCGACCAGATGACGAGCACCGCTGAATCGTATGTGCCATCTTGCAGTCCTGTAATGCGGAAAGCTACTATGATACGAACGATGGACGCTACCATGCCCCTGAGACCATGCCATGTTAGCACTTCATATTCGAGTCCCTGGGGAATCAAGGCAAGAGGGAGAAAAGGGGATCATACAAACTACCAAGAAGAAATACAAACATCAGTGCGACTTTCTGTGCTCTTTCAATGTGCAGTCGCCAAATCACAGGCATGGGTAGAACCAGCATGACCACATCAGATACGATGTTCGGTACACTCATTCCTTTCCAATAAGCCAATATATTCCTACAATTCCCGGGAAACACGTGGGTATCCCAACGTCCCGCGAACGTGCTGCAGATGGTGAGAGATGTGACGATACCTGCAATAGCTGTAGCGGCTACAAAAGCTGCTACCCCGTAAGCAGCGAGACGGAATGGCTTCGTGGTGAAAATTCGCAAATATGAAGCAAGGATAGAAAGCTTTGGAAATGCGATGGCGGCGCAGTAGGTGGTCTCCATGGAATAGGCCAATTTTGCCCAGTTTTGGATCGCCATGGGATCAGTAGCTTTTATGATGGCCAGATGACGACCAACGCCACCAATCATGACTTCGAGGATGGCAATAACGCAGATGCCAACGCTGAAGGCCAAGGCTGGAAGGATAAGATAATCATCTATGCCGAGTTGCCCTCGATGTGTCATGCGGGTAGCCAGGCGTAGGGCGACTATTGTGATTTGGAGGCCGATGAAGATACCGCTTGCGATGAGCACTGGAGGGCCATTGGTCTCCTCAGCATAACCCGCGGGAAAGTCGGAGGTCATGGCGTGTGTGATGCCTAAGGAAAGGGGAGAAGTACAGGACAAGAGAAAGCGTAAACTCAGAATCAAAACATTACAGAAATGAGAAATGAAGAGCGGGTTCTCTGCACCGTATACCTGAGAACGAGCCACTATATGCCATCATCTGGCTAGAATATCGTACTGCCCCGTTTAATGCACGACAACCGCCATGCCCTAGCGTAGGATCATCCTGCATGTCAGATTGGTGTTGGATCCTGGAGAGTGTGATCAGCAATCACTCAGGGCTGTGCATGAATTAAATTGGTGCATTGAGGTGACTGCCAGTGGGCAAGGCGTGTGCCGTTTAGACAAGTGAGTAGCAGGGTTGCCTGGATATGATGTTGAGGGATGGACAGAGTATATGTATTGTTCTCGGCCGCTTTGGCAAGATCTAGTGAAGGCAGCTATGGAGATAACTCTGCCGTCTATGGCTAGTTGCTACGGAATAGGTCTTGCCGCTACGTTTCCAGTTCCAGTGATTCACAGAGCATGTCAGTCAAGAATCTGTTATCAAGTAGATTCCCATCATTCAAGATACCAAGTCGATCAGAAAAGCTTTGTAGTACACTTTGCTGACCAGCCGGCGATGTGCCCCGACCACGCGAGAGGCGTATTCAGACTTTGGAGGCTCGATCGGGAAGCTTTGCTGGCTTAATGACGCCTTGCGGGCTAATTCCTTCGAAGAAGTAGTGTGACAGGTTACAAGCCGGAACTAAGTGCCGGCTACGCATCTCTTCGTCTTTCCAAGGTAGTATTATGACGGTTGTACGAGGCTATACCGGCTAGATTCTGCTCCGCGGCTCTTGAGGATATAGATATCAGGGCATTCTGAACCAAAGTGTCGGATGTGCCGGCTAGTTTCAATCCCGACTTTTCCATCGGGATGCAAGCGGCTTTCTGTGATGATCTCTCTACATCAACTAAGCCGCAATACTAAGATGTAAGATCTAGCCGGCGGGATCCATGTATCCAGTTTTCAAGGTACGCATACGGGAAACGACGCCATGAAATACGCCCTGAATACGCTCCGCATATTGGCGAATACGCTCAAGGCTGCCTGGGTACGCAAGTTCGTTGAGTATGCCCTCACCACAGCGGATGGTGCAATGGGCCAGCCAAAATGATTCTTATAAAGCTTCAGCAGAAATCAAGAGAGTTTTTTACCATACCAGCAAAACAAGACAGTCATTCCAGCACAACCACTCAAGACTTACAATGGCACTCCGCATCGCTCGCCTGGCAGTCTTGGCCGCTACTGTCAAACTGGCAGTGGGCCAATTCGATACCACGCCGCCTAAACTTCAAACTACACAATGGAACTCGACCTTCCAATTCTCGGCCGAGCAGCTGGCTCTTGGTAACTTGACTGCCGAGTACGGAGAGTCGGTGGCAAACATTGTCAACTACGACCGAACTCAGCTTGCCAATGGCGGTCCTTTTGCGGACGACTTCTACAAACTCCCGCCCAACCTGAAGGCGCCCACCAAGCCTGGAGAGATTATCAAGGTAGAGGAGTTTACGAACACCTCGGCATGGTCGATCCCCTCCGGATCTGCATTGTCTCGCATCATCTACTCCACAACCAACCTCAACGGGACACTGATCCCTGCGTCTGCCTTTGTCCTCTGGCCATACCAGGCAAAGAAGTTCTCACACGGAGCTAAACAAAACGGTTCTACTGCACCAGTTGTGCTCTGGACCCACGGCACTTCAGGCTTCTACCCCTCTGGCGCACCCTCAGCTCATCGATCTCTGTTCTATGCCGACTTCGTCCCATTCGCGTTGGCAGATGCTGGCTACGTGGTTGTCGCACCAGACTACGCTGGGTTGGGCGTGGGAACATCTTGGGATGGAAAGCAAATTCCTCATCAATACCTGGTGCGCGAAGCCGGGGCTAATGATGCACTCAACGCCGTAAGAGCCTCCTGGAAGTCCTTCACGGGCCGTGTGTCGAAGGACTATGTCGTCATCGGCCACAGCCAGGGCGGCGCAGTCAGCTGGGGTGTCTCTGAGGTCTTGGCCAGGAAGAACTCTGGCTTCGAGGACGTGGCAAAGCATCATTTGGGCACAATCGTAGTCGCCCCTGCCCAGAACACGCTCTCTTTCTTCCCAGAAGACTTCCTCAACTGGGTTGGCAAAGACCTGGATCAGATTTACAAGGACTTCAAGCTTAGCGACTGGCTCACCCCTCTGGGACTTGCGCGAACTGAGCTGCTCAAGCAGATCGAGGGATCTCAGATGGCCACTACCTACTTGCTCGGCAACGGAGACGCCATTGTCAACCCTACGTGGAACGAAACTGACGCCGCCCAGTGGTTCCCTAAGCTGTCCAATGCGGGAAATCTTCCATTCAAGGGCCCGATGCTTGTCTTCCAGGGCACGGAGGATCTCACTGGCGGTGGATACAAGATTGCTTACGACACCGTGCAAGACACTTGCAAGACCCAGAAGGGCGATCTAGAGTTTCTTGCGGTTTTCGGTGTCGCCCACTTTCCAGTGCTCAGGGCCGCTCAACAGACCTGGCTGCGCTGGATAGAAGACCGGTTTGAGGGCCGCAAGGTGGAAAAGAGCGGCTGTGGTGTTTACTCCGAGCTGAAGAGCTTCCTGCCCGCCGACAAGCTGCAAGGTCTTCCCAACTCATTCCTGCAGTGGGCAGGCCAACGCGAATGGGGCTACGAGCTACCTACTGCGCTTTAATGAGAACTCATAACCACCTATGCTTCTCTTCCATATTGTTTCCGACAACGGAAGACATAGATGGGAACAAGCCGTCTATTAGAGATCAGAAAGATCTACTAAGATCACGTTTCATTTCTAGGGGTTATGGTTGGTTACTGCCTCGTGTATATGGTCACTGCTACTCTTGACTCGTGATACCCTTTGCACGAATGGTATAGCGAAGAGATAATTTGGATTGGCACTTCCTATGGTATCATATCAATCTTTCGAACCCCCTTTGTATTCTCAATTTTTTTTTGCATCCTCCATAGACTATTAGATTTACCTACGTGAATTACACCTCATTGTAAACAGCCTTAGATATATCAAGGCAGATATCATATGTTTACCAAAGCCGTTGACCCAAAGCCTAGCATGAAGCTGGAAAGCGGTACGGCCCTTCTGAACTACCTATTCTTAGTAGCCTTTTTGTAGCAATTACCTCGACAAGCAGCTATAAGACATTTGATGTTCCAACATTGAAGGATTGAAAGCTCCACAGGATCCAGGTCATTGTGTGTACGAGAAATAGTGAATCTGGTAGGAATAGAAAACCGAATTTCTGGGGGAGGAAACCTTCTGCAACATAAATATTGCGTTGGTTCCACCCCAGAGGCATCATATCGTTCAACCCAACCAAGATCAGCCGACAGGCGATTGATATGTCAATTAGAGGCAAAGACTCGCTCGCATCCATTCGCCGCAACTCGGTCTTGCTCAATCAATGCTATCCTGCATAGTGTTCCATCAATGGCAGAGCAAGTCATTTTCAGAGCGACCACGAAACGGCCATCATGCACGTGAATAAGACGTTTGTCTCCATCCCCTAACCCAAGCTGGATCGACGAGCATTTTAGGAACAGAATATCAAGACCGACGATCTGGCGTCTCTCATTCGAGTCGCTATCCGTCCTGAGCGAACGGCTGGTGATTATGAAACCCGCTGGCCAGTCACCTTTGGGGATATGAACTGTGTCTGTTGTATGAGCCAGAGGCGCTGCCGCCGTGCTCTGGGTCGAGTCCCCGCCATTGAAGATTCGAATTGCAACCAGATAGCCGTCGATTGACCAATCCACCAGCAGTTCTGGCTGCACATCAGCCAAGTCTACTAGCTCATTCAAGAGACTGGCAATCACAAGCTTAGTGTGCGTTGGCTCCGGGGCTATCAGCTGCTTTGCTTCTTGGTCAATAGAACATGCTAGGGAAGTCGGCCTACCACAGGTCCAAAGCCTATGACGAGCCTTCATCTCCAAGTATGCTTCGGCAAACACCGGGCACATATGTTCCCATATTCTCCTCCTATTGCATAGACCACGTATCAAGACCTTTTTCTGAGATGAAGGAGTGCTTCCCCAGTAGAGCTTGTGATAGACTTTACGCCAATCTATTTCATCGATCTGCTCGTGGGACGTTACTTGTGGTAGGTCCCAAAGCCAGGGCATATCTATAGCGAGGCGCCTTCTCCAAAATCTATTGCTGAGCTCGAGGTTCGCAAAGGCGGGCGAAGCTTGACGAGCGTTAAATAGAGAGTCAATCGGGTCCATTTGCGATACAATGAGCAGTAGGACATCAGCAGAGAGCTTCGAGAACGGATCTGCCTCTTCTCTATGCCATGTCATCTCCTTGGGACTGCTGGCGATTGTTTGAGGAAGATGGGCATACAGCTCTTTTAACCCTCTCACCTTGACGGGATCAAATCCAACATAAGACGGGGCCTCACTTAGCGGCGAATAGCCATCCATCTCCTTCCATATATTACCATAGTCAATGTCAAGACAAGTGGTTCCCGTGCTGGTATACCGGGCCAGAGATTTCAAAGCCTCCAGAAACGCCTCCTTATCCAGCTGAGAGACAGAGACGCCCATGTAGCGACAGAATATCTGATAACAGCGAGTATGGAACGGGGCGAGCCATGGATCTTCACTGCCCTCAAAAGCATACCTGTAAACAGCTGTCAGGTCTTTTTCGCAAAGTCATATTGTCACCATATTTTGGCAAAGGCGCGCTTACAGCCTTACGGACCAATGGCCAGGAGTCAATTCATGATCGAGCTCGAACAGCATTTCTCCCGGGTCCTGATAAGCGGCAGGGCCTGAGAGCCACGCTCTATGCGGTTTGTGTCAGCAAGTCTTTCCTATCTGTTACTGCAGACACAGGACTCTATGGAGACAGCCAATATCTCCAAGTCAAATGACACTCACTTGCATGGCGAGGTACTCCCATGGTTCTCTCCGATGACCCGAATGTCCGCTAACCAAGTCCTAATGGCAATCGCCCCCAATTCCGAAATGTATTCTTCGCGATCCTGGACATGCCATTCTTTTGCGTTCAGATGAGCAAATGGGCCGCCGCATATTGCGCAATAGATATCATACTCCATCGCGTCTTTTTGTCTAAGCTCTGGCGTAAGTAGAGGCGGGTCCGCATCAAAATTGCATGGACTACTTGATCCTGACGGATCACTCAACAAATCGAAAGCGTATGAATAGCGCATTCGGTTCCCGGCAAGTTGAGTTGAAGAGGGGAGGGGGCACTTGCTGACGGTATCCATATGTCATGTGACACAGGGAAAAAAATTAGTTCGCAAATTGATAAAATCAAACCTGATGTAAAGGACTTAGCCAATATGTATAATGTTCGGCCGCCTGATGAAGGCAAGGTGCATGTAAAAACTTTTCAGGGCTGGTATAAAAAATATGAAGGATTTAATGACCCTACACATTTAAAACCAATGTACTTGCTGTTCCTCATCCTGAAAATTTCTAGTTTAGTTTTATTTATAGTCTTGGTCAGTTGAAGCTATCTTCCTGTCAACTGTTCAGATCTGGGGATCGTCTCACTCCAAGTACTAAGCACCTCAGCATCTTGGAAGAATAAAATCGATCAACCTATATTGTAGTTTAAAGACTAATTTTCCCCAACGTCGGCTTGGGGGTTTCTTTCCTTTGGTCCGACCTTTGTGGAACCTTCCGGAGTTTAGGGTAGGCCAGGAATAGTGAACAATTCTACAGCCATTTACGTTGGGATCCAATTCAACTGATCGCGCACTCGATTTATAACAACCAGATAGTTCCTTGTTGTAAAGTGTGATTCCATTCTTCATGAGATCCGGATTGCACAAGTACGGTACCATATGGGTGAAATAAAACAGGGCACACCAAAGCTCTTTGCGCGCAGGGTGGGGATCTAGTTGTTGATTAAGAGCAGTAATAAGAGAATAAGCTTTATTCTAAAATATGTACCTTGATATTTTATTTATCAATAGGCTAATTGTTCTGATATTGTGTTGAAATTCAACGCCGAAGTATCCAGATGTGCCATGTTTTATGTCAGTCGCTTGGGTATCGACCTAATGTCATATCCCACGCGTCTCTTCCATCATCGAACATCAGGTGATGATGCTGAAGCTTCTGCATTCTAAGTTTCTGATGCTTCAGATCCCGAGGCATACGGGGCGGACTCGTAAATCAAGTGTGTGCCTCCCTTCGCGTGTTTATTGGATGAGTTCTTTTAGCTGAATGACTATTGGCTCTCAGCCGCAAATGAAATAAACAAAACGATTCTGCTTACCCCTCAATACGACGCTCTTCCGACATCCCACCTTCATCAGCATCAATCAAGCCGGCATCATTTAGCATGAGCGCGCAAAAGATGTCGCTTATTGCTGGGTTTCAGACTCTGCCTGTCGAGATCTTGAATCTCATTATCGAACATACGGACTTCTCCTCCCATTTTCCTCTTGCGCAGACATGCAAGGCCTTGTACAGCCAGATGACATCTCTTCTGGAGCAGCACCAAACCGCGCACAGAAAGTACGGCACTGCGTCGGATCTTTTGCCCTCTACCGTTCCAAATGTGTTGGACATCGTTTTCCGCTGTAAGGATCCCTCGCGCTCGATTGAAATATGGCACATGCGCTACGTCGAGTTCTTTGGAACCCGCGGGCAGTGGGACGACTGGCATCCATGGGAGGTTGATCCGGTGACCGGTCTCAATGCTTCTACGGCGCCTGAAACCGAGTCCGGCCCGTATGCCTCGGAATCTGAGCTATCAGAAAACGAGAATACAGAAGTTTCGGTGTTATCACCTGATGTTCGACGATGGAAGAGACGTGTGGAATATTATATTGAGGAAGCAAGAAAGCGTAGGATTATCCCTGAGTCCACTTTAGAATACGCCAGGACGTCTACCTTGTCTGGATCTGATGCGGTGTTGAAGGTAATCCTCGTCTCTGCCTTGCCGTATCTGAAGGTCCTCAAGTACGTGAACGCCGATTCCTCTTCTTCACCGAATATTGTTTCGTTTTGCAGAAGTATTGAGTCGGCTTTGGACTTCGGTGTCTGGCCGCCTGGCCTCCTCTCGCTTCAAAAGCTCGCAGTCGGGGTCTCCCTCTCTAATAGGACTTCGTCGATTGGCACTAGCGTGCTTGTCAGACTCCTGCAACTGCCAAACCTTGATGAAATCTATCTTCGCGGCATGAGAATTGATAGAGAGGATCTTAAGTTTGATGACTCTCTCGATTCCGATGATGAGGACAATCTCTTCTGGCATCTTTCGGACCTTGATGAATCGGAAAGGGCCCGTGAGAAAGCCCGCATTCTGCGAAGCCGCCTGTCGCTCCCGGTCCATTCTTCATCCATCAAACACATCGTCCTTGACGAGCTGATGGACTATGATGGGACTGGGGATTTCATGATTGCCCTGCTCAAAACACCCAAGAATCTCGAGTCTATCACTATCTGCTCATGTGAGGAGCCACTTGCGAAGACGGATGAGATGATACGTGTTCTGTCTCAACATCAACCCGCGTCTCTTCAAAAAATACTCTTATACTTGGAGGACGATTACATTGGCGGGGGCCATGCTCCTGTTTATCTCCTCTCTGATTTGAAAGGTTGCAACAACCTCAAAGTGTTGAACGTCAAGTGGAGGGATATCATATCTGATAGGCGCTCGTCAGCGATCAGTTCCAAGGACCTTCTCAACGCTGAAAAGTTTGTTTCCCACTTTGTGAACGCATTTCCTCCGAGCATGTCTGTTTTGGTCATTTATGAAGACTGTTTGTATTGCGGCGAAACCGTCGGGCGCCAAATCCATGAATGTCAGAGCTTGAGCGATGCCTTAGTGGCACTGATCGAATCAAAACAATACCCATGCTTGGAGGCCATCTATCTCGCCATTGACAGGGTCGAGCGAAGCATGCTTGATCCAGATCTAGTACCCGAGACTCACTTTCAGCGCACAATAGATGCTGGGCAGCGGCATGGTATTCACATCATCCATGCGCCAACAAGTACCGAGCGGCCTGCTTCTCACAATAGTTATTTTGTGACTATGCCGAACATCCATGAGATCAAATCGACACCGGGATATGATCCGAATTGGGTGTTTGACCACTCTACTGGCCGAATTAAGTCTAACCAACCGTGTCACGGCTGTGGGTGGTGTGATAAATGTCGCGGAGATTGATGATTCGGCCATATGGGAGCAAGTAGCAGAGCCGGCAAGTGGGTGAAACAAAACATGGCACATCGAGATAGTTCAGTACTGAAATTCAATACAATAAATATCACAATACACAACCTAGTACTGAATACAATATCAAGATAAATACTATAGAATAGTTTACTTTCCTCTTATTACTCTCTAATTATTGTGTTTAGTTAAAAAATGAGGTGATCGAAAAGCAAACGATAGACAGTGAGCTTGGTCAAAACTAAGACAAGACGAATTCCATATCGTAGTAACGATAGTACTAATACCTCACTCCTGTTTCTCTTCCTTCTTTGATAAATCCAGGCGGCTCATCTTATTTGCATGTCGAATCGCTTCTATCGCCCCATCCCAAGCCTTCCTCTTCCCAGTCTCGAAGTAGCGGAGCATATGAGGCGTATTCACACCATACGCCAGCAAAAGGTATGTTCTTGGATGGTGCAAGGAGAACCGTAGCCCCTGCCAGGTCCAGCCCAGATTCTCATACAGACCAGTGCCGGCAGTGCTATGCACCCAGCGCAACCAAGAGTCTGGCTCCACGAGACCCTCGAGCTGCACTAAGGGCTCCGTGTAACATCTTTTGACATACCAGGCCTGGCGTTCACGGATTTGGCGATCCATTTCCTCTCGTGGCGGCAGGGAAGACTTGCCTGTCCATATTTGAGCGATGGCCATTGAGGCTAGCTCGCGACACTGCGCGGCACTGCCGAAGAGGACGGCAAAGTTGAGGAATGCGAGACTGTCGGGGTATTCAGGCGAGATGACGTTGTAGTAGAGGTTTGGCTGTGGTGGAACTTTCGGATCAACTTCAGTGAACTTAACAACTGCTTCATCAAGAACCCCGAATGGTGTCGAATACCCAGTGCAGCATATGATAGCATCCACATCCTCCAGCACTGTTCCGTCCTCCATCTCCACCGCCTTGGGTCCAACTATCTTACGCAGAGACCATGTTGACTGCACGCGTCCATCGCGCAGGGCCGGGATCAGGTCATCGGTCATAAGCACTCCAGTGACATTGCTGGCATATCGCGGGTGCCAGTCGAAGCGGAACTCAGGCTCGATTTCGCCCCATGAGCTGCGCATCGCGGCGGTGAAGTTCTTGTTTATCATCCAGGCGTGAAGAGCAGGAAAGTAGCGCTCAGCCCAGAATAGTGTAGACACGGCCTTCCACATGGCAAATCGGTCGAACCTCTTGCCTTTCACCATACGGGGGATGACCAAGGCTCCTCGTCGATGCGCGAAGTACACCTTGGATGCCTTTTCCGTAAGCTCCTGGAACAGCATTAGCATGTCTCATACATGACAGCTCGTTTGGCGTGGTGAGTCTTACAACTGCGCAGTCGGCTGCAGAATTGCCCTGCCCTAAGATAATTACGTTCATGCCGGCGAATTCCTCTGGCCTTTTGATGGTTACATTAGCCAGATTTTAGGCACAGACAACGCGACTCTCATACCGTTTGTATGCTTGCGCATGTATCAGTCTGCCCTTAAATTGTTCTTGCCCTTCGATTGTGGGCACCTTGGCTTTCGTTTCAGTACCTACAGCGTAAATGATCTTATCGAAAGGTCTCATGTTGTCTGACCCGGAGATTTTGACCAGCCAGAGCTTGCGCGGCTCGTCTCTCTTGATGGCCTCTACAGTGACGCCAAATTGAATCCTATCCATGAGACCGTAATGAATGGCGTAGTCTCGATAATAAGCCCCGAGATCGGCACCTGTTGGGTGACGAGGAACATCTGCATGCAGGCGTATTAGCATCTATACGGAGCCTCTCAATTGATATGGACGTACCGTCTGAATGAGGAAAGTCCGAAAAGGGCGTCTTTCACAATCAGTCTACAATTTAGCGTATGGCAGATAAGTGCTAGAGGAGCCATGACGCACAAGAAACTTGCTCAGCTGGGCCTTGGTCTGGCTCGTGACGGAGGTGTGCGTTGGGTCTTCGCTGAACGCCCAAATGCCACCAGGATTGGCGCGTTGCTCAAAGCAGGTGACCTCGAAGCCCTCATCCAACAGTGACTTTATGGCGGCGAGGCCAGCAGGCCCTATCAACATGTATTAGCGACAGTTTCATAGAGAAATTGTATAGCCGTAGCTCTCACCTGCACCAATTACCGCGACGTGCGCTGCCGTGGCCATCGTTACAATTGATATGATCAACTTGACGCGTAAAAAGAGGAAGAGGAGAAGTCAATGGTGAAACACTTTAGATAATAAAATACCATCTGGCCCCCAAGGCAATCTGACCTCTGCTGACGGCGCTATTGAATGGGGTTAGACGTGCTGACTGACGAGTGGCGGGCACATTAGCATCTTTCCACCATCATGGATCATCATCCTGGTTATCTATGATACGTGTCGCAGTCATTTGGATCCGAGGGATCATTCTAAATCTCACCATATACCTCTCCTATACATATGTCCCCTCCCAAAACAGTGCTTTCTTTCGTCAGTTTCGCCCCTTTTGGCTTCGTCTTAGCACGTCCAAGTCATTGCAAGATCTACAATATCATCTGACCCTCAGTGGGGTTTTATATCAGAGCCTGGAAGGGAAGCATCGTCTTCGCTTAGTCGGTTTCTCTAGGTCTACCAAATTTCTTTATGCTAACCCATGGCCATTCAATCCTTATATCGTTCATAATTTTCTGCGTTGCTTGGACCGGTGTAAAATATCTTTAGCGAGACGACGAGAGAAGCTATCGTTGCGATAGCCGCATCATTGTGCGGTTATATACCTTCTCCCCATCGACCTCATTAATGCGATCAATCCATGCTGTTGATCGAAGTAACTGCCGTACCTCAGTCCAGGCCGACAGACCACCAGCACGTAGAAGCCTCTCAAACCAGAGATCCAGTTGTCGATGCTCGCATTCTGGAGGTTGCAGCATATGCCACGCGAAGAAGAGCCATAACTGTAGCGGAAGAGAAGCTCCGGGGTTCCCATTATCGAGATTCTTCAATGTCGCTCCTAGCATGCACCGTAGGTGATAAAATTCGACCATCTGGTTATGCCATTGGAGGAACATCATCGAAGTGTACGACAGCATGCCAAGTCGAATCGTTTCCTCTGCGGAGTCCAACTCGAAAGAAAGATTCAACAACCGGTATACTAGGGACAGCAGAATCTCGCTAAATGTATTTCGAGGAAGCTTTTGATTTCTTTGAGATGCCGAGTTACTCATTGAGCAAAACTCGACAAGGTCATCCCAGACTATGCGTAGCCTGTAACCCAGTGTGCCGATCCATGAAGCCAGGCTCGTTTGGACGGCATCCCTCTCTCCACTTCTGTGGCAGTTAGGCAGCAGATATGGGGTCCACGAGATTGAGTCGTGGAAAAACACGGGATCTCTCCATGTCCTCACAGCAAGGGCGAGATCGATCCTGTTAGAAGTCAGTTTGTGTCTTCATAACACGATCCGTATACACACACCGACAAATCTTGGCAAGAAGATCTGGTACTTCTGTGTGTAATAGGTGGACTCCACCTCTCATATCAATCATCCTCTTCAGACCCCGGAGATGACGGTCAACTGTTGGTAGATCACCAGCCATCTCCGCTGCAAAGGCTAATAAGAGAACAGACATAATAGTCGTATCTGATGCAGAGTTAGTTGTGTTCTCATCAGATACTTTTTCCTGCAGAAGCTGAAGTGCCATCAGAGAATGGTGCTGGGATTTCAGGAGACGGTTGCCTTCTCTCGGCGTGTAAAAAAAGGCCTCGGTAGCTGAAACGACAGCATGAAAATACATCTGGTTATGGAACATAGTTCCCACCCAGTATATATCTTCACTATCTGCCTCCGTACACAATCTATCAGGGTACATATTTCCAGATAGCAAAGAGAAAACTGAAACCGATGAGCTCTTGATGCAGAAGTTAGAGGGAGCAGCGGAACAAACATTTGCCGAGGTTATAGAGAAGAAGGGGTGTCAAGGCATCAGAAAAGGCGAGTCTTGGGACTTCTGCCAGTTCTGGGCCAGGGCTAAGGGTAGGCACAACTACCAGTTGACTTCCATGTTCGGGCGTCGTGTCACCTGATCTCATGGCATGGTAACGTCTTGAAGGTGACCGAGTGTTCGATTTTCGCAGCCGGCTGCAAGGGTTCCCTGCCTTTGCAGCATGGCTTTTGATTTGCCTGTTCTGTGCGCGTGTTCTTCTCTGGGCCGGAGTACTGACAATGAATGGGAAGCTCTCCGGGGTATCTGCTTCAATACTCCTGTTAGCTAAGCCACGATCGGAGAAGCAACTGCGCTATTCAGCAAATGGTAGCAATTAGAACAGTGTAGCTGCTTACCCATCTTTCTTCCTATTATTATCCCCCTAGTTTGAGTCCGATAGTCGCCGCGTTGCTCAGTGGCCCGAAAGACGCAACTGACTACGGTTGAGATGAGATTGAACTTCGCCGGATGTCCCGAGACGCCGCAACCTCGCTCTGCGTTATTTGGGCTTTGTTGTCTTTGGGTGAGACGTATAAAGCATTAATTGTTTTGGGAATAGCTCTGTAAGCACTAATCATGATAGGAATAGTCTCCAAGGCATTGACCATTTCAAGAATAGCGTGATAGGCATCCTACGCCGGCATTTCCCAGATTCAGCAAATGCCTGCATTTTCTAAGTTTGAAAGACAGTGAAACCTCGAGAGAAGCGAGATGCTATCACGAAATGCATGGTGATACTTCCATTATATTACAATTGGGAACAATAATGCATTTTTTATTTAAAGGGACGCGATTTTTCTCCTCAAAGTGCTTGACTTCCTCATTCAGCCCAGTTCTCATACTCTTATTCCTCTTTACTTCTAGCTACCCTATACCTAGTTAACTTTCAACCATCTTCAAAAATGTCTGCTCCAAGTGTTTGGTTGATCACCGGTGCCTCTCGTGGTTTAGGGTCCGAGATTGCCAAGGCGGCTTTAAAAGCTGGACATGTTGTTGTTGCAGGCCGTCGTGGATCCAAGTCAACCTCACAAACTACTGAACTCGAAAGTTTGGGAGCCAAATGGATCAACTTGGATATGAAGGCTGGCGACATAGAAACAATCATCGGTACAGTTGAAAAAGATTATGGCCACATCGATGTTCTCGTTAACAATGCCGGATACGGTGTTGGAGGAACTGCCGAGGATCTTAGGTTCGTCTTGTCGCTGACCTAGGAACTTCATGTGGTGTACTAACAGAATTAGCATTCAAACGATTCGAGATGTTATGGAAGTGAATGTGATGGGCCCTATTCGAGCCTGCCGTGCCGTTATACCGGCCATGCGCCAGCAGGGCGGCGGCACCATCGTCAACATCAGCAGCGTGAGCGGTATTTTAAGCTTTCCTGGAGTCAGCGCCTATTCATGTACCAAGCACGCCCTCGAAGGTATGTCGTTGCCTACTATCTCATGGACAGAATGCTGATTCGAATTTTGAACAGGGTTCACTGAGAGTCTCTCCAAAGAAATTGAGCCCTTCAAGATCAGAACAATTCTCGTCGAGCCTGGCTCGATGCCGACTGGTTTTCTTGATACCACTCTTTCCGCGGTGACCGTGCCTCGAAGCGAACCCTACCGCGGTACCATTGCTGATGTAGTTTTGTCAGCTGCGGCGGGCGGTGAGCTGGTCAAGGCTCATGGAGGCAGCCCCGTGCTTGCGGCGGCTCGGATCGTCGAGGCTGTTGATCGGACTGGGGTTTTTGCTGACCGAGACATCGGTTTGAGACTCCCACTTGGAAAGGAAACCCAAGAAATCATCGATTGGGGAAAAGATTTGGCCAAGCGCGCAGAGGAGCTCCAGGACATTGCTGTGAGCATCGCAGTTTAACGTCTAAGCGCATGGCAGGAAATAGATGAGATGAATGGCCGGGCTGTTGGCTCTCTACCGTTACGAAAGGGGAACCGAGGAGCGAAGTCGGAAGGCATTTGAAGCTCCAAAGGAACCATTGTCGTTAGATTTTATCTTCTCAATATGGGGAGATGTTTTAGCTAGATTTAGTCGATGAGTGTCTAACGTCTTTTGATCACTAAGTTAAATCCTTGAACATCCATTGACTTTTATTTATCCTATGACTTATGAAGTATCGTTTCCTAACTTCTGAAGTATTCTCTGGTGACCCAGGTCCTTTGCCAGCTGAAGCGGGATTACCCCGCCCTTCGTTGGCATCTTCCTGTTGATCTTCGGATGTTTGAGTAACTTGATTACAGTATCGACATCGTTGGAATATATTGCAAGATGCAGTGGTGTATATCCGTCCTGGTTGACTTGGTTGGGGTCGATATCCGGATGCTCCAAAAGGTAGTCCACTGGCAGCGGATATGAATAGTTGGTGGCAACGTGTAAGGGTGTCCACCCCTGAACATCTTTCAGGTTTATCACCGCTCCAGCTCCGCGGTCTAGGAGTAGCCTCACGAGATCCGGGAGACCCCTAAACACCGCCCACCAGAGAGCTGTCCTCCCAGTCCCATCAGTGACATTGATGTCGATTTTTGGATGATCCAACAGCATCATCGATGACTGTAGATGACCTCCCTCCGCTGTTAGGCATAGAGGTATCATTCTGACATATCTTTTGGTTTTCTTTGCATACGATGTTTTGAGCTCGAACCTTTTGTCTTGCCCTGGTCGGGAATGTAGACGAGTATATGTCTTTGGAAACTTTGGCGCATAATTCGGATCTATTTTGTCGTGTGCCAGTAGAAGTTCCACAGTCCCGATATGATCCCCTAAAATCGCATTGGCAAGTGGCGAGGCATTGGAATTCCCCAAATTAACGTTGATTTCGGGTCTCGTAAGCAGCAGCTTTACTACCGACTCGCGACCTTTCCCTGCCGTGTAGAACAGGGCAGTTCCAAGTGACGGTTCGTGGCTTTGGCCGTTCGGATCCACGCCGCTATGTTTCAGCAGCTCCTCTATAATGTCATAGCGCTTTGAGTAGACGGCTGCCAGCAACGGCGTGTTGTGATTGAGTCCCGTGTCCCTCATATTAGGATCAATATCTGGTCGCTGCAGGAGGCGTCGGACTATGTCCAAGTTCCCAGTCTCTATGGCAAACGTGAGGAAAGTACTGCACTCGCCATGGGGAAGGTTGGGATTAACGTCAGGCCGTGATAGGAGAACTTCTAGGATGGCTTTGTCGTCGTTTTCTATAGCAGTTCCCAAAGGCCTGCTTATTTCCTCAGCGGCCAATAAATTCGGTTTGATGTTGGGATGCTCAAGGATTGCTTGGACCATTTCCACATTGGTTGTGGGCAAGTATGTCCAGGAGGCCGTGATCGCCTCATTTAATGCCGTGGAATGGCCTTTTGGACCATTCGCGTTGGGATTCAGATATGGCCACGCAAGGAAGACCTTCACCAGCGGCAAATTACCAGCCCTGCAAGCAGCAACAAACGGGATTTCCACTCGCTCACAAATTTCCTTTGCTTTCCGGCGATAGGTATTTAACAGTAGCGAAGCGATACTTGGATCCTTCGCAACTCGCAGGGGACAGTCCTCCCGTGCTGGATCACATGGGCGGTACTTTGGGCGCGCGATCAGAATGCGGACGATTTCAGCGTGTCCATGGCCAGCAGCTTGGTAAATGAACCAGTTGGGGTCCTCAGCAAAGTGAACGCGGTTGTAGATTGGTTTTGCTGATAACCGGACGTTGAAAACACGAGCACGCGAACTCCGGGCCACGCTTTTAGCCCAGCCCTCTTTCTTTCGAATTCGTTTCGCTTCAATGTCTCCCCAATCCAGGAGTCCGCGGACAATGTTTGGGTACCCTTTACGGCATGCCAATATCATGCACGTGCATAAAATATGGGAGTCTTCGGTAGGCGTATTGCGCAGGAGACATTGGAAGATGTCCGAATGGCCATGTTCCACAGCGAGTTTCAATAGATCTCCATACCCGTCTGGAGGCCGGATGGCTGGCCCAACGTCTAAGAGACACTGGACAAGGTCGCTATGGCCATTTCGGACAGCATTGGGGAGCGGAGAACCAAAGAGGGGATGGGAGAGAGTTGGATCTGCACCACGGGAGAGTAGGAATTTGACTCTTTCGACGTCGCCTCCGCAGCAAGCAAGCTGCATAACACCTCGGGCTGATTCGGATTCCAGTTTCAGAGACTTGCCATCGCTCGCAGACGTGCTCACAATGGAGAGCTTTTCTGGAAGACTTAGGTCTAAGTTCATCTGAGCCACGCCCTCGTCGAGCGACGGCAGCCATTTGCGCACCCAATCGGCCCCGAGCTGGTGTATGATGGCGCGACAGGCCACCTCAATCCATTGGTAGAGATCACCTACATCCTCCAGCGGCCAACAGTCTTTATTGGCCATGTAGCTGGCCCAGTGATAGATGCAGGTGGAAAATTCCTCGCGGCGTACAGAGTCCAGTCTGATCTTGGTCGACAAGACCCAAATCGCCTTGTCGTCATTCCACGGCCTCGATCGCTCCAGGAGGGTAAAGCTATGTGAGGTACGAAACAAGATACCAGACGTCACGTTGTCAAACACTCCTAGAAGGTACAAAATGTCATCAGTTAATGCTCTATGCTCTTCTCGAGCACTGGAGTTATTTGATAACCGCGACTCTTAGCATCCCCAATGTCCACGTGACTTACGACTGACGAGACGAAGTTTCATGCACTCATGTCTCTCGGGGGAGCGATACCAGTCTATTGGGAAAACCCGGCCGAGTATCTGGGCCAATATCTCAGGAGGAAGATGTTGTAGGTTCATCTTGTCAGGTTCTGATTGTGAGAACAAGATAGAGATCGCGGACAGACGGAAGGACAACGCGGGAGAAGATGGCAGCGTTGGTGATGCGATGGTTGCCTCGAGTGCTGTTAGCTGTAATGGTTCGCATAAGCTGTTGGTGGCAATTATAAGCAACAACGACTGTTTCGAGCACAGACAGGGGCCGCGATGCTAAAAATAGGTAGCTCGTTTCATAAATAAGCTGGAAATTATGCACATATGCATTGGAGAATGAATTCATTGGGGCACCAGACGCGTCGCGAGCCAAGAATGTATCAATTGATAAGAAAGATGATTCCAATCATATCTCGTCGTGAAGATTGATGCCATATATACCTCAAATTGGTATGGTTTTTTCTTCTTCCAAACGCCGTTTTACCCAGCAGACGCAAACCACCTGGGCCGTATGCTACTGCACCATCGAAATCGAATTCAAGCTTTCTGAAGCTCAGCGTGGAATGCGTGAAGAATGTTATCAGTGTCCTCAATGGTGAGAGGGCGCGTATCGGCTGTTTGCTTGATCTTGGCGGTGCTGTCATGTTTTTGTTAGTTTCAGAACAATTCGATTCAAGGCGAAAGGCACTTACACTGCCTTGACCTCATCATCAGTCATTACCAAACCAAGCTGGTCGACTCTGCTGCGTACGGCGTTCCAACCAGTTCTATAGAGTGATTAGTTGGTATTTGCAATAGATCAGAGTGATTCAACTTACACACGACTGTTAATGGCCACATTGCGGGAGATACCGTACTCTGCTGGGTCGAAGACTTCGTAGGTCTGCGTGTGTCAGCTTCCAGGTATATATGTGCCTTGCTTCGTTTGACTTACTGAAGGGTTGTTGAGAATAGCCTTGGCATGGATGCCTGCCTTGTGAGTGAAAGCGGAAAATCCACTTGACCGGAGGTTAGCCCTGGCGTATCGTTTATTGTGCTGGGATGCTATACTTACGTCACTGGGTTGTTGTACGGAACATTGATGTTAACCGCTTCGGAAACGACGGTTTCAAGTGCCTTGAGCTCCTTGAGGTTGTACTTGCCCTTGGTGTACTCTGGTGCGGCGACGAGCATACGGGCAGCTATTTCAAGTCTTTGTTAGCACATGCAAAACAATATTCACCATGACAAGTGGCAACACTTACAAAAAGCTCCCAGGGGAACGAGACCATTTCGCTCGCCTAGATACACGAATTAGAGTTAGATCACATGTCGATGCCATCCATAACACCAAAGTTATTATTACTAACCAATTCCCAGAACGGTGGTATCAATATGGGTCGCTCCAGCCTCGAGGGCTGTCACCGCATTTCCAACGGCACAACCTAGGATTCGTCAGTCTTGGAAACGCATTACACCGAAGACATGAACACAAACCTGTCTCGTCGTGGAAGCGGCACTCGATATCGCCCTTTATGACACCTTTTCATCTGGTCAGCTTTCCCTGCTATAAAGAGGAAAACCAGGCCACTTACCTCGAAGTGTTCGCACATTATCGTCTACTAAACGAGGGGTAGTTCCGCCACTACCGAGGGTTAGCAAATCTGCTGTGTGATATAAGCACATGGTTTGGCATACATAATATCGTTTATTCCAACCCGGTCTGCTCCAGCCTCCTTAACAGCCTGGTAGAGGCTCAGTAGATCGACAAGATCGGAACGGAAGGTGTCCTCGAACGAGAATTGTGTCTCCACGTTTTGGCTGAATGACAAAAAGCAGTTAGCAATGCGCATCCAGAAAGCTCCGACTCACGCAGCAGCCGAATATTTCGCGGATCATCCTATGCGAGCCCGACTGACCTCTTCAGGTATGATATCACTTCCACAGCAGATTCCTGGATCTTTTCTAAGCTCTTCTCGTGGGAGACGTCAGAGGAAAAGCTAGATGCTCCAACAACAAGACCAACACTTCCGACACCGGCCTCGACCTAACAATCAGTTGTCAGCTTGACCATCAGGGGGGCCTGCGGTTGTGAAACTTGCAGCTTTCTTGGCTTCCTCCAGATCACAGCGCACGTCTGTTTCGGTCAGTCTTTGGATCGGTCGTTTCGAGGGACGTTACGAACGGGTATGGAGCTTGGCCTGGCCGATTAGTTAGCCATATGTCAACCGTGGTACTTGTTGTCCTGATCCATAGATGCCGCCTACCTTCAGGCCCAAGGCAGCGATAGCCTTGGAGTCCTCGAGTGCTTGTTCGCTTGAGGAGGGGCTCGTGATCTCAATGTAGTCAACGGCAAACGAGTCCAGGGCCTTCGCACTGCACACCATTAGCATCACGGTTTGGAGCTGCCGGCGTCCTGTCTTACATGGCCACTTTGGTGTCTCGGGAGAGGGGGTTCGTTGCCCATTGGTCGGCTTCTCGCAGCGTGCTGTCAATCTGGTCGATGTCAACAACAGGGCGCTTTCCTTCATGTATCAAATCGGAGTATTACAATCTTGTAGCTCGCAACGTTCGATGGGGATGACCCGCTGGCCGCGTTCGCAGTTGCGCTCATTGCGTCGAGTCTCGGGCTTGGTGGTCGATTCGTTGCTGTCTGAGTCGTGGATTGATGGGCTACGGGGGTATTTCGGTGTCGAATTCTTGGTTTCGCGCGTTGTCTCGCTCGATTGGAAGCTGGCTGGCCAGAGTCGCGGGGTGTCGCTATTCAGGAGTTGTGATGTCTTGGGAAGAGTTTTTTCTTGGTGGAGGGGCAATTCGCATGTCTGCGCGCTGCAGCGAAACACGTCATTGTCAATTGAGCCGATGGCGGAGTTTGGCTCATCACCCCTGTAACGATACTATCACCCCTCTGTAACGGTGCTTAGGCGCTACTTGCGCTCAAGCTATGCCCTACAGCGATTCAAATTAACCTCACGCTGTCCAATGCAGCAAATCAGACGGTGACCCTCACTACCTTGACCTCTGCTTTTAGACGCAGAAAAATTACTGAATCTACGTATCTAATCTCGCGCATAGTATATTTAAATTAGGCACTAGAACCTGAATTAGTCCGAAGCATGACACTCGCCTATTGATGACTGGCGACGATATCTTAGGAGGCACCTACTTCAGGCAAAATTGGCTAACGCATGAGGGAGAGCCCTTCGATCCACTTGCTTACATCAAGCTTAAATCAGTTTCGTCGTTTGATGTGAGTGTTCCCCTCGGCTGCATTTGGTGATGAGTTGCACGACCGGATGTCCGGCGGCGATGGGTCTCTTCCTTCAGGGCGCCTTGAAAGCATTCCGCCGCCGGGCTGACTGGATCCGGTTGTAGCAAGAGAACGGTTGAGGTAGGTATTATATCCTTGCAAAAGAGATCACCGGCGCGGCCGGGTCTCGAGATATAGGGCGGCGGACGGCTCGTGATTTTGTGAATCTTGTCACTGCTACATCATACGTTCCATCCATACTTTCAAGATGATACACCATCACTTTCCCAGAATGATCTTTCAGTTCATCTTCGTGTTGGCTAGTCTTTGTCCTGGACTTTTAGCCGCGACCTCTTCAACACCCACCCCACCAAGTCAAGATCCATGGTACACCGCGCCAGTTGGGTATGAAAATGTGAAGCCTGGAACAGTCCTCAGGTTACGGAAAGCCCCGGGGAACTTGACTGACACGATGGCTCATTCATCTACGGCATATAATGTACTTTTTAGTACCACCAATAGCCGGTACCAACCGACCTGGGCCGTCACAACTGTTCTCGTCCCAGAGCTCGGCCTGAATAGTACTGCGCAGTCGGCCTTCAACCAATCCGCATTGTTATCTTATTACATACCCTATGACTCTTCATCTCTCGACTCCAGCCCTAGCTACACGCTCTATGGTACTCAATATGCTCAGCAACTTGATGCTGCCTTGGCACTAGGGCTGTTTGTTTCAGTGCCCGACTACGAGGGCCCATTGGCGGCTTTCACGGCCGGAGTCAACTCGGGACATGCATCCATTGACTCGATTCGTGCCGTTCTTTCACTTGGTCTGGGCATGAACACAAACTCGGCACGAGTCGCGCATTGGGGCTACTCTGGCGGTGCGCTTGCTGCAGAATGGGCTTCCGAACTTATGGTTCAATATGCGCCAGAATTATCCGAGACCATCGTCGGTGCTGCTCTAGGAGGACTTACACCGAATGTTTCTAGCGTCTATGGAACTGTTTCAGGAGGCACCTTCGCTGGTCTGGTACCAAGTTCCCTCCTTGGTCTGACTGCGCAGTATCCTGAGGCGCGGGAGCATCTGACTTCTCAGCTTAAAGATTCCGGACCATACAACAGCACTGGATTCCTTGCGGCACTGAAGATGAGCGTTGATGAGGCTGGTGTTGCCTTTGCGGGCCACTATATTGGCGAGTATTTCCAGAATGGTTTTGCAACGTTCCAATCGCCCATCATCCGCAACATCATCAACCGAGACGGAATGATGGGATACCACGGTGTGCCGCAGATACCGATCTTCTCCTACGTGGTTATTCAGGATGAAGTTAGTGACGTTGCCGATACGGATGCCCTGGTAGACCGGTATTGCCAAGTCGGTGCCAATATCTTGCACGAGAGAAACTCGATTGGTTCACACCTCGAGGAGGCGTACAACAGTGCATCAGCAGCTCTCAATTGGTTGACGGCCGTTCTCTCAGGCTCATATGCTGCGAAATACAACAGTGTTGGGTGTACCATCCGAAACGTCACTAGAAACGGTACTATCTCTGGTGTCTAAAAGAGAAGTAAGTGGCAGGACAACGCATTCAACATGCCTTCCTAAGTTCGCATTGAGCGATCAAAATGTCCCGTTTTAACAACACTGCCTAAGAATGCCACTTCTGTCATATTAGTTATCGCTTGTAACCCTATAGATATATTAGACTTTCAAATTTGTCATACACAACATAACCCGTATATATACAAAAACAAATTGGACATGAGATAAACTTTGCTAGACTTCCAGCGCTTAGGGCAGACTGCGGGTTAACGTTGCTAATTCTGAAGCCGGATCTCATCAACAATGGATATCGTTAGTTGAATTTGACGTTTTTTGAGGAAATGGCCATAGAGAACAGGATATTATACAGTCGAACTGCCGATACTTCATTGCCACGGGATGTCATCGAAGATATCCTGCATCATTGGAAACATTGCCGGGTCCAGAAGGAAGGGCGAAAAGTCTGCTTCAGCCATGGTCATGAAGGTGTCTTGCGGCAAGAGAGACATGCCGTTTTCCTCATCTATGCCAGAACCAAATTCACTTTTAAAGACCGCTTTCAACGCGCTAAACTTATGGATGCCGAGTAGGAAAGCCTGATCCGACTGGGAATCCGGTATGGACAACGCCGCTTGCTCAAATCTCTGTATCACTGTGTCCAAGACTGGCACCAATTCGGCGCCCTTTTCAACCAAGAGTGAGTTCCAGGTAGGTACTTTTAAAGCCGTGATTCGATATATGAACACCGTGACGTAGTATAGTTGGCTGTAGTTACTAGCCGGCAGAAATCGTAGGTGGTCCAGCGGTATTGAAAAGTAAAGATCAAGCCAAGACTGTAGTGAGTTGACGACGCGATGGTAATGTGCAAAATTCTGCATATCTTTGTCGTGTGACACTGAAGACTTATTAAGAAAAGATTCGTGTACCATAAGCATACTGAAATGGTATAGCCTCTTCATTGCAGCTACGGGGTATGTCAGTTTGACATCTTAGCAAGCTTGAATATGAACTCACAGTTGTTGTCAAAGGTATTACTGACCCCATCGGTGAGGGTTAGAAGGCTATCGAGTTCTGAGCGGAGAGCATCAGAGTAGATAGCAGGTACTTGGACATTATTGCCTCCACGGTACGCCGAGCGAAGGCGATTTATTATGAGTTGCAGCTTCGCTTGTGTGATGAGAACGTGATCGTGTGGTTCAGTGCTATTATTAGAAACGTAGTTTAAGCATTCGTCGAGATAAGTCGACCAGCAAAGGCCATCAGCAGATCTGAATGCGTGGCATGTCCTGCAAATATTGTAAGCCAAGCTGTTCAAAGACAGTTGTATGAGTATTGCAGCCTTCTAGTACACACATGGAGGTAATTATATAAGCTCCTATGAGGGCTCTTCGATCCTCCATAGTCCTGTCCTTGCGGATCTGCGGCAAGAGTCCAAACCCTTTACCGTTCAGGAGTTGCCCAACCTTGGACGGGTATTCGGGCGGCGTCATGTTCAAGCCGAGATCCTGAATCAACGCCACTGCGATTTGCGAAACCATCGAACCAAACAACTTGTCCATGGGAAGTAGATGCATCCTGTACCTAATTAGCGCAGCCTTGATGCTATGATCATTGTTCTTACCAGCAAAGAAAGGTCAAAACTCCAAGCAACATGTCGACACTTCTCGTGCCGTCAGCCACTATCTTTTGAACTATAATGTTTTTGACTTGGCGGCCAAGGGAATATCGGGTTTTGGTGGGGAGAGAGGCTACGCTCATGATGCTCAACCAGAGAAATGGGTATTGTTGACGGAGCGTTGCTGCGTCCCATTCATTCGGAATGTAGACGTAAGGGCATAAGGGCTGGAGACATGATAAGTTTAGTAAGATAATGAACAAGTGATCCCGTATTTACTTACCACCATCTCGTCACGGAATCGCTGGAAAGTAACTTCTGCTTCTTCGAGGGAGGGCTCATCGGCGTATGTCTCAGGTTGGAAAGCTGTAGGCGTATCATTCGTCAAGGTGGGCGAAGTTTCGTTGCCGTCGTCATCGTCATGGGTAGCCTCTTGAAGCTGGGGAGAGACGTTTGGAAAATTAACCGGGGCCTGTTGGAGTCTCATTAGAGACATGAGGTCATCCAGCTTCTTCTCAAGTCGCGCCGACGCGGGGGTTGGGCGCGATGGACCATGGCTCTTTGGACCGCGTCGTTTCGCTGGTGCCGAAGGCACACATGGCTTATTCAAGCGATGACATCTGTCTTGTTAGCTTACGCCTGTAGGAATGTTTGAACAGTTCCTCCATCACCAACCTCTCGCACCCACCGCCTTCCGAACGTATGATGCATTTAGATTTAACCCTAGCACAATTTGCACAAGCTTTGCGCTCGGGGCCTCGGAGGGACGTTGATTGGGCAGGACAGTCCATCAGGCAACCAAAAAAAAAGACAAATTTAATGAACTTGATGGGTGATGTGGACAAGCTATGGACAAACAGGCCGGTTTCGGTGTAGTCTCGGTGGGCGGAGTACTACCAATCACACAGGGCAAGCCAGCAACTGCTAGGGCTCCGGAACCGGGTGGGCTTTCGGCAAATTGAGTGACTTGTATTCTAGAGTGACGGAACTGAGGTGATGATGTGAAGAGACGAGATTACCGACAAGTCAGGGCGGCAGGATTTGGGTGAAGAGGTGAGCCGGGAATCCGGCGGACTAGAACCGGGACCGGAAACAATAATTATGCCGGTTCCGTCCCTCCTTTTCCCCCACCAAGGATGTTTAAATAGAGACAAACACTGCTACAGCCTTGCATTCTTACAATAGTGAAAGGATTTTGTCCCCTTGTTTGTCATGGTATATTTACACGTTCCTTAAATTTAGAGGACAGGCGCCTCGTTCTCGCCTTCTCTTATTAGTTATCACCGTAGCATGTTGATCCATACAGAACCACCAGTTTCTATAAAGGCAGACACCAATTTCCCATGCGTCTTCTATAAGTTCATTACAGTTATCCCACCCCACTACATTTCCATGTACCCTAATACCCTCCTGGGGGTCATCGAGATCATGTATCAGCCGCTGGATGGCTTTAGCCTGCCCTATACTGCAAGGATCGTCGTTCTGGGCGATTGGTGGCCGACACATCGACGGCAGGGACAGTGTACATATAAGCCTTTCACGCACCGATGGCCATGGCAGGATATCAAGGATCGGATGATGTAAGATGGTGACCTGAGCTGGTGTAGGTTGGAGATTGCGGGGCAGATTAGCCGCAGATGTTGGCGAAAGAACATGAAGATAATCGGGATCCCAGACCACATTCATCAGGTTCAAACATGTGGCAATGGAGGAAAATGCATGCATTGCACTTAGTAGCGGCACTTGCAGTTGGGCGTCACTGCTCAGTGGGGAGTCAGAAGAGGTGAGCTGTGGTGCCAAGGATGAACTTGACCGAGAAGAGGGTGCCAACGGATTGGGGTTGAGAAGGTTATTCGTATCTTGAGGTGTCAGCATACTTCATATCCAACAACCAAAGTGTGAATGGAGCGCCACTCACCGAAATAGTGAAGAGGGGACATGTCCAGAGACTCCTGTCTGAAATCTATTTCTGGCAGGTCGAAGCCATCTGAGGTACCCACCATCTCTTCGATCGCAACATTTGGCGGGGATGTTGAACATGTTTCAGAGACGACTTCTTGATGCCCCTCAAAAGCTGGTGGTTCTGCGACCTCTTTAATTTTTGCTTGGGCTTCTAGAGCTGCAATTTTCTCTCTTTGCCTTTGGCCTGTGACGTTGTTAACGACTTCTGGCCATTAAGAGTGACGACATAAAGTAAATCCAGCGTACATACGATACCGTCTTTGTGCAAGGACGTTTAATACACGCTTACGTTCTGGATCGCCTGAACTGGGTATATTGTCTGTTGCCTTTGTCTTTCTTCGTCGTTCAGGAGGCATAATGTTATGCTTGCAGTATGCTCAGTAAATATTGATGAAGGATGGATTGGACGTTAAGCTCACAAGGTGCGGGGGCACTCTTATTAAGGGCTGAGTTGGGCTAAGGCTGTGCCTTGACCGTGGGTAATTCGCAGGTGTTAGCTGTTAGTGCTGCCGGTTGTTCTAGACCTTTTTAGTACCTCCTAAAAGCACCATACATCATATTCTATTCTATCTATCATTATTACCTAAATTTATTTAGTGTATATATCTCCGTATACTTAGCTGCTCTAAGACATTCACATCCCGAAGTTTATGTACTGAAATTCGACTGCGCTCTAGCTACTCAGAGCACAGAAGTCACTAGGGGCAGGGATCACAAAATATAACGTTATGTTTGTGCGGAGTGGCAAGAGAAGCGGAGCAATAATCTCTCCGCTCATCCTCATCAGGTACCCGAGCTATCTTTTGGTATTAACTTTGTATCTAATCTTAAAAGCTAAATAAACACTAACTACTACCTCTGGTTTTACTAATAGACTGTAGGTCGCCTGAAGTAACGTTATGCAAGCAAAGAGCACCAAGCTTAATCTTTTTCTTTATGTCAGGTAAAATACCTTAAAAATCACCAGCGCATGCCTTGCTGAAGTTATTCTAGAGTAAAATGTCTTCTCCTCTATACTTTACAGGTTGAATAATCTTCTAACTAAATTACCAAACCTCCAACATGGCTTCCTCAAGTTATCAAAACAAAGCCCATCCTAAGTCTCTTCTACCGGATGATCTTGCAACGCAAAAGTCTACCTCCGAATCTCTAGTACAGGGTGCCATCTTTGCAATACAAGCCCTCGGCTATGCACGCATTGGCTTAGGGGCAGCGAGTCTCCTTGCCCCGAGCTCGATCTGCGGACTCTTCCGATTTCTTATTTCCAACGAAACAGCCATTGTTGTTCGGATGTTCGGTGTTCGTGGCGTTGCTTTAGGTTATCTTATTCTTAACGCCGATCACGCCGATCAAAAGACGCTTTCCGGCAGGGAAGAGCTGAAGAGAATGCTCTGGGCCAACTTTGGATGCGATGTGGCGGACATTTGCAGTATTGCATTCGCGGTCACTAGTGGGCACATGGATCGGCTGCCGGGAACATTTCTTGCAGGGGGTGCAGCTGTTTGTGTTGCCATGGCGCTTCTGGGAATCAAGACTATTGAGGATATTCAAACTTTGGCTTTCAAGGATGAGTGATAGGAGGGCCGGCGGCATGATGTATCATGTGTCCACTATCCAGATCCTGCAGCAGCCCGAAGTCAATGTTTAGTTTATTACATAGCGCTGACAGCGCCCAGTTACCTGCTACAGTTCGTGGCCAAAAGTCTGTGACTGGCCCCTTACAGTGCCTTACCCTAAACCCACCAATTTCGTCTCAAACACACTTGAAATAATCCTTGGAAATTTTATCTAAAAAGTCTTAAGGAAGAATACATAAGCTTTTTCATATAATGAGCTATTTGAAATCTTTTTTAATACGTAGGTTAGAGACTTGGAGAGGGCTGCATAGGCGTTTGATGTCGGCGAACAATTGCAGCCCCAAAATATTTGAACAATGAACGCTGGAGATCAACAACTTCCCCACTTGTTTTCACCCCCGACGTTTTACACTTTTTCCTACTATTCAAGTAAACGTACCTTATGATAAGTCTTGAAATCTTTTGTCATTCATTAGTTTTGGACCTTCTATGGAACTCCCACTGGACGCGTTGGTTATCAACCTTTATGACATTAACCTAAATACAACGAGAAATCTGGTCTATATGAGTAAATTCTACCCGGGCGCCCACATTGGCCACAACAGGTCCTAGACTGTAATTGCAACTGGTCTAATTCACAAAGGGTCCCGATTTGAGAAGCTTCTTGAAATCCGTTTCGGTCAGCCTCTGCACACCAAGCAGACGATTCCCTTCCTCCGCGTCCGGGAAGACGTTCATCTCAGCATCAAACACGAACCCACATACAATGTCGGCGATCACAGAAGGATCAAATTGACCCGAAAGCAGCTTTCCAATTCCCTTCTGATATCTCTCCTGCGTGTTGACATGGGCCAATTCAATGTCCTCACCAGGGAATGCCTCCTTGGTAAGCTCAATGATCCGGTTCTGTGTCAGTCTGATTACTTCGATTGCCAGAACCTTGTTTCTTGTATGCTCAGGGTTCTTGAGAGCACCAACAACGGCATCGCCAAATGCCTTTCGTGTCGTGAGAGCAAATTCAAGGTTGCCGTCATCATGGATGGTGAAATGACGCTTCGGAATGGACATGCAGTAGTCACTGCCCATCATCCAGTCAATCCATGGTCCACCCAGAATGGACGTGTACTCAATCAGGCCCTTAGAAACCTTTTCCTGAATGGAAGCAGCGACTTGAATTTTGCCGGAAGTGAGGGGGCTCTCCTTGACTTTTGGGAGTCGAGTATCAGAGCCGAACTCGGAAGGGATGAATCGCTTCACGCCAGCAATGATAGCTGAATCAAGAAGCCGGAGCTGAAGGTCCGACAGGTGTCCGGCTACAGCCGAAACAACAGCATCAAATCCCCTCAAGGCCTCCGCAAGGTTGTCGACGGATTCGTAGTCAACCGTAATGATTTTGACCTCGGCCGGGATCTGACCTCCTTTCCCGCCCCGGGTAAATACTGTGACCTCAAAGAGCCCAGATTTGGCCAGCTGCTCGACAATTATGGATCCTAGATCACCAGTCCCCTAGAGTAGAGAAGGAAGAAATCATCAAGTCAATTTAGAGCATCTTGTTGGTTTTGGCTCTTGTTACTTACACCAACAACTGCAACGGTTTTGATTGATGCCATTGTACGAAGACTGCAGAAATTTGAAAGCTTTGACAAAGTTTATAGAGCTCTGAAAAATTGGATTGTGGCTGAGAGGAGAGTGGTTGAAGGTATTCCATCTCCTCTTGACCATCTTTATACCTACTTACGCAGGCTTGATGCCCACCGGAGCATTATATGAGCTGTTTATCTAAGCCTATGCAGCACTGCCAGTTTAAGAATTATGACGCGGGATGGTCGTTTCGATTGGTCAGCTGTTCTAGAGCGGAAACTGTAAGGGGTAGAGGCATATGAAACTCCCTAATTGTCTTTGTATTCATCTCTCAGTTGAGGATGACCGGTACGGGCCAAGTTCAGGAATTAGTCAGTGCATCCGGCGGGAGGGCGCGGTCCGCGGAGCCCGCGCTTAGTTAAATTGCATTCGGGACCCGGCAACGCCCACCGGATCATCTTTCCACAACTTTTGAGCTGGCTCTAGTTCTCGACCTGCAAGATGCCGTTTACTTGCAACCATGAAGGTTGCAATAGAACGTACGCAAGAAAGGAGCATCTTTCACGGCATATGCGAGAACATGGACCTAATACGAAATTCACCTGTCCAAATTGTGATACAGCATTCACAAGAAAGTATGCCATTCCAGTTGACATTACCCCTTCGTTATCTCGTGCATGCACATCGTTAATTATCGATTATGGCTGACTTACATCCTAAAGAGACACCCTTAATAGACACATACTCACCCACCAGCCCGCTACCACTGTCGCTTCCCGAGTGGCGATGGCCTGTAACCCATGCCGCCACTCCAAAAGGAAATGTGACGGCCAACAACCTGTGTGTTCCTCCTGTACAAGGAGGAATCAGGACTGCGCCTGGAGCCAGAGCGAAACGGAGCAGGGTTTCGAGAATCAGCAATGCCGACAGCAGCATAGTTTCAGCCAGACGGAAAATGACGCCTCCTCAATTAACGCCAACTTGACACTCACACCATTAGGGATGAACAATAAGATGGGACAAGCTCAATTCCTGAATTTCTACTTTGAAAAGTTTCATCCATTTTGGCCCGTCATTAATTTGCACACATTCCGAAACCGGGAACAGCCCCCAATGTTGTCACATGCCGTAGCTATCATAGGGATTTGGCTGAGCCAGGCACCTGAAAAGCAAACCCTTGCACGAGACCTGTATAAGAAGATGATTATACAGGTTTCTAATAACGTTGTGAGAATACCATGCCCCTTTCAAATTGAGATGCTGAGGTGTCATGCAATTGACAACTAACCTCGGTGTTCTAGCTCATGTTAGTAGGCCAAGCGCATGAGACTGATCGGTATCTTGCACCGAACAGCAGGCTTTTACCATTTTTGCAGACTGCCCTTTTAATGCTTGCTATGTTTCCATGTCTCGGCAAGGATGGGCTATCTTATGCTCTTATGACTCACTCGATGCTTGTGGAACTCTGCAAACTTTCTGGGGTGTATGATCAGTTTAGAATTAATGCAGCATCTCGACTCTTACACTCTGAAGAAGAAGGCTTGCTCTTACGACAGTCCTACCAGAGGTATTGTACCTTGCCCTTCCCATAATCAGGGCCACATGTAGATGTGGATCTTGTGATGAGCGAGATTCTAGTATTTTTGATAATCATTAACGTTTGCGTTATAGAATTGGCTTATTTCAATTCAAGCTACACATTTTGCTCTACACCGTCTTTGTCTCAACTAGCCCCACTCAAAGGTTATCTCAGGTTTTAGATCCGACAATGTTAGAGATCGATCTTCCGTTCAGTCGAGAATCGTGGAACCGACCCCTGGCGGAGTTGATAGAGCACACACCCCCCGAGCCGGAACTTGGGATAACGAGTGACCAGAGACAGATAAGCGCCATGTGTAAGATGGCCATGGTGTCAAAATCAAAAGAGCCACTGATGCCTCTGAATCGACTCGATCCAATGCTTGGCGAGGCTATTGAGCATTGGTGCATCAAGGGGGCAGAGGATAAGACGGCATTGATTGCAAAATGGAAGCCGTTTGTGCTTGAGTACTTAAAGTCTCTTTTCTAAAGCTCTCTTGCTCATCTGATATTCATTGACTTTAATCCATCATTTTATGTAGACTCTGGCCGAACAAATTTCAGACAACTTAAACAGCATCACATATCGGGGTAATAATTCCTAGGTACCATAATTGATTCAGATGCTTTGGGAGTTTTACCACTGTATCTTACCACTACCTACGAGCTCTTGGCTTCTCCAGTCTGTTTCCTTGGCTGAGTTACTCTGCAACAATGCTTTGGTCTGATCTTCTGTTGGGACTCTCCAACCCCACAATCGTGTATACTCGCTCCCAACGCCCTCGATTACATCAACAGCATACTGTCCAAGCACTGGGAGAAATTTAAACCCTACAGCAGGACTATCAGTAACAGGCTTCTAGACCAGCGACATGCACTTACCATGATTGGCACCTCCAGTCGCAACCAAAAGCCCAGTCGTGTTCGGCACGTAATCAATGACGAAATCAAGATCTATCGTGTCAGCATACCAACAGAGCTTTGCCGAGACAATTTCCGCCCCAACAAGCTCTGGTAGCTGTTCTCTGATGAATTGTTTGACTTCTTGAACGGGGCCAAGTGGTGCTCCGCCATTTGACGCTACTTCGGATTCGGTTTGAGGGACAGATATTGGTGAGCCTGTTGAATGCGATTCGACCAAATTTGTCCACTTCGGGGATCGGTAGGAGAATTTAAGATAGCCATTTCCTGGAAGCATCTCGATATCAATTACTTGCGTAGGGTCACAAACGCAACGAGGTACAGGAGAAACTTACGATCAAGTGGGAAACCACCAAGTCCACCACCATCAGACGCCCCTGTGTAGTTCCACGTCCAGGGCGGGAAAACTTTGGCTTCGAAACGATGCTTTAGTTCTTGGGGCACCTTGATGTAGACAAAGTTTCCGGCCGTAGCTGTCAAGAAGGATTGAAGTTCTGGCACAATCTGGTGCGAATGTGCCCCTGCCGCAATGATTACAAGGTCTGCGTGATGTCTTTGTTGGTCTCTGGTGATGATCCCCTTGATTTGGTGGTTGTCTTTCTCATCACGAATGAATGTCAAGAACTCGCCTCTTCCTTCCCCAAAGAATGTAATAGCACCAGCAGCTTCAACCAGACGTAGTGCATAGTTACATGCCAGGTCAGCTTGAACTATTCCAGCTTGTGAGTCAAAAACACCATCCAGGGGTAGGTTGCGCTCTTTCCTCCGGAACTGGTCAAGTCGTGGACCGGCCCATCCATCCCTCAGTGCTCTCTGTTCGTCCTCGGGCGACTGAATGAAGTACTGCGTGTGGCCAAGTCCAGCTTTTTCCATTGTTTGAAAAGTCTCGATATCTATCTCCTGAGGCCTTCCAGCATCGGTCAGCCGCGCCCAACCAGCGTTCACAAACAACTCTTGACCGGAGTCTTTGTTCCACTGCTTCCATTCTGTAATAGCTCGACTCGCAAGGTCCTGGAGGGCTTCTTTACGCCCATATGCACTGCGTATAATCTTTTGGGTGTCTTTTCACTATTAGGAGGACTGTTTCCATGAATAATGGCTGGATTCTTTGGTACCTGATGACGGCGAGTCCCCTCCCTTGAATGGGGAGTATGATGATTCGTGGAAGTCTTGCTTGTCGAATATTCTAATACTCTTGTATCCACGTTTTTGCAGGTGAAGCGCTGTAGACAGGCCGAACACCCCCGCCCCTTTGTTTGTTAATGGGATAATTTTTATTCGGGTATCAAAATGACATACCGACGATAATGACAGACTGATCTTTGCTACCCATTTTGTGAGGCTGACATCAAGCTTATTTCTGCAGCAACATGGCTATGTAACCATAGAGTGAAGGTCTTAGCAACCTTTGCTCTTAATGCCCGACATCATCAGTAAGCAGTGGTTTCATATATGAAGTTGCACTGACGTGGGAGGAAACATTGAGAATAAAATTGGAGGTATGGCGCAACGCATGTTAGCACGCTCATTATGTCGAACAAAACCGGGGAGATGGTGCAATTGACTACTGTTTTGATACTAGGAAAATAATTAAGCAGCAGAAACCATAATTAGAAGGCATGCTAAGTCTTCTGCATAATAGCTCAAGTATCCTGCTTCGGGAATAAAGGATATTTGTCCGTGTCTGTCGGTCCAAGATGCTTTATATCCGTATTCCTAATACTTGAACTCTTCGCTTAAGTGTCTTGGCATACTTTACTGATATCCAATACCTGATATAATCTACCTTGTCCCACGTGGATACGGAACCAAAACCTCGAATTACCTTATCTGAAACGCAACTGGGAAAATGGGCCTAGTGTGATGGAGCCCATGCAAAGACGTAGCTCGCTCAAAAACGGCCTGTTGAGTAAAAGCTCTCTCTTTGTAGCCGAGTAATCTTTCAACTGCTCCATATCAACTCAGTCGATATTGTAACCATTCAGCTTGTCGCCTGGGGATAAGTTCCCATGTCTGCGCAAGAATCTACACTAGCAGTTAATACGTATCCAGTCGGCTTTGCTTGCAGCTTGTGCTCTCGTATCGTTCGAAAAGTGCCTCAACCGTCACCGCTGTCCGAACACTCCATTTTAACGTGGGTCTAGGAACAAGCCATAACATGTATCCTTGTTTAATAGTGAGTTTAGTGTGGCCCGCCTATCTGTGTGAATAAGGATATGGATCTAGACGAGTAATTTATGATAAGATTGTATTAGAGCTTTTTCATGTCCCCAATAATATCCTTGTTGCCGGATCTCGTAATATTGAGACGATATCACGTATATTTAACTAGGATTATGGCGGACAATTGTCGCTTATTTATAGCTTTTACCTTGTTTCTGGCTCTACGTGCTCTAGTATTTGACAAATTTCATGTCTTCAGTATTTAAGGTCGAAATGTACGTATAAGCCCGCGTAGTTGTTGCCCGATTCAAGTAATTTCCAGCCTCTTCGTTGCACTTCACAACCGTTTCTACGACAAACAAGCAATAATGACCACCAAGACCTCTCAGGGTAACCACTTGGCTGCCGCTGAGGTGGGAGAAAATGACGACCAACGTTCGCCTTCTACCGAGAACGCTCTCACATCGGTAGAGATTGACCCAGCCGAGGAGAGGGCGTTTGTCCGGCGTCTTGACTTGGGATTTTTGATCGTGGGTTTTATTGGTTATATGTTTAAATATATTGACCAAACCAACATCGTACAGCTCCTTGCCATCCACGTCATTAGTGGTAGTTGATGCTAAGAATGATATAGAGCAACGCCTATGTCTCCGGGATGAAAGAGGAGCTCTCATTGTACGGCAATGAGCTTAATTACTTTACCACTTTCTTCAAGTAGGTCAAGGCTCATATCCAATAGATTTGTCGCTACAACGCCCATTTACTCACCCAACTCCTTAGCATTGGGTATATGATTATGCTCTACCCTTCTTGCATAATTGTGTCCTACGTGGGGCCATCTGTGTGGTTGCCATTGTGCGAGGTTCGTTCGTTTGTTCATTTACGCATTGTCCTCGAGAAGCAGCCGCATAAACCGCACAGCTCTCTTATTTACTTGATATGCACCATTTTGGACTCTAAAATAACAACAATAGGTTATCTGGGGCGTGTTGACATGCTGCCTATCCGTTGTTACAAACCCATACCAGGTAAGTCTTCGTTGTTGATTCAATTTAATTTTTAAGGGTGAACAGTCGCTAAATAACGACTTAGATATACGGTCTTCGGTTTTTAATTGGATTCTTTGAGGGAACCGCTTGGCCTGCCTACTTCACTATTATCAGGTAATAAGACGCATGCCGTCCCATATTAATTACAATCAACTGACTCCGGTGATAGTCAATGGTACCTGCCCCACGAGGTTTCTCTCCGTATGAGCATCTACAACATTGCGCAGCCCACTGGCGCTATGTTAGCTGGAGCAATGCAAGGGGGGCTTTCAACCAACCTTGAGGGCGTTCTCGGGCGATCTGGGTGGAGATGGGCTTTCATCATCAATGTAGGACTTTTAACGCAACATCTTTTGGCTGTTATTAATGACAATGTAGGGAATCTGCACCATTCTAGTAGCCTCGGCGGCTTTCTTCCTTCTTCCCGGCTATGTAAGTTGGCAATGAGGCAGCAGAGAATATGCTTTAACTAATATCTCGCACAGCCTGAACGTCCCAACCCCCTGGCAAAGCTCTATCTAAAGCCGCGGCACATTGGTGGGTTCAAATTTATTTCCGTTCAAGTATGGCAGTTTCTAAACAACAGCAGAGATCGCCATAGCAAGAATCCGCCGAGTTGGCCGCAAACCGCAGATAGGTATAACAGTCAAGAGCTTTCTGCGTTGCTTCTCATTCTGGCAACTTTGGGCCTTTGCAAGTGAGTCTCACATTTTGCCTCTGCGAAACACATGCATCTAAACCCGTATAGTCTTCTGGCCGATGGGTGGAAACATGGTCGTATCAAGCTACTTCAACCTCTGGCTTAAATCTTTAAAGAATCCCGATGGAACCGTGAAATAGTACGTTTCACTAGATCAGCCTTGAGTTTATTTCTAACTAAGATCATGAAAATAGCTCCGTGGCAATGCTCAATTACCTACCCATCATCGGTCAGGCCATCCAATTGGTAGCTGAGCTTTTGTTCAGTGGTTTCAGTGACTATTTTAGAACCCGACTTCCCTTCGTCATGCTTCATTTTGTGAGAGCCGGCCCAAAAAAAAATGGCAAGTTGGTTCCCTAACACAAGTGTAGGCTATAAGCTTTACATCCCTGGTTATTATCGCCGTGCGACCCGTGAATGAGAATACGTACATGGTTGGATGGTACATGAATTACATTGGAGGGTATGTGGATTTCCCCCGTCCTACTATAGACTAATCTGACTAAATTTGCAGAGTTTTGGCACAACTGGCATGTGCTTGGGCAATGGAGAATCTTCAAGAAGAACCCGAATTGCGTACCGTATTGCTAGCCTCCGGGACTCTGGTTGCATATGCTTTATCTGCCTTCGTCCCAATAGCAGCATTCCCAGCCTCGGAGGCCCCGAACTGGAAAATCGGTGCGAAGCTGTATATCGGATTTGCTGTCACTAGCGCGACTGCATTTATTGGCATCTATTTTGGGTTGAGGAGAGAGGCGCAGAAGAGAGAGCAGCGTACAGTTCAGGAAATTTTGGTCGTCAGGCCTGTTAGTACAACTGATAAATCGCCGTCTCAGGTCTCTTCTGTTGCAGCGGTTTGAAGCCTTTGGACCGCCGGTGCTGGAGCCTAAAGTCCATTGTTGACGGAGCCAATATGACACGACGAGTTACTTCAAGTGGGAAACAGCCGTTCGAGGTATATGCTTGTTGTGAGTTACGACTAGCTAAGCTTTCTGAAGAATTAATACCTCCATAGATCCACGGAGCAAAAAGAATATACTTTATAGATAGGTACATAATCAAATGGTCACTGTTTCGATTATCAAGCCTTAGCCTGACTTTCTCGCCCCCTCTCCGCCTCATGTTGACCAGCATCCATCTTGCCTCGCCGTGAAAATACGAAGATGGACAAGGTTGAGGGAGGTTGTATATTTGAGATCAGGATTGAAGTTGGCAGACTAGGTAACTATAGTTGCAGGGTAGGAATGTCTATTAGATGGTCGAGGGATCACCATATACCATTGATTTGTGCCGACGTTGAAGCAGCTTTTTTATTTATTTCCTGCTCTTCTGTGCTTACTATCTACCACTGTCAACACACTCCCATTTGCTTGACTCCCGAAGCCATGTCTCAAAGTCTTGCAACTCCGGCACCTCCTCCCTTAGGCCAGTTATATCTGCATCCCATCCTTCAGTACTGAACCACTCAAAGCTCTTGGCGGCGTCGGCTACCATCCATAATACAGGATACGCTACAACTTTGTATGTCTCCGGCAGCGTCTTGCCTACCGCCCACTGAAATGCATGGCGCAGCTCAGTCAAGCTTAACTCATCGCCAGCCAGAGCAACAGCCCTTCCAGCCCATCCCTCAGGGTCCAATAGCGCCTTGGCCGCGAAAATCCCAATGTCATGGGTACTCACCATCTGCATCTTGCGGTCCGCTGGCATGCCCGCCGCCCATAGAGACACCATGAGTTGCCCGAAGAATCCAGGGTTGTAGCTATCCATGAAGCCGGTCGGTCGTAGTACGGTCCACCGTTTAGACGCATCGGAGCACGCCTGACGGAGGTAGAGCTCGACGCGATGTTTGGCAGCAAAGTGGGGTACTTGCGTTGGCTGGGACCAGCTCACAGTGTCGCCTCCTCGATCAACGCTAGAGAAGACAAAGTGGTCAAACTGCGGGCTTGAGACGGCTGCTTGTATGAGTGGGAAGGCCTGGGCTTCGTCATCTGGAGGGACGGTGACCAGGAAAACTGATGAGATGGATGGATAAGCCTTGAAGATGGCCTCTGGTGCCTGGGTGTCGCCTTGGACAAGGATGATATCAGGATATGTCGATTTGAGTGCCTGCGCTTTTGATGACGACGTGGACCGTGTCAAGGCCAGTATTCGGAACTGAGCTAGCGACAACTTCTTGGACTGGTAGAGAGCATCGATGGTTGCTTTACCTTGTTGGCCGGAAGCTCCGACAATGAGTATGTCTCGTCTCATTTTTTGCGCGCTATTGTATTTAATCAGGTATTTTATGGTATTGATGAAGGTGTATACAATGTTGTAAAAAGTTAGATGCGCCGTCTGACTTAAAATTTGGACTACGGCGAACCGACTTATTTATATACCAATGCTGACATTTCGGAGACATTTCGGACACAACCCGCTTAACCAGTGACATCTTCTGACCTTCTAGCAGCAACGGCTACATTTATCAAAGGCAGTTGGGACTAGCATTGCGAGTCCAAGCCTCATCTTGGGGCCACAAGGGGCGATGACCGACAGCCCACCTTGTGGATGAAGAATATGTTTACGGCCCGCACCGTCTGAACACCGAGCCCAATGCGAACAACAAGAACGTCTAATGTATAATTATGTAAATGCATTATTACATATCGATTATATTCATTGGGTTGAGATGCTGGGTCTGGCATTTCTATTGTCATTTAAAATTTGTACCTAAACTCTCATCAGCTGCATATTGATTTAACTAGCCTCAGATATATGCAAAGTCCAACAGAGAGCTTGCACTCAATTCTTTGCAGTCCCGTAAAGCACCACTTCCAACTGTTCCAGTACTTCTTGGGGCATATCAATATGTAGAGATTTTCTATGAATTCATAGTATCGGTGTGAGGGAGTTACCGCAAGACACAGCGGGAATAGTACCCTACACAGGGAGGATTACGAGTATCCCCTCAGCTCACCTATCTACGGTCGACAGAATTCATGGATCGTGGATATGAAGCACATTTCGGTGGATTGGGTAGAAAGCCATGGTCTTTCCCGTAGAAGTATCGCCAACAGATATATAAAGGTCTATCGAGTGATTTTGTAGGACCTCAACTGAGTGAGCCCAAGCGGCCAGAACGCTACATGAGATTCAGCTGCAAACTGATATCCGAGTCCTTTCAACGCCCTCGACCCTGCTGCCATTATACGCAATAGTAAATATTTGGGCTCCAAGGAAGGCGGTAAAAAAAATAGCGCTGTTAGGAGCCACTCTCTTCCGAGGGACATGCAAGCCGTTATATTTAGGTCAACACTGAGACACATAACATCTCCTTTAAGCAAGTGAAAACAGGTGTCCACTAGCCAAAGAATCCTTATTTAGTAAAACCCATTTCGAGCTGACGAATTAATTTCTTCCTTTTGTACGAAGCCCGGAGTTGCAAATGTCGACATCTATCGGAAGAGAGTTTGAGTATAAAGCTATACACCAACGGAAGAAACCAGAGCTCGACAATCAGCACAATGAATATGTTCATATCTATCAGCAACTGGACAGAGGTCTATCGACATCATACATGCGATGGAAATGAAAAGAAAAAGATGAATAACTAAACAACGAGAAGGAAACATGTATTTCGCCACATGCAACTTGGTCACCTTCCATGTTTATAAACTTTAGAGACCAAAGCGTACACTGGAGGTGTTACATTCCTAATAAAAATGAGAATAAAAGCATTGCCTCATACATGTAAAATAAGCATTGACAGTTGCTACCTCAATACAAATTGCAAAATATTGAATGTAACCTCACACTTGGTGTCGAAGCTAACACCACTTCCTGCGGGTAAAAACAATTATCTCGGACAAAACCCACAAGCAAAAATTCAACAACTTAGTAAATTTACACACGCTCGTCATAAAGATGGCCCTGATTCGTTCAGTCGTCTTTGTCGTCTCCGTCGTCGTGGTTGTCCTCCAGAAGCTTTAAAAGCTCCCCTGGGGTGCTATGCACGTCTGACCGACGCTTCATGGGGTGCCTTATTGCCAGCAGGTCCTCAGCTGTAATGAAATCTCGCTCAAACAATTCTTCAACCATCTCCTTGAATCTGAGGGTATCAATATATAGTTCGCCTGCTTGTTGCCACTCAGGGAGGCCATCGTAGATGAGATTCGGCATTGTCCACGCCCTGCCAAAATCGACAAGTTGTGTGCCTACATAGTTATTCTCCTTTATGTCGCGGTTGTAGATGCCGTGCCGGTTGAGGCGTAAGATTCCCTGGAGCATTGTATTCAATATTTTGCCATCCCAATACTCGTGTGTGTCTACCGCAAGGTCTTTGACAATAGCCCTGGGCCTAAGCCCCCAAAGGGTGTTTTGCTGATATTCCAGGTCGACTTCTCCCCAACCAAGGTCAACGCCGAAGTTCGTAGCCAATTCGCGGCTATCCCTGTGACTGAGGAAGAGGAAGCCATGACACGGGGCGACAATATTTTTAAGCGACGGCGACTTTTTCTTCTTTATATATTCGTTGATCCGGCCGTAAGCTTTACATTCGCAATAAAATGGGTCATCGGAATGGGCAATGTTTTCCGGGGAAGGATCTTTTAGTATCCAATTATACCGATCTGGATCTGCATTAGGGTCGAAGAACTTGAACTAGGATTGTCATGAGTTTCTAAGCTGTGGTACTGGGAGCCAGGTAGTAGTTATTAAATCACTCACCACTTTGATCGCATACTCCCGGTTTCTAATTCTTGCTCGGAACACGTAGCCTTCGAATGGGACTCCCTGATAGTCTCCTAATCGCTCAATCCATTCAATCGGGGAATCGTGATGTTGAAACAAGTTGAGCTTTGGGCCAGGACAGAGTGGCAGCTCCTTAGGAGGTGGTTTGTTCTTCTTCCACAGATACATTATTGAGCGTTCGTGATAGCTTTGAATGGCCTGATGTAGTTGAACGCATGTTTTAGTCCGATTTAGTCGACGATCGTTGACCTCTTATAAATTCGCCGTCGTGCGTTCTTCTTCACGGCGCATTTGGGATAATTCTTTAAAGGCAATTTTAGGATGCAGGGCGTCATCACAAAAGAATACAGAGATAGCCATCTTAGAATAGAATAAGCATTGTTTGAATAGAGCGAATTGGTCCTACGTTGTCCTTTGCTCAGGATAGCCTCAAACTAAGAGCTTTTTCTGGCGCGACATTTATCAAATGTGCTAAAAATTACTATCCCTTCACCAACAGACAATGTACAATTGTCAAAGAAGAACAGAAAACACAAAGGTGTCGCCTGAGTTATCCCTTGTGCTTCCTCTTCCTCGGCCTCTTTTGACCTCTCTTGGGCTTCGCTCCGGAAAGCTTTGAATCAAGCTCGGTCCTATCATGGCCTTCCGAGCCAGCACTAGTCCCTCTAGACGACTCAGAGCCAGAAACAGCCCCTACGCGACTCCCATCTTTGTCCACTTCACCTTGCTCAGGCTCTTCCACCTCTTGGCAAGCAATATCGTTAGATTCTTTCGATATTTCTCCGTCCATCTTGGGGGGTTCCCCGCAATCTGTGCCGCCCAAAAGACAGTCTCTCAATGATGGATAAGACCACCCCAGCTCGTGGGATTGCGCCGCTTGGATCAACATGAACCAAATTGCCAAGTTGATCGTCCAGGTGTTAAAATCTTCGAAGTTCTCGACACAGTGGTTTGTATATGGTATTGCGACGTATTATTCCATTTTCCCGTGTTTTTTCATGTGTTCTTTCAAGTCTTCAGTGTTTTCTAGCGATGAAATCCTTTAGCAATCTTACTCTCAACTACTCAGTGGATGTTGAAACTCACCTGGTTTCCCAATGAGGGAGCTAATTTGGAAGAGAAAAAGCTCTTTATCGGTAAAGATGCATCCGTATCGACATAGGTTATCGACACAGTACGAAAAAGCTTGCCTGATCGGCATGGCGCGGTTACTCTTTTGTGAACCCCCTTTCCATTCCCCATTTTTGCTAAGCATCGTTTTCAAGCATTCGCTTTTCCACTTCGCTCCCACCTTGATTTCCATTGGAAACATCTCGTTTCTAAAGCTTGTTGTATTTCCTGATTCAGAACCGTTCGTGTTAGGACCGTTCGTGTCAGGGGAGATCGCACCCGAGTCCTGAATGCCAACGCGGCCTTGACTAGTCCTCCGCCTTTTGACTGCGGGCGAAGTAGCGGCTCGTATCTCCATAACCCTTGCAGGTTTTGGTGGTGAAATAGGGGTCATAGCATCCTTGGCGTTTAGACGGTCCCCTTTGGCCCAAAGCAGTGGGCGGAACTCCTCTGCAATAGGTTTATGACCGGCTAAAACGATTCCTTTAGACCATCGTACGATCAAGTCTCTGACTTCTACCTCACCACCAATGGTCAACTCCTGATCAAATATCTCAGGAAAGCATCGAAAGCCTTCGCGTTCACGGCAGGCTTCCTCGTATAACCGGCCATTGAAGGCGTGCTTCAAAATCTCAAGGTCCTGGAATTCAGCCCACTGAATAATTTGCCGCGGGGCACTCCAACCTTGATACGACGAATTGCCATAGCTGTGAACCCTATCGTTTGTCTTTGGATTTGGATGGGTGAGCAACTGCAGAATCGATTTTGGATGGGTCGCTTCCATTGTTGATTGTTAAAGTGATGAAACCTTTTATGATTTATGTGCCACCTTGTCTAGATTATTGAGTCGACGATAGGTTTTGATAATTATATGATGAAGATGAAAGCTACCTAGACTTGAAGTCTTGAGAATTTGCTTCCAATTTATATTTTGATACCTCTGCATGCAAAGGAGATTAGATAATAGATGCACATTGCTCTCATCATCCAGACTGTGTATTGTTAAACTCATCAGTATAGTCTTTCCTTTCTTTGTGCATTAGCAACCATACAATGACTCCAAGCGAGTTTTGGTGTCATATAACTAAGAAGAACAGTTTAAAAGGCTATATCTGACTTTACTACCAGCTAGTGCTTCCGCATACGCTGGCAAGCGAACATGGCATAAGGGGAGAGAAAAATCTAATTGTTTCTCACCGGTGCTCCTCACCATGAATCGCGCGCTTTCAAAGTTCGAGCGAAATTGATTGATAATGATCAACTTTTCTTCAACGTTTTAGAACAAAGGGTATCTTTCTCTTCCCTTATGATATGCATACAACTTTCAAACTAGACATATAAAGAGACCTGGATCGAGATAGTAGTCGCATTCTCCAAGAACAGGGAGTCCGGGTGACTCCGCTATGTAGGGCAACTCCAACACAGTAAGCCAAGTTTGTATTTGATCCTACAGAAAGGGGGATTAAAAGAAAGAGGATGCAACGGAATACGAATTTGAGTAAATTTTTCTCGGACAAAGCGATGATAGAAAACAACCACATACAAGTTGTCAAGTAACTTCGCCACGAATTTTCACTGGACCCTTGGCGCTTCACACCTCCTTGGCACTCTGCTCACGAACACACCCTCTGGGACAAGTCCCTTCTGATACTATGCATGCTAGTACGGCGGATCCAGATTGAATCGGCCAGCTCTTTACCGGAGGCTCTTTGCCGGAAATCAAAGGACACATTACTTGGACTGTAACATCTTTCTAAACATTCTATTTCGTACTGAGCTAATTACGTGCCCGAAATAACATTTTTGATGACAAAAACCAATAGTAGCTTGAGTGGCTTGCTAAAAATCTTTCTGGGCTATTCCCTTCTGAGGGAGATGCTCTAATCGAGAAGACTTAGATTTTGGCCAAACCAATCAGGAATAAGGATAGGCACCTTCCACCAGCCTCTATATACATGCACCTTATATCTAATCCTTTCCCCCCTTCCTTACTGTAGAAAAGCTTCCGTATTCATTAATATCAGGATATGCGCCTTAACTTGATCCTTTCGAGGCAAACCCCTGCTGTCGCGTCTATGTGTGATGGTCCGGTTTCTAAACTCTAAAATCGGTTTCGATCGACTTTTGACATTGGATTGCGGCCATCAACACCTCGACAATCTCTCGATGACCATTCCTTGCCGCTAATAGTACCGGAGTTTGGCCTGCCTTGTCCTGGGGGGAAAGTTCCACGCCCGGCGTTGCCAGAAGTAGTTCCACGGCGGCTCTCATTCCGTTGTATGCAGCCCAAGCTAACGGTGTTCGATCATTATTGTCCCTTGAGTTGGGATCGACGTTTGGCAGGGAAAGCAGTATCTCCATTGTCTTAACATGATTAGCAAAGGCAGCCACCATCAGAGGAGTTCCATTCGACCAATCTCTTGATTCGACATCCACGCCCGGAGTGGAAACCAAAAGCCTGACAACTTCATGTTCTCCGCCTGCCGCTGCCCATGACAACGGCGTTTGGTCGTCAACATCTTTCACGTCAGGCTCAATACCTTTCGTCGATAGTATAAGCTTGACAACTCCAGGAAATCCACCTTTTGCGGCGACTAACAATGCCGTCTGATTGATCCTGTCTCTAGAGTTTGGATTCACATTAGGATTTGAGAGCAACATCTTGACGATTTCTTCTTGTCCGGCTTGGGCAGCCCATATCAACGGTGTCTGTGAATACCAATCTCGGGCATCAGGATCAAGCGCGAACGTCGAATTTGTGTCCAAGTTTGGGCCACTTTCTTCCAGCAAGATTTTGATAGTGGACGTCAACTTGAAGCGGACCGCCAAATGGAGACCAGTTACGGGCCGTTGAAGTTGCAGGAGGATCTCTCGATTTGTTTCCATCAGCGATAAGTCGGGCAAGAAAAGGGCCATATATGATGCCTTGACCTTTTCCGTCTGTCTCAGAAAGTGCAGCACAGATTGATGTGGCGTTTTCAAATGCCGTGCATGGATGCCCCAGTATCTCGCCGCGTAGATATAGAACGTGCGACCTAGGTCAAGGACCCCGCTGCCAAGGTATAATGGAGGGCATTCGACGTTTTTGTAACAAAGGCATGTGATACAAGCCTTGAGAATCCTCTCTTGCGCGTTATGGAACCATTTCTCAGACGTCCTGTTGAAGTACTCCTGGGCCGTGTAATGGACTAATCTTATGATATCACCCCCCTCGTCTACTGTTACCAGCCCTGCGCACACGGAGAGCATATCATGGATCTCTGTTATGTTATCAAGGTCGAAACTTGCTTCGCCTATCTCGATCGCAATTGCATGCTGGATTTCAGAAGTTGTCAATGGTCTAGTCGCCAGAGTTACCCACTGGAGAACCTCCTTAGCAAGTTCCCTTTGGTCGTCGTTCTGGCAGTCTATTCGCTGCATGGCTTCGCCGTAGGAAATACCATATGCACCACTTCCAGTTGGGAGCTTCTCAAGGGCGTTTCGGACAGCCTTGGGAGACTTCTTGCCTCTCAACGATTGAAGATGGAGATGTGCGAGCAGAAACCTAGCAAGGCCATTAGAATTTTATAATACATTAAAATGCTTATTTTCACTAACATTCCTCGGACAGCTCTAGAGATTTCAGTAATGATATCCTTCTGCAAATCTGGATTTTTCTGCACGAATGCTGGGAGCTGCCACATTTGATTCTCAAGGTACGTTTGTATGTCGCTTTCAGTCGCCCGAATCTCTAACGACGTGCCCCGTTCAAAAAACTGTGCAATCTCCGGTATGAATCGCGAGGTCACGAACAGGTTGATAATGGACTTCTTCTGGTACTCGATAATTTTTTCAACGAACTGCCGTTGCTGTCCACTCGATATTTGGTACTCATCAACTGCGTCAATAACGACAAACACGCGGCAATATTCAGCTGAAACAGAATACAGAGTATTCAAAATTTCCGCGAGGCACGGCTGTGTTTTCTGTTTGAAATGCTTCTTGTAAAGACGTCGGAGGGATTCTGGAGGCGTAGGTCGACTGGCGCTCAGCTGGTTCAAAAGACACCCAAAAATGTTGTTCAACTTGTGTTCGTCCTGCCTCTGGTAGCTGAAATATAAGTAAGCGACACCTATCTCACCATCATTTGAAGCCAGTGATATGAGATGCTCAATCACGGAAGCAGCCATAACTGTCTTCCCTGCACCGGGGATGCCAGGGCAGAACAGAGTCTGGCCTTGAACCTCCAGCCACGTCTTAAATTCCGGAGATTCGAAAATCCACTGTCCCGTCCCAGGTTGTCTCTGATCTATGATATCTCGATGCTGAGTTGAATATGCGAGTGTCGGCAGCCATTCTAGAATAGCGCTCCGCTCTTTATTGAGCTCCTTTTCCTCTTGAGACTGCTGGAACCGAGTCAGATTCTCTTGTACACTTGACTGCGACGCTTGAATTCGATCAACTCCCTCCTGTAGTTCCGCCAATTGAGCATGAGATTGGTTCGAGTGAACGTTCAGCGTATTGACCAGAATCTTGAGACCCTCGCGGTTCTGAATGACAGTGCGCCTTATTTCCTGAACCAGCTTCCCTGAGATACCGTTGAGAGCCAGCGTCAGAAGCGATTTTTCCCGGTCCATCGCTGCAAATATCTCGTTGACCTCTTTCTGGATAAATGGCCATTTCACTGCCGCTATTAATCTCTCCGCTGGGCCATCTCTTCTCTGAAGCCTGTCTTCCATTCTTCGAAGCATAATCGAAAGGCGGCCTAGCGGGCCATCCGGGCCCTCAAGCACCTTAATCGTGTTGTTCCATTCAGTGTCGCAGTCTTCTTCGTCGCACCTATCTTTGAGCTGTTCCAGGACGCGCTCACATGCCCGTAACTCATCACGGAGCGCTTTTCGTTCTTTGGTGGCACCTGAGGCTGAGTTGAGGTACTGGACTATCTTGGAAGTCAGCTGGAGAACAGCGATGACGCTGGCGGTAGTGCTTAGAGGGTCCATTGATATGAGCCAGCTGTTTTTGTCAAGGCATCTGTGTGATCCCGTTTGAACCTCGATCACCACACCGCAGAGCGTCGTTGTTTGATATGTATTTGCAGAAGAGGGATTTGAAGGTTAGCCAAGATTCAGCTGAGATTATGTAAAACTGCCTTACGGGCTCACAGTGAGGCCGCCATCCGCATTTCAGCTGCGGTGTTGTGGGGTAGGATAAACAAAGGCATACTCCAAGGCCAGATTCAGCCACTACAGCATTATTATCTTCGGTCACTTCAACGTGATTATCTGTATTCCAGGAAGTACTTGCGCTCTGACCGGTCTTGTGTCTACATCGATGAACTTATCTCTTGCATTTTACGAAACGGGAGGGTTTACTCCGGTTGTTGGGAGAATACTTGGCTGGGACCTCCGTTTTTCTCACAAGATTCGCTAGCAGAACAGCTCATGTCGCAGTGTGGGGTATCGTTGCATTATTGAAGTCTTGGGCTTGGATGTGATCGGTGTATTCCTGATCAGTGATCCTGGATGGCCATGGCCCTGATGACTAACACGAATTTGCATGTTAATTTCATCGACACCCGAGAATACGCTGTTTTCATTGGACGGTTGGGCTTAATGTTCCAGTGACGTGAAGTTTCCAGGGGAAATCAGCCAAGTAGCACCTGTTGACGGCTTGGGTCATCGGCAAATCTTCCACCTCCACATATCACAACAATTTCCATCAACTAATCAATTTCAAACAGCTAGTATCAAACTCACCGATCATTGATTGTGAAATGCCTGGAATAGCCAGGTCACGAGGGTGCTCCAACTGCAAACTTCGCAGGATCAAGGTTATAGCTCCCCCATCCCAGTACCTGCTCAAGGATGTATTTAGTCAAGGCTGACGCGGGCGCCAGTGCGATGAGACTTGGCCATCATGCGAGAAATGCAAGAAGCACGGTATCGTCTGCACGGGTCCAACTGAGCTAGTCAGGTTCGTGCAAGGGGGGCGACGTCCGAATCACACACTGCCAGTTCAACCCAACGTCGGCGGCTCAGGAGATCGGTCGCAAAGTCCATTCCAGCTCCAGCGTATTTCCCAATCATCGATCCCTGGTACAGCTCGTCAAACACATTCCGGTTACGTCATGTCATTTCGTCTTGCTCAACCCCGACCTACCATGACCACCTCGGCAGATCGCATCGCTGCTCGGCTCGTGCATCATATCGACAATGCTCCTGAAAGGCGGATGATCATGCAGACAGCGCGATTGGAGGATTTCCCAAGACGGTTGGACGGTAATGCCAGTCTCCGGGACTCTATTGCCCTTCTCTGCTCTGTGTGGGCATCCTACCGCTCCAAGACACCAAGTACCGAGTTCATCAGTATGCCTTTGTATGGCAAGGCTATTCGCAGCTTATCCCGTACGCTTGAGACAGATCACGCCATCTCCGTGGAGACTTTAGCATCTATTGCCATCCTGCAGAGAACAGAAGACCTCTTTGACCCCGGAGATCGTCGTTTCATACATGAGAAAGGGATCGCCAGTCTGCTGGCCAGGCTCGGTCCTCCTAAGCCGGATGATAAATTCTATTCAAGTCTATTGTGTGAATGCTATTCAATATTGGTATGGAAATATTCTCTTACTTTATCCGCCTCACCATTTCCCGCAGTTGATTTTCATTCGCTTCTGAAATGATTCCCAAGCTAATCAATTGACTTCGTGAAATAGGTACCATATTGGGTCAAAACCGGTTGGAATACCATGTTGGATGATCCAGCCTGGAAGGCCGCCATTGTAGCCTGCATGACGGATTATATTGGAATTCAAGAGTTGCAGCCAATGTTAGCCTCCTCTCTCACGCAATACAACCATGTCTCTCAGAGGCTGCCCGAGATTATGCGTGGAATGAAGGCCATCAACACCCCATCTGACAAAGCCCCGGGATTCGATGTATCATCGCTGGTTTCGAAGATGGCCACTGAGCTCCGTGATATGGAAGCTGCAGCAGGGGAAACCAGCTCCTCGGCAATGGCTAAGGCGATGGAACTGGGGGCTGTGACTGAGGTAGACGATCCAACCTTTATTCACGGGACTTGCTATCACTTTTCGTCGACCAACCTGGTCCAATCTCTGATTTCGTTTGTCAGCCTTCACCTGTGTCTCCTTCAGTTGCGCTACAAGTGGAGTTCTGCCTACCGGCTTTCTGATTCACAAGCTCTATACGCTTCCTTCCAGACAAGGTGTCATCAATTGTGGAAATTCATCCCGTTCGTGCGAAGGGTGAAGCTGTTCCTTGCCAACATCCACCAAGATGCCTTTGCGCTGACTCTCGAAATCGCCAACCAGAGGGAGAAAAGGTATCTTTTGGATTTGTTTAAAGAATTGGACAGCTACGCACCTGGAAGATTTGAGGCTTTGATAACAGCATCCTAGCTTTCGGTTCGCTATATCTCGGGGTACAGTCAATAAAGAACAAGATTCCCCTTCGAATGACAGAAATCCCTACGAGAAGCGGAGTGCAATGTGGCGGAGACCATCTAAGGACTTATTCAGCCCTGATGAATAAGCTGAGACAGAGTGATCTGCTCACCGCTTTGCCCTAAATACTCTCACAGCGCATCCTCTGTATCGTGTTTGTGCCCTCGCCGTTGACATCACATCGCTCTGTAAGGTCTCGTCTCAAAGTTAGTATCTTAGCCTCGGCCTAGATCTACTTCGAGGAAGGAACTAGATCACAACCTGGAAAGCGACTGCCAAAAAGGAAGCTAGCCTTTGGTCTACGAATTCCCCATTTTCCGCCCTTCCCCACCTCTGTTTTCAAACCCACATCATCGCTTCAGATTTCCCCTCCATCCTTCTTCCCATCGCTTTGGCCACAGAGCACTAGCAAGTCGGATAATCTGGAGCATCATGGAGTCTCGTAATGCCAGTTCAGGGAGTGGTGGGCAGAGTGGCCGAGAGGCTTTACCCGCCAATGTGATTCCGCGACACTACGAAATCACCCTGGAGCCTAATTTCGCCACATTCAAGTACGAAGGGACTGTCACGATCCACCTCGATGTGGCGCAGGAAACGACCTCCATCGCCTTGCACAAGCTCGACCTTGAGATCCATGAGACCTCCGTGCAAACCGACGAGGGGGTGGCTATCTCCTCGCCTGGGCTTGAGTACACTGAGGCCGACAGTGTCCAGACCGTCAAACTTGATCAACAAATCCCGGCGGGAAAGAAGCTGAAGCTTACCCAGCGCTTCACTGGCGTTCTGAACGACAAGATGGCCGGATTCTACCGGTCCTCCTACAAAGACGAGAGCGGAAACCTCAAGTACATCGCCACGACCCAAATGGAGCCCACCGATGCCCGCCGTGCATTCCCATGCTTTGACGAGCCGGCCCTCAAGGCGACCTTCACGGTCACCCTCATCGCGGATCATGACATGATCTGCCTGAGCAACATGGATCCTGCGTCTCAAAAGGACGTAGATTCCCAGGTGACTGGCGGGAAGCGAAAGGCTGTCGTCTACAACAAGACACCCCTCATGTCCACATATCTTGTTGCATTTGTCATTGGCCACCTCAAATACTACGAGTCTACCAACTTCCGCGTGCCCGTCAGGGTCTACTGCACACCCGATCAGAATGTCGAGCACGCCGTCTACTCAGCCGAGCTTGGTGCACGCACGCTAAGATTCTACGAGGAGCAGTTCGACAACCCGTACCCTCTCCCCAAGATGGACATGGTCGCAATACCCGACTTTGCCGCTGGCGCCATGGAGAACTGGGGCCTGAACACATTCCGAGTGGTTGACCTGCTCTTTGATGAGAAGGCATCAAGCGCCGCCACGAAGCAAAGAGTCACGGAAGTCGTACAGCATGAGCTCGCCCACCAGTGGTTTGGAAACCTTGTGACCATGGATTTCTGGGACGGGCTCTGGCTCAAGGAAGGGTTTGCCACCTGGATGTCATGGTACTCGGCCAACGTCTTCTATCCGGAATGGAAGGTTTGGCACAGCTACGTGGTGAATGATCTTCAGTCTGCTTTGAATCTGGATTCTCTCCGCAGCTCTCACCCGATTGAAGTACCCCTGAAGCGGGCGAGCGAGATCAACCAGATATTTGATGCAATCTCGTATCAAAAGGGCTCCTCGGTTCTGCGCATGATTTCGGTCTACCTAGGAGAGGAGGTGTTTCTTAAAGGCGTCACCCAGTACTTGAAAACACATGCCTACGGCAACACCCAGTCTATCGATCTTTGGAGAGCCCTAAGCGAGGCAAGTGGCGAAGATGTTGAGCGTCTCGCAGATATTTGGACCAAGAAGGTTGGGTATCCAGTTATTACTGTGACGGAAAGTGGCACTGATGGCAAAGTCCATGTCAAGCAAAACCGCTTTCTACGAACGGGGGACGCTATACCTGCTGAGGATGAGGTGCTGTACCCGGTGACACTCAGTCTTTTGACCAAAGGCGGCCTCCAACGCAATATTGTGCTCAACGATAGGGAAGCCGAGATACCAATCCCAGACACTACCTTTTTCAAATTCAACTCTGGTCATTCTGGTATTTACCGGACTCTATATACCCCAGAGCGGCTGCAAAAGCTAGGGCAAAATGTCAAGTCAGGCTTGCTGGGTGTCGAGGACAGAGCCGGTTTGATAGCCGATGCCAGCGCTCTGACAGCGGCTGGCTACCAGGATTCACCATCACTCTTGTCACTGCTTCAGAGTTTCGAGTCCGAGGAGGCTTACATTCCATGGAAGGTCATAACCGACTCCATTACTAGTCTTCGACAAGCCTGGGTCTTTGAAGCCGACAATATCAACGCGGCGCTTGAGTCGCTCGAGCAAAAGCTGATTGCTCGTATTGCCGGTAAGATTGGCTGGGACATCACTGAGAAGGACGACCATACAGTCCAGCAATTCAAGGCCCTCGTGTTCTCCAAAGCCGCCATGAGCGGATACGAACCGGCCAAGGCGGCTGCTTTTGCCATGTTCAAGGAATTTACGCAAGGCAACAGAGCCGCCGTCCATCCGAATATGCATTCGGGCGTCTTTACCACTGTCCTCAAGTACGGAGGCGAGGCTGAATACGATGCGCTGCTAAAGGAGTACCACACAGCAAAGCAGAGTAGCGAGCGGAACACCGTGCTTCGATGCCTAGGTTACGCAAGGAAGCCTGAGCTTATCCAGCGTACTCTGGATTTTGCCCTGAGCGACGAGGTCAAGACCCAGGATATCTACATGGTCATTACCGGACTCCGAAGCCACAGGGCCGGCATCGAGGCTCTGTGGACTTGGATGAAGTCCACTTGGGATGTCATGGTGAAGAGGCTACCGTCAGGAAAGCAGTTGGGCAACTTCGTTGTTATCTCGACCAGTTCATTGACGAAGCAAGACCAGCTCACCGAGGTAGAGGCATTCTTTGCGGACAAGAACACGGACGTTTTCACTCTGGACCTTGCGCAGAGTCTGGACGTTATTAAGTCGAAGCAGAAATGGGTTCATCGTGACGGGGCTAATGTTGCGAAATGGCTCGCTGACAACGGGCTTTTGGAGTAAAAAGGCCTTTAGTGGGCAAAATTTACAAAGATTGGTTCAGACATCACTATTAAGGCAGAGAAGTGAACAAGTATGAAGTATGAGACTCACAGATGATGGGAAACGGAATCGATAACTCAATAGTTTTCTGCTTTACTACAGTAAGAGAAAAAATGCGTGCTCCAATAGATGTTATATTAGCACATAATTCATACAATCCATGTCTCCAGGTGGGACGGTATTGAGGAGCGGTCTCTAGGGTAAGCCATTCCCACACGACTGGAAGCGTCTAAATAGTCTCGGATTCATACATTCACCTCAAGTCTTGCGATTTTTTACTGAAATGAAAATATATATTCTTATTCTAGAGCTACAACTGTGCCAGGAAGCGACGTGGAGGTTCTGATTGATATGCTAAAGTCACCTTAATCAGGCGATCCCGTTGTTGGGACATATGCTGTAGACTTTGAGCGATCAAGGAATCACTTGTTCAAAGGCATTCGTCATGGTGGATAGTTGGATGAAAACTCCATATGATAATTGCCCAAATCAAGACTGTAAATTGCCATTTAGGTAGCATTGTTCAATTCTAGGGCATCTTAATCTTAACCGAGGTGTCATAAAGGGCAAGAAATTGGCGTAGGCACATATGTGCCGACAAGAAGCTGAACGCACATTTGTGCGCTCAACACCAACGCAAGTCTTACCTAACCCAGCCTACTCTCAATATCATTCCGTCAACTCATCCCATGAGGTTCGCAAAATAGGTTGGTATAGAGTAATTCAGCAATGACACTCGGGATAACGGGCAATACAAGAATCCCCGTTGTCTGACCCTCGTGCCATAGATTGAAACGGGCATCTTGCTTCAACCACGACCAGCTAGCAGCCTCATCACCACCACAATGGCGTTCAATGCCCCTAAGACTGTTGGCGAACGTGCATACGGATGGTCCAGCGACCTAATCCCAATTTTCTCAGAACACCAGGCCACGGTCGGCCCACCAACCTCGCATGCCAATCTCGTGCAGCAGTACGCCTATGACTCGTCACACCAGATATCACCGATTGACCAACCCTCCAGCCGGCAGCGCCGCCAAATCGGTCTGTTTGAAGTTGATTGTGCAGGCAGGTTTACTGTGTGCGAGGACGGGTCGGGTCCGCAAATCGGTAACAGGAGTACATCGAGCTCGGTATATGCGGAAATCCATTCAACGCCGGATAAAAACTCAGTCCCAAGTGACGACGATACACCAGATGAGGCCGATACGGATATAATTTCAGTTTCACTAGACCTCGGTGTACTATGCACTGGCTCCTGGCAAGAAAGAAAGTCATTCATACCATGGCGGGTTGAAGCGGTCACTCAGGAAGACCTTGACGAAATGGCTCTTATAGAGTCTCAGAATTCACAGGCACTCTATAATGGGCCGGTTGCTGAGAAGCTAAAGCACTCTCACGATTGGAAACTTGGTAAAACTGCCTCAGGATCTGTTACTGAATCTACCGACTACTCAGTGCCAGGCATGACCGAGGCTAGCTCAAGGGAAACGGACACCTCGTGTCTTCCAGATCACGCAGCTCACCTAGAAGATAACCAAATGGATAGTCCTGTGCACAGCGTCTTCTCATACCCGGACGAGATAACTGCCGGTTGTGGATCTGGGCTTTTCAAGTCCGACCTAACTCTCATCGGCATGTTTAACGAGCATGGTGACCCCAAGGACCAACGAAGCCAGTTACGACCTTACTCCGTTCCACGACACCTTGATGCTGATGGGTTTCCAGAGGCCTGGACCGAACAATCCCAACAAAATTGCCATGCTTCTTATGAAATACCCGGTCTTGTCTCAATTCCCGGAGGAACTGGAGAAGACGATGTCTCCGGGGCGGCCGATGAGGAATCTTCAGAATCTGACTCTGTTTGGATGTCAGATTATTCTGAAAGCGTCCCGATTCTGCCTGATGGTCACCCCTTCCTTGATGTAAAATCCAAGGCGACGGAAGAAGCCCTTCGTTTATATGAGGTTTATTATAACTACACCAGAGACAAGGGGACTCCAAGTGCATCGTGTGTAGTCGATGCTGGAGATAATACGTCTTCTGGTCAAGCCCCACGTGTATCATCCTTGGTTGGGTCGTCCAGCTCGTCATCTGGAAGTAAGCGAGCGAGCGATGGCGCAAACCAGAATGGAATGGATGGCAACGACGACCAGAATGGTGCAGATGAAAGAGGCCCTCCGAGAAAACGCGTCCGTACAAACAAACAGTCGGCTGGCCGAGAACCATCCTTGGCCTGCCCGTATGCGAAGAAGGATCCTATAAAGTACCGCTCATGCTACTCAAAGATCCTCAAAAGAGCAAAGGATGTGAAACAGCACCTATCCCGAAGTCATCAGCTACCAATATATTGTGCCCGCTGCAAGGAGATCTTCCACACAGAGGATGAACGTAATGAACACCTTGAGGTTGACATAAGTGCAATATGCCCGGTTCAGAACATAGTTTACGATGGCGTCACAAGAGAGCAGAAAGAACTATTGACAAGGAGAGTGAGCCCTCGTATGACTCTTGAAGATCAATGGTTCTCTATTTTTGACATTCTTTTCCCAAACCATCACCCGAAGCCAAGATCCGCTTATGTGAACACGGGCTTGCCGATTGAGTTGGAAGCATTTCAAGACATGATGGTTACCGAGGGTCCCAGGATTATCTCCACGACTCTTGAATCATACGGCATTGTCCCTGTATTGATTTCAAATAATCCGGAACGTGATTTATCTTCATTTCTTGAGATTGTTTTGATGGAAGCACAGCAGAAAATTGCTGATAGGTGGACTGCGAACTTGGTTGAAGACTCGACAAGTGATGAAAACGGCGATGACTCAAATGCAACAGTAGCCTCGCGTCTTCAGGCCAACATCGAACAGTCTACGTCATCTTCAGATACATTGGTTACGAGCAGACCAAATAGCCAGCAACCACCCTTACTATTGAATCGGAGCCTCGAGGAAATCGAGGTTATAGCGTCATTACCTATTAGGACGGAAGTTCCTGATCAAGTGATGAATGATGAGATCTTACCGATGACGAATATGAAGAGCAATGAACTACAAGAGCCGAGGCAACCTCGTACGGCGATAGAACGTACGCCAACCGAATTCCAAATCAACCCTTCAATAGAAAGTGACATTCCATTCAGCCACCCGGAAGATATAAGCGACTTACTTGAATCTGAAGGCTTGAAGGCATTGGATGGACTGTTTGAAGAACACGGGCCACCCGAATCATGGGACAACTTTACGTTTGAAGATGAAACTAATTAAGTGATGGTGAACAAGCTAGATAATGGTTCTGTCCCCGCGTACAGAGACTAGGAGGCTCCCCTCTAACGGATACATGGTTCGCAAGCTGGCCTTTGTCTTTTTATTTGAATTCAGTATGCGCAATTAGTGATCTATTTGCAGTTGTACAATGTTGAGACTGTCCCGATTTTCCTCGGTTTCATTCCGCCAACCATGTTTTTCTCATTCACTTTAAAATATATGTATTTCCTTCATCCCCATCTACAATATTTATCGGGATGCGCTAGGCAGCAAGCGAGTTTACTGATTATTAATTGAAGCAGGATCTCTCTTCATGCAAAATTAGAATCGACACGGAACCCTTCGTAGCAGCTTCAAGTATTAGTAGTAGTAAGTGAGAGAGCTATACAGTTATGCGGCAGCTGCTGGGGAAAAAACGGAAATTCCCAAACACCAGTAATTCAAGATCTTTGTACCAAGCCCAGTATCATAACACATTATAGAGCTCCAAGCATTAAAAATTCCATAGTGGTATGCTCGACTTTGGCGTTCACCTATGAGTTATGTTGTCTAGCTCGATTTATAGATAAAATGTCATGAAATGGGCAACACAGGTCATGAGGTTAACAATGGTCATAACTAAGATGAGAAAATCGTCATCTTTATTCATTCCGCACTCTGTAGCCCGCGTTAAATGAAGAACAAACCCGTAATTTCACTTCGACCTAATAATTCTTCCCCCGTTCTTAGATAAATCCAGTTACTTGCCAACCGCGGGCCGAAGCATGGGGATGGCATCGGGGTTCTTTTGTAGCTCTTCTGGCTGCCTTGCGAACCCAACCCGTTGATACAATCCAATGGCATCAGGTGCAGAGTCGAGGTAGGTGGGTAGTTCCGGGTTCGCGCGAGCTGCCCGATCCAGAAGCGTTGAGCCAAAGCCCTGGCGTTGGGCGGAAGGATGCGTCATCAGAGTCTCAACAACTTCAAGCCGCGTTAGAGAACAATAGTGGACGCATGAAGCTGAAAGAGATGTACTAACAGGAATGTGGTTGGTTGCCCATGATGGCATGATGTTGAGAATCGAGCGACTCGCAGAATGCCTGGAAAATCTCCTCGTTCATGCCCTTGATCGGTGGTGCCCACCTGTCCTGCCACTTGATGGGCTCGCCAGTCTGTGTATAGATAACAATACCAGATTGAACAATCCCTTTGTGAGAATCATGTCAGTTGTTCAATCAAAGGAAAATTGTCTCTCTGTGAATCATGCTCACCGTCGTCGTCTCGGATTACAAAGACTTTTGGCGCCGAGTTCTCCTCCATGTACCAATTCCAGGCTCTGGTAAGGTATGTTCTCCCGATCTCATTGGGCGGGAAAAGGGTATGCAAAATTTCACTATTAAAGCATGCCTCCCAAATCTCAACGAGGCGAGGCACATCCTCGAGTTTGCCAGGTTCAGCGGCCGAAGGCATCGTTCTTAGTGCGAGCAATCGGGTCAGTGAGATATATAATTGGGAGAGGAGGAGTGCAGGAAAACAGAGGGGGAAGAGGCAATATAAGAGTTAGCCCATCACGCGACCCCGGCACCACCCTGCTCGGATCTTTTGTCCATGCGAATCTCATCTGACCAGTGACATGAGGCTTATCAGTCAATGTCTATCTGATTCACAGCTGTTGTCAGAAAATGTAACTGAATTCCAACTTCTGTTACTCTGTGTCCGTGAATGTATGGTACACTCCAGAATCCAGATAAAGAACTTATGCACAGCAGAGGCCAAGACAATTAAATGCGCAATTGCTGTGTTCAAATGGCGGTCACCAGCGATGACTTGAATATGATTGATCTGTTCTTTTGAGGCAATTGAGGCCATCAACCTACAGGTACGTGTGAAATATTAACCATCACCGGAGCACATACTCGTTCTCGGATCAACCAATTGATTGCTCTCTATTTGTCTCGTCAATTCACTCTCCCATTACTCAACCCCTCAGCTACCCAAACCGAGACAGCTCCCAGCAAGTGAATACGCTTACTGTGGGGAACAGAGCGTTTACAATCTAGACCCGCGTGGAATGGATCTGTGATTGGAAATATCAGCCTCGAGTACCCTCAAAATGCTGACACGCCTAACCGCGATCCGACAAGAAAGACGTCAGCAGGAGCATGTTCCCAGCTCCATGTGGGGTGCCCTGTTCACGCTTAACGCTTTTATAAACTCGGCCACGTCGTGCAATGATGGATCGTAACCTGCTCTATCCGACAACTTGCGCCCTTTATCCAACACCTTGAGCTTCAACATCCCTTCTAAAACCAGGAAAATGTCAGCCGAACGCCGCTGGGACAAGCGCCGATTCCAGCTAGAGGAGTCAACGACCCTCAATGGGGGCGCCCGCACCATCTTCATCGAAACGATGACGCCGGGCACGACAGTCCCCCCGCACTTCCACTCTCGCTTCTCTGAAACCTTCGATCTGATCAGCGGATCCATGTCCGTTTATGATTCCTCAGAACCTGACCTCGACGCATTAGAGTCATCAGCCCAGAAATTGGAGGTTGGCAAGCCGGTGACAATTAATCCTGGCCAGTACCACAAGTACCTGGTGGGAGACGAGGAGACAGTCCTCCGGGTTGTGGTCACGCCCGGGGATGCTGATTTTGAGAGACTATTGAAGATTATGAACGGGCTAGATGCGGATGGTGAGCTGGAGAAGCTGGGGGATAGTGTGGTGCTCATGGCAATTGTCATGGGCTTGGGCAACGCAGAGCTTATTGGTCCGGCCAAGGAGATGCTAGACGGGGTCCGGGCGACAAAGGGAGAAGAAATCGAAGAGTTGAGGAAAAGTCTTCTTGCAAAGTACGACACTGAGGAGGCACTCCAGGGGTTGTTGGTTGGAAAGTAACATTTCCGCAGCCTGACGCAACCACGAATCAGTCCAAAAAACAGTTTGTCAGACTTTGCACCAAGTATCAGTCATTAAAATCACATATTACTCAATTACATTCCAATTGCATGAAAGATATCGAATATCAATGAGGTTCTTCTTAGTCTTCGACACCTCCTCCTGGGCCTGTCACCAGCAGAATATATATGTTGATGTCTCAATGTTTAGTGCTGATGCGTGCCATTTGATCCTAGATCAAGGAATGCAAAACAACAACAGGCATCTTCATTGACTCGCCTGACGGAAAGACTATAGACAGAACTACTCATGAGTGAAAAAAAGCTCACGATTAATCTTGCTTGATAAAGCGCTTCAAGAAGCCCTCCAACGGCTCGGGAGTCAACGGTGGAATGGGGTTTTCATAGACAAGATCCACCTTACCCCAATGTTTCATGTACAGAGTCATGAGCAAGCCGACCATTGACGCTTCCTGTAAAAGTCTTTCGATATCCTTTTGCGAGTAATTAATCAACTTTGGTGGGCTACCATTCAACTTTTCGAAAGTTGCAAGGAATTCTTGTCCTGTGGACCGCAAAGTGACTGCCGAGAAGACCTTATTGGTGATGGAGACAGGGTCTCTGCACAAAATATCTGCTATGGCCTCACCAATGTGATCCAATGTCCTTGAGAGGGGATTAGCATATTGTTTCGATCAATAGAAAAGTTCACCGCAGGAGAAGACTTACGATATAGGTAGTGGATTGGTGAGCTGGCTCTGGCCCGCAGTGACTTGATTCAATCTAGGATCCGTTCCAAATACCCTATTATGATAAAATTAGCCCATAAAGTTCCAAAACCCGACAAAAGCAGAAGTTCATCATGAAAGTACTGACCCGTTAAAGAAATCTTCTGCGAAGACACCCGTAGTCACTTTGGTGAAGCCGACACCAAGCTCAGCGGCCCTGCGCTGAAATGCGAGTTGGGGCTTGGCAAAAGGAACCACATCGTAATCCTCTAGATGAAGAGGAATAGAGATGAAACAAGGGATAAATGTCACGAACCCCGGTGTCTTTCCTGCAGCTTCAAGGACATTTGGTTCGTGAGGGGCTGCTGAGTAGCCAAGAGCCGAGCTAGGCGATATTAACGAAGATTCTACTTGAAAGGCGATATATTAGAACTCACAACAGCACATGAACACCTCGAAGAGCTTCAAGAATATGTCCTTGGGTACCAGAAATATCAACTTCTCGAACGTCAATTTTGGCATCCTTGGGGACATGTTTTGGAGGACCTCCCGGACGATGCAAAAGGACAAGATTGATTCTTCCCGCCTTTTGAGCAACAAGGAGATGGCGCAGGGCGGAAGCACCAACACGTCCATTTGGCCCCAAGAGTGCAACTGTATGAGCCATCTTAATGAGGATGAAGAATATTTGCTGGAAATATTGAGTGAAGACAATATTTTGTGTGGTGTTTGAATCATCCTTACTAAGAGCAAACGACGTTGATTTATACTTCAAAAAAAGAAAAGATACTCGACAGAGTCAACAAGCGATTAATAATTGATCGAGTGTGTATTTGTAATTAATTCGGCAATTGTTGTCATCATTCGCTAGCAATTACCATACTTGGGGATAATTCTTTGGCATTGATGGCACGAGTTTCCACCATGCCCGATGGAAGTCCGAAAGACACGTGGTTGTCGCTTGTCAATCTAGAAGCTGCTCTTCCAAGGTCCACGCAAAGGAATTCGAAGAAGGTATTCATCAACTGCGGAGGACTCGATTCATATTGGGATAACGCAATAGTATATCACAAGTGGCTATCGATTTTGCTAGGGGTAGAGAACTCCCAATTTTATTCGCACTTGACAGAACAAAATGATTTGGAATGATCACATACGACTCTCTCTCCATTATACAGGATCCCAGATTCAAAGCTATTATAAGAGAGAGAGAGAACTGTAATAATTAAAATCATGTGTAGAACGATGAATATTGGTAATATCAATCAATCTTCTGCTGGATGTGATCCTTGGATCCCCATTATGTGGCTTTACCATACAGACCCAAGAATTAGGAAGATAATCTTTAAGTGAACCAATGATATAATGCCTTCACTACTCACAGCGCTTCAAGAAAGAGAATACGTCTGCGCGCGAATAATTTATGAATGATTTACCGTCCCTTGACCAAGGAGCATCGGATGTCAGCAGTCATTATTTTTCGACGTCATTTGCTCCAAGCTCAAGAACAAAGAGCTGTCAGCTAGTCGAAAGCGAAATTGTAGCAGCTTTTAACGGCTGCCGTTTTATCCGTGCTACCCTATCAACATGCTTTGCAACATATTCGGCCTTATGACCTTGCCCAGGACAGTAAGGCGATCTACGTACGTGGCTTGAATAGATGAGTCTAACAGACAGGGGGAACTGGACGGAAGGGAGCATCAAAGCTCATAAATATATGGAAAGTCTCTCGAGGGTGCAACTATTTGTAACCCTATTAAAAGCTAAATCACGTTCCTCCATTGTTGACTGACCTGACTACCAACATCGGCAACACTCAATATGCACGTTACCATGACCCTTCTCGATAAAGTCCTCCATTCACATGGCCAGGCTACTTCCTAGCCAGATCATGACCCCAACGGTACAAGCACCGAGACAGGCAGAGAAGATCCGTTGGCACAGTCTCCGTCAGCCCTAGATTCGTCTCAGGGGGTCTCAGCTCCAAGTCAAGCGAAGGCGTCTCTTCCTCAAGATGTTACCCGACCGTACCCGCAATACCAGTCCCAAATGCAAAATGCCGGAATGACTGCTGGCGCTCTTGTCGGCTCTATAGACGAAGGCTATATGGTCGGTGACATGGTGACAGGTGGTGTGGAGGGAGGCATTGTGGGACAGCGAGTTGCACAGGCGCAAAATCATGCGTTCTACCGTGATCAGGCGATGCAGTATCGAGAAGGCAGAGCAGCCGGTACTATCCCTCCTCCCGAGGAAGTTTATGGAGATTCTTCAAAATCTTCTTGGTGGTCAAAAGAGGGTCGAGCCCAAAGGAGGGCAGAGAGGTGGGAGCGGAGAGCGAAGAGAGCTGGTGAAATTTAAGTGAAGTGTACCAACATATTAATAGCTTGGAAGCGGTTGCAGAATGGCAAGCAATTAAAGCAATTATAACTAACTAATTTAGCCTAATGGTACAGTGCATGGTATGTTATGAGTCTCAGTTTGAATATGATGCGAGAAACAAGTCGAGGAAACAATTAACACTCCTACGTGGGACTATTGCCAGTTCTTAAGAACGGTCCCTTCCCCTTTCAACCCCAACACTTCCAAGCCATAACTCCATAATTCCTTTCGCTTTTCTTCGTCTCGTGCCTCTCTTGACGTTTCTAGCTCGTCCGTGCCATTCACATAGAGAGGTGTCCCCTTAGGGGGTGGCTTCACCTCCCAACAAAGGCGATGAACATCTTCAGCACTCTTCCGAGTCGTTCTAAATGTCCCATTAGGATCGGAGTATACCAGAATTGGGGCGAGAATAGGCATCAATCCCTTGATGAGAACTTTCATGACAAGACCGCGTCGACGAGTGATACCGGAGCTCATGGCGCCTGGGTCCAAACCAAACACGGCAATGTTAGAAAGGTCCGGATCTTGCCCAAGACGAATCGCAAGTTCATGCCTATGATTCGTTGTTAGTACCAATCTGTTGCACAGTTCAATGACTTTGCAATAGAACAAAACTCGACCTACATGAGCATGACGGCGCAAAGCTTGCTCGCTCCGTATCGTCGATATCCCGTATACCAACCTCCACCACTATCTGGCCTGCTCCACTCTCCCTTGGCAAGTTCTTTCGCGCCTGGATAGAGGGAATCCCAACCTTTGTACGGCTCTCCGCCATTTAAATTTCTCTTATCATCGATGCTGTCCCCAGATGCAGTCAGTAGGGGTGCCATACAAGGTGTTGTGTTTCCTCTAAATACTTACTCATGAGACCAGCTTCCGATGATGACTATCCTACCGTGAGTTGTGTCCATGCTCTGTAGCAGCATGAGCACCAGGAGTTGGTTGGCCAAATAGTTAACCTGCCATGTCATCTCATAACCATCATCTGACATTTTCTGTACTAAGTCAGCTCATACTACTAATCCTCACTGATATTCAGAGGTTTCTTACAATCTCTTCGCTATCTTGATACGCTGCGTTTAATATGAGCGCCCTGATTGGAGGGAGGTCACCTGATGCGACTCGCTCATTCAGCTTAGCCGCCGTGTCTCGTACGCTGGCAATGGATCCAAGATCCAATTCCAGAATCTCATGTCTGTGAGTTTGGGGAGCTCCGTTCAATGCATTCTTGAGTGCCGACGCAGTGGCAGCCTTGCGGACAGTGTACAAGCCAGTATGTGTTGCTGCCAGCTCTCTTTCACCGAGGACTTTTGTGACTATAGCAGAGCCAAGACCTCCATTGGCCCCAGTGACGATGATAGTGCCTTTACGTTCCTCTGATGAAGCCATGTTAACGATAGCGTATAACTGGTAGCAGTAACAAATCTCTGTTGAGTACTCTATCGCTTAGTTTAGCGAGCGAGCAGCCGACACTTTATAGCACCCGAAGTGGTAGATGAGAGATCACGCGGCACAATCCTTCCCGTGTCCGCAAAGTCCGCAACTCCACCCCAGACATGTCTTACGCGCGTATACTTGAACTTTGTCTTCACCATCTACTTGACAGATATCTTTTCGGTCTAGATAAGCCACATTGGACTAGCAATGAGCCAGCACCGCCCGCAGTTTCCTTTTCTCGTCATTCTTTTAGAAAAACACAACAGAACTCACGTCAGAGATGCGGAGTCCAGACTGTAAGCCCCGCCGATGGTGATACCACCTCATGTCATTAATCCCCCCCATTTAGGCAGCGTTGCATCAGCTTGCTTGCGTATCTGATCTGGTTATATTTTTCAACCTTGTCCTTTCAGCTTTGCCCAGAGCAAACCCCCAGACATCTTCTACACCCTCGGCCATGTATCCCTCTTGGCGAGATACCCCTCATCGTTGAGAAATTCGTTGCTAAAGATACTTTAACCTCGTTCTAGCCATATGGTGTAATTTTCCAGCTTAGTGGGCTGGGAACTTCCCTTTCTCGCGAATATTTGTCTCTTGTTCACCAAAACTTTCGTTGAACTTTCCTGTATATACCATCCTTATGTCTTTGATTCTACAATTGACCACGGCCTAGTTCTTCCTCAACTCGCGACTGATGATCTTCCGATTACTAGCAATTTCTGAGCCGGCTCCTTTCGGATGCTGCACCAATCTAGCTTCAGCGTGAAGCGCGATGCGGTAGGAAGTTGTCTTCCTTCTCCAGCACCTGATACCCGGCAGTTAAGATTGACATCACAAGCACTGTGCAAATAATTCAAAACAGACACTTTCAGCTAACCTAACTAACAGAGTTGTTATTGTTTAATTCTTGCTTCATTCATCGGATCAAGCCAGCCCAGACAAGCGGAATCTTTTTCCCTAGCAGGAGTTGAATTTCCCATCGTATTTGCCAATACTCAAAGCTTCACCCAACCATGGCCAGGATCGTCACAAGATTTACTAGGAACTCGTGCCTCATCTATCTTCCCTTGTATAGCCTCCCTGTCATACGATATCGTTACAACATCCGTCCGCAAAATGCGGTTGCCTATATCCACATCTGCGCTCGCAGATGCTAGATGATCGACAGTTTCGACCGTGTCGGGCTCGCGCAAGAATGTTTCTTGTGATTCAACTTCCACAAGCTCGGTATCTGAGGCATCGTGGTTCGCGTCACGGCGTAGACTACGGCGCTTATTCGTAATACGTGTGCCTGTCTCTAGGTCTTTCTTTCCTCGCGTGTGCCGGTTTGGTGTAAAATTGCTTGGATCGGAAGATGAGCTTAAGGCTCGGCGACCGAAGATAAATTCTACCAGTGGCTGTAAAAGAGGGATGCACGAAGCCACAATGATGGTAGTGCCTTCGCCACTGTTTGAGTGTCAGCTGGTGTTGTTCACCCGCACGTACAGCAGAAGAATGGGAAGGACTAACACGAGCCAGATAACAAGATCGGCCGTTTTATCTATGTTTTCAAATTAGGAGCAATAGAAAATCAGCCAGATACGAGGTATACGTACAGCTAAAGTCCACTTCGGCCAGAGCAGGCAGCCGGGTACATTTCGTGACTGCGATGATAGTTGCCCTAGTTCTGTTAGCAACGTCTCATTTCGGGAGTGTGAAGCCAACCAACCACCTACACGGATCCTATCCCTAAGGCCACACTCAGGCCGATTTTCTTCCTGATATTCATCTGAAGCTTGAAAAGCACAGTTGCGGGATATATCGCAAGGTAAAGGTCGGTAAAAGCCGAGAGGCCTACGATAAGGGTTAGTCGAGCTTGCCAGACACCCGCGTAGCATCCGACATTCTGCCAGCAAACACGCAATATTTTACCAATGTCTCTGTTGGCAAGCATTTCCTCTCGGGCATATCCGTCACCCAGAGAGACTGTACAGGTGTGCACAGAGAGTATAGGAAGATGATGCAGCCGACCAACGACGCCATGCAAGTTCCCGAGAGTGCCCACAGGAAGTATGCATGCCATTTTGCTGGGTTCATCAGTCGATTCAGGAGAGCCACCACGGCAATCTTGGGAAGACCGAATCCAGGAGTTGCCGTGGCGGAGGCGAGTAGGGTCCAGAATATTGTACGTTCCTTCTCGTGGGCGCTCAGGGTATCGACATGCCGCCCGTTCCCTTCTTCAGTCGCTAGCACAACGCAGGCGACACAGGCCCATTGCAGCAACTTCAGCTTTCTTTAGCCGTACATTCGCGGGAAGTATGGGGATCAGTGTCTGAGTTCTTACCACAGATACTGACGTTAGCCAGTCATCAAGCTGGACTTTGGCCATTATCTTTCCTCGGGTGAACAGGCGAAGAAAAACGAAAATGGTGCTTATCGAGGCCAGGGTCACACAGATTGCCACCACCATTGGGCCCCTATTCTCTGCTAGGTAAGCATCGGTGTGGTGAGGCAGTCTCGTTGGCTGCTCGGGGCTAGCCGTTGTTGTGTCCATGGCTATCCTATACTGTTCTACATGGAGACCGAATTCTAACATCCAAGTGCTAGACTAACGAAGGAAATGAACTGCTTGACGATGAGGTGTGGCTACCTAAAAACGAAGGTAGACAACATCACAGCGGGCCGTAAGGTATAAAATCAAAGCGATCAATAATGGAGCCCAAAGGCAAGTGGAGAAGTGTCACTTTGATGAGCGCATAAGGGTCCATTACCGTTGCAACTTGCAAAAGGTTTGGTATTGCGTCGATCTATGAAATGGGCTTGTTGGGCTGAGTCTTTGCATATTCAAGAGAGGCTTCTCCTAGATGGACAGGAGTCAAGATTTATGCGCTGTGCCCGAGCTAAGCCAATTACACGCAGATGAGTTCTTTTTTCCGCATGTTTGCTTTTGGCGCAACCAGCTGCAGGTTTCATATCTTGCAGTAGGCCTATGAAGCGTCTATCGTCCCCACCCACATTGTTAAACGGTCATGTGTTGGCGCGTATCTTGTCAACACCAACGTTCATGCAGTCGCCCGGGAGCTTGACACCATGGCGTTGGTAAGGGTCTCCGAGTGCTTCGTAGTTTAAGATGCAGTCGCTCAAGTGCGTTCGAAGGTTAGGTACATTGATAGAATTTCCCCTGGTTCACTAACAGCAAAGATGAACACAACGCTGTGGTTTGATCTTGCAATGGACGCATTATTGAATATTATCGGCACCAGCACCGGCAAAACTAAAAAGAGATAAAGGCGGTTTTCACGAGGATAAAAATTTCTCAGCCCCATACGAACTCGCCGAAACAGAAACCGCAGAAGCAAAAATGCCGTTAGCTTTCTGCAGCCCTTGTTCTCTCTTCCCGCGGTGGGGTTGCTGTGATGAGAGGCAGCTGGGCATCCCAAAGTTGCTAACAAGTGGCGTCTGTCAAACTCTGCGAGATGCAAAGCAGTGGGGTAAAGATGAATCCTCTCAAATCATTAGATCTGCATCAAGGGCCGTTGAGGACATGGATCCAAGGCTGATCTGAATAGTGGGGGGGGGTGCAACACACACACAGCCCGTTGGTCTTCCCGTTGATCTTCCTCTTTGCCAGGAATATGAATACTCCAGTAATACGACGTTTACAATGTATGCTAGAGTAGGGTGCGGGGGATAAGGATCCAAGGTCTATAAAAGCTGATGAAGACCATTAGTTGCAGTTCCCTTCATAAAAGCCAGGACTTAGAAACGGGATACAGACGGATTCAACCGGATTCAACGTTATCCGAGCCCTGAATCTGTGTGGGATCATCCAAGTGGAGGAGGACATGGAAAAAGAAAAGAAAAAAAAGGAAGGGCATCATGCGCCAGCTCCAGGTAGATTATGCGTCACACATTGTGGTGTCAGATATTCCCCACTATTACTTAGTGGCGAAATCTTACAAAAGCAACTATCCTCTCCTATTCTCCATGAGATTACAAATTCCGCTTTGGTTAATGCTATCTTCGCTCTACTCTCCCTAAACAACATTGAACAATCTGGAGTTGACACGAAGACAGCAGCCCACAAGTCTAGCAAAGGATTTTCCAATAGCAAGCATGCCCAGGCGTGAGACGAAAGGGCATAAATTATCATGTTCAAAGCATCCTCAAGGGCACATATCACCTCCATATTGGGAAATGGACCAAACTCTATTATACTGCCTATCCTAATAATTATACGCTATCCTAGGAAGTAGTGCACTCAAAACTACATCTCTCTCTTTTGTCTGTTCTGTTGTCGCCAGAATGGCCTCCCAAATCCCGCCGTACCGATGTTCCATTTGCCTTCCAATATTGCGGCCAGTGCTGACTATACTCCCTTCCAATACCATAGAATGGGCCTCTCCAAGACCCAGAATTAGATATTCTAATTAAAATTGAAACTTATTGATAAGTTTACGTTTTAAACTCCAGCACACTTACTCCAGGCGTAACTCTGCCAACAAACACAAGCCTTACGCCGGCGGCGTCTTTACACTCGCTAGGTAAGTTAACTGCAATAGTTTTACTATAAGGAGAGTTCGGGGATCTTTTACTTCAGGTTCTTGGATTTGAGAGACGACTTTTCTTGCCTTCCTTCCTAATGACTTTCAAACATGCGGTGTTTCAGCCCGAGGTCAGTTTCTTCTATCAACTGCTCCTCCCCTTGTCTATGGAGTTTTGCTTTACTGCTTGCAATGGCTGTACTGAGTATTTAGGTCAAAGAGAATGAACCCAATGGTGGCCTCTTTTCATGGCTGTTGCCGACTGTTTTGGCCACAAAAATATCCGTTGGTGAAGATGAGAGAATATTGTTACTCTCCAGACCTCGACAATAGATAGCAAATTCTCTGCCGTTAGAGATATAACCAAGTCCAAATCAAATCAATTTTTGGGGGTGTGCCCGAGCATGCGATTTATCTCCGCGACATCCCAATAGAACGGCTGCTGCTCCGTCAACACACCCTTCTCCAAGTCCACGGTGACGACCTGGCAGAACGGGTAATCTATCTCCTCCCCAGTAGCCCGGGCCTTGAAGTGTACATTTCCGAGGACCACAATCCGGTTGGACCCCTCCCTTTCGAAGATTTCTGGCTCCTGGACATCTACAACCGAGAAGTGGTCTGCCATCTGCTTTGCCCATCTCTCCAGACCCTCTGGGCCAATGTACTCGCCCCCATACGGGAGAGCGGGGGTTTGTAGAAGTCGATACTCGGGGCTCAGGGTGGCTGCGATGCCACTGAAGTCTCGCTTGTCCGGGGGGGCTGACATGTAGATGCGCTCTGCATCGTAGAACGCCTCTAGGATGGAGCGTGCGGTGTGCTTTTGTGCTTCAGGCATTGTTCCTAACTTGCTGTCTTGCAACTTAGAAATCGGTCTAGAATACAATTATGTACAGTTTTCTAGAGTGCCAAGTTCGCAAGACGTAGCAATATATATACGTGTCCGCCCTCTTGATTTATAAGCCCAGGTGGTGCAAAGTGGTTGAGATTCCTCATCAAGTTAGTCAGGCCGTAAGATCGCAGTCTTTCCAGTGGGTACATGGCATCTCGTGCTTCGGGGACGTTCATCAGCTTCGGGCATATCCATCAGTTTCGGGCATACTCCAGTCATCAGCTTCGAGGACATTCATGGGGTCACATGGCTACGGGCGAGTTGTTGGATAACTAGAAGTAAAAAGGAAGATGATTTAGCTTGGCTGAGCCGTAATAGGGAGTATTTACGCCGTCAGAAAAGCAAATAATAAGCATACCAACATCTCACCCCTTTGACGCACCCGACTGTTCTCGGTGATGCATGGCTTGGCTTGCCCGGATATACGGATGAAGAAAGTTCGAGTACAAAGGTAGCAAACGGCAATGAAGATCTCAGACCCGACAAACAACGAATACGAAAGAGTTGTACGGATATTACATTATAAAATTGGAATTATCCAAGTACAAGATTGCTTTTGGTTACTTATTATTAGAAACAACTAGCTACATAGGATATAGTCCATAAATTTAACGTTCTCAATCACGACCACTTGTTCCAGTCGAAAACACCAGCTTTCAATAGTCGCCAGCTATCTCCCCTTAAGACAATGCGATATACGACCATCAGCCTACTATAACCAGTCATTGGGCAGAGGCTAAGGCCGGCCCAGACTCACCAAGTGGTGGGTCTTGGCCAGGAGGTCATCTCAGCGCGTCCAGCTCAGCATCCGCATCTTCAGCCCTAAACAAAGGGAACACATTAGCAACAGCTGGTTGGCTGCATTCAAACGCCTAGACCGTAGTCAGCACGTCGTGGCTGCTGCAACTTACAGCACTTGCACCAGTAGACGGGAGGTGGCGGCGCCATCGGGGGTGCGGCTGAAGTAGCGGGCGAGTCTACGTGAAAAGTTGTCAAAAATATGCATTGAATGGTGTCTAGTGCTCGTTGGTGAGACCTTCCCATTGGAGAGGAGGACAAAGAGTTGGATAAGACTAATCTAGGCCCTGCAGGAGCAGTCTCCAGCTGGCAGGAAGTGCAGTCAGGATTAAACATACTTATAAAGTTAACTTATCCCAAGCCCATCGGTTTTCTTATTCAACGCATCTCCCAGTAGCCATCCCACATCCCGACATTGCCTTCCTTCTGCCATCTCCTCTACTAAGCGACAGCAAATCACCATGGCATCTGTGCTCCCTCCTGTCCATCCCCCTATGGGGATGTTCGACCAGTATATCACTCCCGGTGGTGACAGTCTCATCCTTACAGAGAAGGTTTTCTCCCTGTCCGGAGACAGCTTCGAGGTCCACAAGAATCAGGGAGGCAAACCCGGCGAGGCAGCTCTCAAGATCCAGGGCAAGCATCTCACCATCTCCGGCCGCAAAACCGTCTCCGACATGGCAGGCAATCTCCTCTTCGACATCGTGAAGGAGCACTTCCACATTCTTCACCCCACACTAGCCGCCCAGGACGAGAGTGGGAAGAAGTATCTTGTTATCAAGAAGCACCGAAAACGTAAGAGCCCCGACACAAACACACTGATCTACTCGATGCAATGAAGCTAACAAGCTCCGGATACAGTCATTGGCAGCGAAGCGACATTGACACTCACCTCCAAGGACGGCCGCACCGACACCCTCAGGATGAACGGCAACTGGAGAGACAGCTGCGCCAACATCATCCATGTTGAGTCGGGCGCCACGGTCGCCAGGATCGACCGCCAGATCCTCAACGCACGAGAGCTCATCGGCGGCGCGCAAACATACCATCTCAACGTGGCGCCCGGCGTCGACGTGGCCCTCATGGTCGCGGCCTGCGTGGCTCTGGACGAGCTGAATAACGAGAAGAAGGGTTTGATTTCATTTTAGGGAGTAGTGGCTTAAATTTAGTGTAGTTGGGCAGCAAGTGGCGGGCATGTCTGTTTCAAATGTAGCAAGCAAGTATCAAATCACAATAAACCTTACCTCAATGCTAGAAGAACAACCATCCATAAAGTGAATGCACGGCAACCATGGACATTTTCCAGGGTGAAAAGCATCCACTGCTCCCAGAGTACCAATAACTGCCCCTCCATCATTTGATATCGGTGTGTGGGAGCCCACCACCCATACCGTATACGAGAAAGCCGCCAGCCAGCTAAGCCTTTATGCATGGCAAGAGGCTACCGCCCCTCCATGCGCACATTAAGGTCACATGAAAGCATTCAAGGCACAGTCTTGCTCTATTTTGGGCGCCAACACTGTTTATTTGTTTCTTCTAGCTCTCTTTGGCGGTAATCCAACGCCACATGGCCTGCACTAATGCGTTGGCCTGCCACCGCCAGCTGTCCTTAGCTCCCAGGCCGTCTGCCCGGGAAAGTCCGTATTGAAAATAACTCTATGTTCTTCATTTGAAAGATGATAAATGGTGCAATGACCAAAGGAAAGAAAAGCAGCATATTGGTTGTGCCATCAACTAACTCAAGCGCTGTTGGTCGGGACGATGGTGATAAATGTAGGGCCGTAACTTCCGCTGCCGCCACCGCCGCCGCCATTTCCTGCGGTGGTGGAGCTTCGTGAAGGTGAAGTGACGCTTCGCGATGGTACATTCGTGCTCCGCGACGGTGCACCGGTGGTTGGGGAGACGATTCCTGTACTCCGCGTTCGGGTGGTGCTCCGGGAGGGCGTGGTCACTTGGGTATGCTTTGCGGTCGAAGTACGAGTGCGACCGGTAGAGTTTGGAGCACGAGTATAGCTGGGAGAATCGGCTGTGTGCGAGAGGGGACTGTCGGTGATGGGAACCGGGCCCGGCGTGGAATCATCGCCTCCGAAGAAGTCCGTGGGGAACAAACTCTTCCATTCGGATGGAATGAGGTCTTCGACGTCACCACCGAACCCAGGGAATAGATCCTCGTAGCCGGTCGGGTTTGCGTTGCCGCTGTTGGTATCATCAACATCGGACTGATCCTTTCCCCCGTGGTAATGATGGTGCCTTTTTGGTGCAGCCCAGCTGACCGAGACCTGCAGAGCAAGAAGAGCGAATAGAAGAGAGGACCTGCCCATTGTGATAAAAGTAGCCGTGGACGTTTGAATATAGAAGCAGGAAGAACGAGTGAGAGTCGTAGACCAAAAGAGGGTATCAATTGAAGGTGAAGCCTGTCAAGCCTTTGGAGAGAAGAAATGCCCACCTCTATTAATCCATCCTGAGGGGGCATGCCATAAAGAAGTAGGTGCATGGACATCAATGAAATTACGCCATGTTTGTCACAAAGGAAACGGGTTGTTTCGCCAATCCAACCGAGGAACAAGGACCAGGGTGATGTTTGAACTTGGAGCTTCTGGTTGGCTCCGCGTCCATCGTTGAAACAGCTCAGGAGCAAATCAGCCCTGAATCCTCGATCCAATTTGCCGCATGGGCCATGCCCCCAATTATTTACCTCCTTGAAACCGCTCCAAGCTCTGCTAGGATGATCCAGATTCCGCTGCGACTGGTTCAATCAGGAAAGACGAAAGACCCTGGATTGATGTGGCAGAGCAGAGGTAATACGTTGGCAGCTGGCCCGCATGGCACCATTCCAGCATCCTGTGCCAAGTCTACCAACGCAGGCATCAGGAGATACCTTTGATTAGACCCTGCCTCGCCTGGATTTTCAAGTTTCTGTTCTTTAGCCTTTGTCAGATGCATACCCTAGAGCTACGTGTCGTTGTTACACCTAACTGTTATCTTTTATCGGAGATAAGATAAATGATAAGATAAGACGGGCGCGCACCTTCCATTTCAAAGGTCCATGTTATATTACCATCGTAAATACCATTGAGCCAAAGGGAACTATCTCGAAATGTTTTCATTTTATTGCTGGATTTTTGTAGTTGCATAACTGCGAGGTAAAATGAGGAGGGCTTAGGACGGTTTGACTAAGTTCAGAAATGGCCGTATTTGACCAACTTTGCCTGCTACAGATGATTGTGGTACAATCTTCAGAATGGCTTGAAGTGTTTCAATAAGAGAACAATAATGACAGTATAATGAAATCAAAGCCCCATGCTAGGTATGCCTTGAAACAAATTGTATATACATATACACTTCTTAAGACTATAGAAATGTTCCTATTGCCAGTGTTGCCTTGCCTAACCGGAGGTCTATAGGGTAGGTAAAGGGAAATGCGTCAGAGAACCTGGAAATACGTTCATACAATGACTTCGGTACTATGGGATTCATGAACATATTGAACGCGGATATATCATGACATTAATGCCCTGCTTAAGAACTGCGCGCTCTTCGAAGTTGAGGTGATTAGGTATATACCAATGAAGAGGAGATTTCGGAACATATGCAAGGGTATTTTGATTGTTTAATTTCGATCGTCCAAAATCAATTGATGGCAATCAGCTTGAGACAACAAATGATACAGCACTGTTTGAATCATCCGAGCCAGCCTTTCCGTAGGCCCAGGCCCGCATCGGTATGAGGTAAGCTTTTACATATTGTATGTATAATTGAATTTGATATCTCTGATTTATGCGATATTTGGCGAAGCTAGAAACTACTCATTCACACCCGCTGACTCTGGCGGACCCTTGAAGACCTTTCTCGCATGGACTCCATACCACACTGCACTGAGACCCCAAAGACCGATGAAAACAACACTGGCATAGCTCATACTCACAGCCGTGACTGGTAGAGTCGTGGGGAAGCAGAACAGAACGATTTCAAACAAAATCCAGAGGACGGCGATAACATTGATCACCCAGCCCACATTTGAAGGCATCCTCCATGCCGCCTTGTTCACTTGCTCACGCTTGGAAAGTAGAGAGATCACGATGGGGATGGCGTAAGAGGCGGCCAGGGCAATGACACCTACGGATACGAAGGCGACGAATGCAGACGACGAGCCGAGGTTGATCAGCCCGAGCAACATCTGGACAAGGGTGGTCAGGGTCAAAGCCCAGATTGGAACACCGTATTTTTGGTTGACCTTTGACCAGATACCAGAGAAGGGCAGGGCGTGGTCCCGGGCGAAGGCCCATGTGCATCGCGAGGCAGCCACGGTGATGGAGATGGAGCAGAAGACGTTGATGATCAGGATGAGGAGTGTCAGGGCCATGCCGCCATTTGCTGAGCCCATAACGCGGGCAAAAATGTATGGAAGGGACTGCGCAGCTGCCGAGTTCGCGATGATGTCGTTGAGGTCAGGCAAGGTGGCGCAGAGGGGGATAACCTTGAAGTTTTGTTAGAATCATGGAGAGACAAAAGAAAGAAGCAAAGGGGTGGAGCGTACAAAGAAGAGCCCTGCAATTCCACCGACTGGGATGGCCAGTGCCACGGCACGGGGAAGCTTTACTCGAGCATTTCCACACTCTTCAGCCATGGAAGTGATCATGCCTACGGCTGAGAATCTGCACGAATTTAGTCGAGTTCAAGACTGGCTCGAAAGTGAGGCGGGATTTCTTACGTGTAAGCGCAAGGCAGCATTCCGATGAAGAAGGAGAAGTTTCCCCATCCTGACAGCGTAGGGTCAAAAGCGCCCTGCGGTAGAGTTCAGTAAATACATGTAGCCTCGAGCTTCGTCCTAGACGGACTTAACATACTAAGGTGTCTGCGGCAGAATGCCGACCCGCGCCAGCCTTGACGGCCACGCAAATCAAAGTGGCTATAATAGAGACGAGTGTGAATGCAGCACATAGCGTGTCAATGGCTGGAAGAAAGTCGTTGCACAAGGCGGCAATGATGAACGTGACGATGCAGATACCGTAGAAGATGACGAGCAACTGCCATGCATCCATGACATATTCCGGATGGTAGAGTGCGACAGTGGCAGCGATCAAGGAGGCAAGGCCAAAGTTGACAGACAAAGTGATGGTCCAGTTACCGATCAACCAGATCCATCCGGTGAAGAACGACAGGCTCGTCCTAGTCTTGGGACTTGCGAGCTGGTACGTCCAGTAATACACGCCGCCGCTGGTTGGGTAGACGGAGGCGAGTTCTGCGAGAGATAATGCGACGCACTCTCCCAGAATGCAGACAATCACCCACCCGAGAAACATTGAAAGCTGTCCTATCTCCCGATGAGTATTCTCCGGCGACATAGAGCGTGGGGCGATATCTGACCTCCTCCATAGATGGCAGTGATTAAGGGAGAGCCGAAGCCGTATGGAATCTGTACCGCCGTCGCTTAGCCTAGCCCAGACTAGAGAAAACTAGAGAAGGGACAGGTCATCTTACGGCAGCAATCGCGAGTGATTGGAAGAGAAGAGTCATGGTGTTTCGATTGCGGCGCATCTCGGGATCGTACCCCAGCTGCTGCAGGTCGTACACATCCTGAGACTCGCCCACGGTCGTCGATGGAGAGGAGACTTTAATTTTTAGATCCGACATAGCTTCTGTATGGCGCCACGATGTGGCGTGGATTAAATTTGAAGTTGGATGTATACAACTCTGAGGATGTGTATCGAAGAGGGATGTGGATGGATGCTCCTCATCTGTGCAACGGCCAGACACATGCCAGCGGAGTTGCGACTCACGGCCTTTTAAGCCTGCTCTCTCCAGCGGGTACCCCCAAGGTTCTGACTGGAATTCCCAGGGAGAAAGGTCAGGTGTGTCGCAGCACGATAAGACATTGATCCCCCCGATCGCCATTCGCTGACCGTGTCTCAGTTGGAATGATAAGCTTTCCCGGAGCTGGCGGCCTCTAGGGAGGAAGGCCAGACTCGTCTCACAGTGATAAGGACTGGGAGAGACATCATTCGCCCGCGCGTCTGGCACAATTCGCCCTCTTTAGACTCGGCAGCCGGCAGCGAGGACGAGGTCGACGAGGGCTAAACCCAACTCGTGCATCATAACCGTGGTGACCTTGCGCACCCCGCATTATAGCTCATCGCCAAGCCAGATTCGCTAGCTGAGTCGGGGCATCAGAGACGGCTGCTCTCCTATCACTGCTCGGGAGGTCCACAGGATGATGGGCTGCCAAGGCTGGAGCTGATCGCCAAGGATGATTCAGGGCACATGTCTGAGCTTGGCACCGGGAAATTGAGATGCTCTCCGCTCTTGTTGTTCGGCTAGGACGGGGTGACTTCACAATGAACACCCCGGCATCATTCAGAGATAAAGAATCTGGTCCATCTTTTTGCTTGTCTCCCGCCAATCATTGTGAGGTGTTTAGCACAGCTGCTACTCACTTTTGAGAATCGTTGGTGACAGGGGGTGACTGAATCAGGCAACTTTAGAGGCCACTGCAACCGAGTGACATCTTGGACTATCTTCACAATGATCAGCGACTTGTTTATCTGCGCTGATACGTTGAGGGCAACCAACTTCAAGTTTGAGGAACGATCTAGGCAATTCTTTAAACAATTTCTCATTCTATTTGGTATGAGACATGCTATTACTCCCTATGTATACATCTATCTTGAAAAAATCCTGTTCATACACCCTAAAATCTCAGTCTATGTGTTCGTCGGCGCCGGATGTTCTACGTGTGTGTCTCTACACCTGCGGCTGGCTTCGCTGGAGCTTTACAAAACCTTTCTTTGATGCCATCCTTGTCCGGACCATCCAAGACCCCCAGCATGGTCTGCAGCTCCTTGAGACGCTGGGCAAACGTGATGAACATGCCACCTAGATTCATTCACAATTTAGCATTCTTGCGTTGATCGATTAAGCAAAGGGAGGGAGCCACCTTCAGCGTGCCAAAGAATGTGGCAATGGAGAGCCCAGACGCCCGGATTATCCGACGCGATGCGGAGAACGACGTGGTCGGCTCCCATCATGGTGAGGGTGTCGCGTCGCATTGGGTTGTCCAACTTCCAGGTCGTCTGGCCCTTTCCGAAGTTCCCGTCGCCCCAGCCAACGACTTGGAAGCCCTGGCCTGTGTAGTTTGTGAGTAGAACGTATCTTTATGCTGGGCAGCATCTTTACTTACCACTGCGTCAAAGTTAGCGATCACGAACGAATTATGCAAGAAGAAGGGCGAGAAACGTACTGCATATGCCACGGGTGCATCATCATGTGATTTGCTGAGATGGCAATCTGGGTTCCCATGCTGGGATCCGGTGATATCAATACCTGTTGATTTGGTCCAAAGTCCCACTTCGGGTTTTCTGCGTTGAGATCTAGATGGGGGATTTTCCAGAGAGTCGCATCGTCCACGAGAGGAGTATACGTGGTCTAACGTGATATGAAATGATCAGTGGCTGCGTCTCCACGTTTGCCATAGTATGGGGAGGGAAGGAAAACTCACCTCGTTGACAGAAGTACGCATCACGCCTGTCTCTCGACTCATCTTGAAGCGGAAGTAGTGACTGTTCTGCTCACTGACGTTGTACGCAGCCATCACGCGCTTCGGCTTCGGAAGATCAAACGGCAAATCCGCACAATCTTCGCTCCAGGGCTCGGCCCCGATCCCTTCCGTCTGCGAACTCTCGACGTCCCATGGCTTTCCGATCGTCTGTGCCTTCACATCCACACCTCCATAAGCGAGCACGCCGTGTGCTTCGAGACCTGCGTTACCAGACTCTCCCATATGACGCCCGGGAATATGGAAGCATGCAGCAGCGGCAGAAGCACGCATCAGATAGTTACCTGGGGACTGGTTGGCGGTGAGGATCACAGAGTATCGCTGGCCAGGGTTGATGAAGACCCGGGAGGTACGTATGGGTTCGATCTCAACGCCGTCCAGCTCAACAATCTCGAGAAGATGACTGTCAACTGAGAAGTAGAGTGGAACGTTTGTGCTGTGGCTGATGAGTCGAAGACGGACACGCTGTTGGTGGTCTACGTGTGTGGAGTGCAGTGTGCCGTTTTCACATGCCATGGAGCTGCCTGTGCAACCTTTGCCATTTCGGCCGTTGATAATGATGTTTTTTGCTGGTGGCTCGATGCCTGGACTGCTGGGTTTCCATGGTGGTGAAGGTCCTAGGTAGTCCTTGAGAATCTGCGGCGATGATTAGCTATGCTGGAGGTTTTCTCTCCTGAGATATGGGGGGAATACCTGTTCGGCGGAATCGTGGTATAAGTCTCCCACCATAACAATCTTGTCCTGGTCGACGCCTGCAATGGCTTCAGTAGGATCATGGATGACCTGGAGATGGAGGAAAAGTAAGTAAGGGAAGTCCAAAGAAAGAACACGTAACAAGAATGCATCGCGGGCGAGGAGGGTATTTGCTTACCACGGGCCCGTAGAGACCATCGGTGTACTGGACTGATTTATGTGCATGGTACCAAAACGTCCCACGCTGATTGACGAGGGTGAACTCGTAGGTGAAGCTCTGTCCTGGTGGAATGCCGCATTGCGAGATAGAATGGACGCCGTCCATCCAAGTAGTATTCCTTTGGTCAATCCCATGCCAATGGAGCGTGGTACTCGTCTCGGTCATCATGTTGTTGACATGAACACGAATTGTGTCTCCGGTGTTGGCCTGAATGAGCGGGCCAGGCGATTGACCATTGACGAGAATCATTGTCTTCTCAAATCCATCTGGGGCAGCGCGGCCATGGGTGATGTTGAAGGTGTATTCACGCACAGTTGCTTTAGCAGTGACAACGAAGTTGCGCTTCAAGTCGAATTGCTCTGGGAGAGGCAGCCCTGACTCGACGGCAAGAGATTCTGTGGGAGATGCCTGAGTGGTAGAGGTTGAGCTAGATATTGAGCTAGACACTGAGGTCGATGTTGATATGACGGCAATGCTTGTAGTTATGTCCGGCATAACAGATGTCGAGGCGACGTGATGGTCATTGTCCGGCTTGCTCTCATGGTCCTCATGATGATCTTGATCCGCCGGCATAGAACCCGGGCCGGCATGATTCGAATTGGTGACTTGCTGCTGCGGGAAGTAGAAGAGACTGAAGGACGACAGCGCAAGGACAGAGATTATGCCGACGATGATAAAGGGAAGCCGCAGAGTGGGCTGACGAGACCGCACGGGACGCTCATAGAACTCTCGCGTCTCGGAGTCGGTTGGTGAGGCGATGTCCAGCATCGGCACCTGCTCTCCGGGACCATCATAAGAAGCATTCATCCTGCCTTGAAATTGGATGGGGCGCGCGATCGGATCGGCACGGCTAGCAGTGAGGACGGAGACAGATGGGAGCCATTTGGGGGATTGAGAAAACAAATTACTGTCAGCACGGCGCGATGGCAGATTGGTTGCCGCAGCTGAAACGTGGCCCCACGCGAACAAAGGAGACATGGATCTTAGTTTGGCTTCGGAGTTGATCCGTGCTGTCAGTTACCCCTTTTTAGCTATCATCACCCCTGTCCACTTTGGGGTTCGCAAAGCAGCAAGAAAACATTCTTCGACACTGTACACGAGTTTCTTGTCACCGGTTGGTCGTGTAACTTCTAGGATACTAAAATGTTGTGGTGATATATCTTGGCAGCAGTGATCTGCAATCCGATGTCACCGCCATGCAAATTCGACACAAAATAGGGGTTCAAACTTTGGAAGCGGTGTATTTTCATAGGTGCCTTGGTTAGCCCTGCGCCATCTCTCCATCTTTGGCATCTTGGCTGTAGGGGAAGGGCAGTATCCAACAGAACACGCACTTAAAGCACTTAAAGCACTTATAATAGGCTTGTCCTCCTCCTACAATTATCGTTAAATATCTTCAAGAAGCCACAAGTTTGGCTAAAGTCTTGAATGCAAATGTTTCAAGTTTCCCCTGAACCTTGATGTGAAAATGGATAACAAGCGGCTGTGCATACAGGCCTCTTGAACGGTTCAAGACCGATATTTCCCAACACTACAGTACCAACTCGCAGTAGCTGCAATGGTTTGACAAATTGAAGCCGCTGGACGAGGAAACTAGACTCTAGTGATTTGCAAAACAGCCAAGCGACGCTAACAATGCCGTCGGGCACAAGGCAGACTCCAGACTCAGCCGCAGCGGAGCCCTTGACGTAGTCAATTCAGCGCAGCGATGAACCGACGATAATATGCGCATTACTCTGGAGGCCAATACACCTCTTCCACAATAGCTTCACGCAATCAGCCATCATATATCATGGGCTTTGACAAGAGGGCATTTCTCGCCGCTTTCCGCGCGAGCAACACCAACGACTCTGAGAAAGAGCCACCTCCTCCCTACCAAGAGGAAGAAGATCGTCCCAGAAGTGACGAGAGTGGCACGACACCCGAAATACCTCCGCCCGGTTATGATAAGGCAGAGGCTAAACCCGCGCCCAAAGAGAAGGGAAAACAACCTGGAGTAGAGGGCTTTGATGCGTCAAAACGGCCTCCAATCCCCGTGACTGCGGCGTATCTCTTACAGAAAGACGAGGAAAGCAAGAAAAAGCTACAGGCAACAGTCGACGGTTTTTGTGGCGCACCGGATCCCAGCATGTTCGAGTTCGAGTTTGTATGCCTGCTCTGTTTTGAGTACGAGACGGAATGCTTGTGTTCCATATCAGACCCGAAGACGACTACTGATCCATGGCAAATACCCCAAATAAAGAAACCGAAACGGTCACTCAGGTTTCCAGCTAAGCTGGCGACGGAAATTGGGGACAAGCCAGCTCATCTATCAGCTGCCATAGCCCAATCCCTCTGGCCTGCCATCACGCGCGGCATGATTCCCATATTCAACGACAACTCGCTCGTCGTGTTGCGATCACGAGCTCTCGAGCGTATGCAAGACCCAAAAGAGATCTTGAAAAATATGGTCAACCCCGTTTCCACCTTGCTATCGGCTGTGAAATGCCGATGCGGATGCCAATTGGAGATATGCCAGAAAATACGGTCCAGATACGGACTCGAGAGCAAAGAATCCATAGAAGAGTGTTCGGTGACCTCGTACAAAGTGCGCACCCGAACATTCAATGCAATACGCTTGCCATATGGAATAACATGCTTCGACCTGTCTGATATTGGCATCTATGAAATAAAAACGGCCGACGAGGAGGATTTTCTTTTCTACTGCTCTATACTGCCAACATTCTGGAATGTCTACCCCTCTCCCAAGCCCAAGAACGACCCAGCAGACATCAATTGGCACGTGGTTCTGGAAAGTCTCCTTCACGAGACGTTGACTCTTCAGAATAACCGTATGTCGAGGTATGAAATTTTACCCATTAGAGCCATGTGCCATAAAGACGGCTCAACACGAGCTGTTATGCGGACTGAGAACTTCGCCGCCGGTCCGGGCTTCCTCATTATGGAGACGCCGTCGGCTCCAAGCAGCCCGAAGTACAGCATCATTGATTGCGGATACTCACTTCGTCATGTTTCAAGCATCAACTCTCCTAGGACAGTTGATACAGAGGCATTTATGTCACAAGCAACCTCGGCCCAGCCCAGGTTTGGATCACTGGAGACTGTTAGTGTAGGTAAGGGATGGGGAAGCCTATCCCTTGATCCCGGATCAGATGGACATCTTTACCTGAAAAAGAGATATGGCCCCTTCATTAAAAGAACCATGGTAGGGCTACCACGGCGGGGCTCTCCAGGAAAGATGTGCAACGGAAACTGTTCTGGAAAGAAGGCTTCCACTGGGGCGTATTTTGCCGGCTTCGCGCCCCCGACCACAGAGCCGAACCAGACAACTGTCTACGTTCTTGACAAAGACCCGTTGGCATGGGTGGTGGTATCACAATGGGCATCTTCGCACCCGAGGCCATTGATATTTGTAAGCCACAAACAATGTCTGGTGTGCACGATTTTGGAATCCCCCGCAGGGAGTATCATTGCCTCTGGGCTGCCCCCCGTAGCTTTGTTTGGTTCAATGATTACTTGAACATGTTTGAAGAGTCAATGATACGAAAGTGCATTCTCAGCGAACTTATCGAGAGAGACAAGTGGTCAGCAGAGCAATGAGACAGCATTTCGAGGGTGCTTATTAGCAGACCACGCTCCAAGATGAATGGAATAATACGGTGGTAGCATAAAGCAATACGCATTGATAAAATCCACTGTGCTATCACTTAAATATTCTTTAGAGGCCATCAATCTGATTTTATATCCTGCTGCTACTATCTACTATGACAGATAGACTTGCTCGACTCCAAGGCTGGCTGCTCCGTGAGACCGCAACTTTTATCTTTCCCACATTTCTTGTACTCGCTATAAATAGGGCAGGCCCCTACAAATAATTATTAAATCACCCATAAATGATCTTACACTTGTGAAGGCAGAGCGAGGGGATAGTTTACCGAATTTAGAGATTCATGGTGCATTAGTTTGAGTTTGTTAACCCAGATCAAGGTTCAAACAGAAAAATTTGCTATCCGAATCTCACCGCACAAGATGCTGTAAGTAACATTATAAGAATTTAGGATTTTCTTCTCCTCCAGCTGCTGCTATTTCTTCTCCTTCAATTCATAGACCCTATTGCCAGAAAGAAGTGGCTTTGGCATCCCAGCCTCTTGGTACCTTATGCTTTTGGAAAACCACAGCTATCGTTCCCAAGCTAATATCTGGCACCGCAATCAAACTAGAGGAAAATCGAAAAGACACGATAGAGGTACTTACGAACCAAAGTTTCGAAAGATTTTACGCTGGACGCACAAACACGACAATGGAGAGAAACGCTGGGAGGCGCGCCAGATTGACCAGCCGTCCAGAGGCTCAAGCGGGAGCCTTACGACAACAGCCAGCCCATTTCCATTACTTCCAAAAGCTGCCGACCCAAATACGTCTGGTGATTTGGAGGTTGGCCATATGTGACCCCGAGACACCAAGACTTCACTACTACTCCCTGTTCAATGAGGAACATGACGGATACCGACAAAGCTTTCTGCCACGACTCATATCCATCTACATGAATCCTCCTGGGCAAAATAAGAGGCATGTTCATCCGAAGGACAAGAAACCAGAACCAGTCGAACGCCGTCAGTTGCGATCTCAACCGTGCCAACTAACTTGGGCCGAGGCCAATCGCGTACACTACTACTGGAACGCGGGACTCCGGACTGCTTGTTGGGAATCGCGCATCGTTCTGACCCAGTATTACAATCGATATGGAAAGACCAAGTCGTCAGTCAGAGAAGGGTCTTCTGAATATCCAATACTAATAGAAAGTTCTCCATCTGAGGATTATCTCTCGTCAGAAAGACCTCTTTCGGCAGAGGAAAAGAACAAGACTGCGCTCAGCCGAACCATCACTACATTGCCGGAAAATGGTGGGAGGGTCTATCTCGATTGGTGGACGGCAGATATAGTGTGCTTCCGATTTCCCCAGGAACACATGGCTGCTTGCGTTTATTTTGAGTGGGAGAAATTCCTTACCCGCCTTCCCTTCTTCCAACTTCCTTATGCCTCAGCTTTGAATCTTGCCTTTGAGTTTGAAGATGGCTGGGAGAAGGGCTTAGGGGAGACTAGGGAAACTGTCTGTCATTATCTCTCTGAAGCTTCAACAAGAGGTCTTATGATGCGGGCTTGGTGGGACTGGTTGACAGGCAGGATCCCTATATGGACCCGTTTGTACCTGATCAATCCTCGGAACGACCTTCCCGGACGTCATAGACTGGCAAAAGGTTTCCGATACTACTACGATGCCGTCTATGGCTCTGAGTACCCCTGCAACAGTACGGACCATCGTGTTTTCTCCGATGGCGAGAAAAGATACGTTGAGAGCTATGACTGGGATGAGAGAGGGCGAAACCGTGACGTACCGATCTGTAGCTTCATTTTGAAGATGGACAGACTCTGTCGACCGCTGCTTACGTCTCCTGCTGATGCTAACCTTCCCACCTCGTATCAACATTTTTTTAGAGTATTGCGGCGCTTGCCGAGTGACATGACACCAACCAACATATAACAGAAAAAAGAAGCTCGGTTGTCGAACATCGACTACGTTTGTATTTACATGTAGTTTAGGAATATTTTTAGGTGCAAGATAACGATTTTTTGCACTAGATGGGCCACAGTTATAGTTCAATCACAAACTCAAGTGGTGTAAATTGTTTTGATATGTTATGACTGGTATGTTCTGTTCATGTTACTATTTCTTGGTAGACGTAAACCCCTACAAAAGATAGACCCGCGCCGTTGATGAAAAATACATAAATTCTAAATCTATAGGATTACGAAAGAGAGCAGAATATCTAAAGTTCACGATCTATGGATAAGCTCAGCTAATTAGAACAGCCTTCTTCATCTCGAACCACCATTTGTCTAAAGACGACTGGAGAAGTATGGGATGTTCTTCTTCTCGTAGATATCCTTGTGGTCAGCCTTGATCATATCGGCAACCTGTTTTGTTCGTTAGTCAAGGCCAGATATCTTCTAGGTAAGTCTTCTGTTGTCACTAACCTTCTCACCAATCATGTAGACGGAGTTCTGGATGCGGCAGTCGGGGATGACGGGAATGATTGAAGCATCAGCAATACGGAGGTTCTTGATTCCGTGGACGCGGAGCCTGGAATCAACAACACCCTGTTGGATGCTCTTGGAGAGGCGGGCAGTGCCACAAGGATCTGCATGATATGTGAGTTGTGTTTCGTATGCTATGGGAGTCATTTACTTACGGAAACCCGTCTGACTGCGATCTAGGACAGCGCGCTTCATGTCATCATCAGACTCGAGGGGCATCTTCCAAGGATACTCTGCAACAACGATGTCCTTGAACCCAGAACCATTGGTCAAGAGATCGTAGGTCCAGCGGACACCCTCGCGCATAGCAAGAATATCCAAGTCGTTGCCGAAGAAGTTGAGGTTGATGTTGGGCTGCACCAGAGGGCTGGCGTTGTTCAAGGTGATCTCGCCCTCGGATAGGGGACGCAGCAAGTCAACAATGACAGTGATGTAGTTGCCGCTCTCGGGAACCGGGTAGTGCCATTGGAAAGCGGAGCTGAAGAGGCCGACAAAGTCAAGCTCGAAGTGAGGCTGACCTGCAGGGCCGAATGGGTCGAGACCGCCGTTGGCAGCCTTGGCTTGTCGATAAGTTTCATACTTCTCAAGACGTTGATCGATTCTGGGGAAGCCTACAAGCTCAAGGAAACCGGAGCTTGCTGGACCAGTCTTATCCTTGGCATACTGTGCAACGGCAGCTTGGTTCTTAGGCCCCTGGCGGAGGATGTACTCATCTAGGCCATACCCGTCCTTGATTTGGAGGACAAAAGGCACAATAGGGTGATCCAGAAGATGCTGACCAACGTGGGGGGAGTTCAACTTCACGTTGATACTGTGCTTGTTAAGTTCATCGGCGGGACCAACACCAGAAAGCATGAGCAACTTGGGAGTCTCAAAGACACCCTGTGAAAGGATGACTTCCCGGCTAGCATAGACACAAAGCTCAACGTTGGTGTCGGGGTTGATGACAGTGACTCCAAGGCATGCGTTAGTCTCCGGATCGATGATGAGCTGCTTGGACTGAACACCATAGAGAATGCTGACGTTGGGCTTGTCCTTCAGGTACAGAAAGCTACCTTGACGCTGGCCACCGTGAATAGTGTCAACGCAGTGAGTGAGGCCTCGCATCTCGCCCTCGTAAATGTCTTCGGTGAGGACTTCGCCCTTTGACAGCCAGGCCTCGGTCAATGCATCGCGGAAAGGCTGCATCTCGGGGACCAAATCAGCGTGTTCGATCTGGATGGGGCCGCCTGTGCCGATCTTCTTGAGCTCAGCAGGGTATAGCTTCTTCTCGTCATGGTAGGTGGCGCACTTTCGGAGGTAGTCTACACAGCCATCCCAGTTCCATTCAGAACCACCAAACTCCTCCCAGTCATCAAAGGTGGGCTTGGAGCCGGGGATCCAGGTGAAGTAGTTGCCGCAAGATGATCCGCCGAGAGCTTTGCCGCGAGTGTTTGGCTTCTCAACACGCTCGTAGTCGTCGCGCTTGATCATGGTCGACTTGTAGCCCCAGTCATACTTGCTACCGCGGAGGTTGAATGCTTGGGATGGTGTGGTAATGACGGGGACTTGGTCAGGGTTGGGAATGCCAGCCTCGACGACCAGGACACGAACATGGGGGTTTTCGGCGAGACGGCCAGCAACTGCATTGCCAGCAGTGCCGCCACCGACGACAATGAAGTCGTACTCATTTCCGTTTGCGACGAAAGCCATTGAGTTGATGTAGTTTGGGAGTGTGGTGTAGTGTTTCGAATTTATGTGATGCTTGAAATGAGGATTATCAAGTGATTTAAAGTGACGAGATGGTTATGGGTGTTAATGATGATTGTTGATGAGGTAGAGAATTGCTAATGTTTTGAATGCTTGCGAAGTGATTGATGCCGAGATAAAAAGACAGGTTCATGAGGCTTCGCTGTGATATTTATCCTCTCATCCACTGTGAAACTTTGTATTCTCTACACCATACTGCTCTCTGGCCTCGACCAGTTAAATTTTCGCTATTCACAACCTCAACAGCCAAACATTCCTTCACAAGTTCCATCGCCGAGCCAGTCCCGGGCATCCGATGCCGTGCTGAAGCGATGCAACGGCCCGGCACTTCGCGGCCTCTCCAAGTTCGGTTTAGGGCAAGGTCCAAATCGTTCAAGACTATGCGGCCTCAGCTTGCGACGTCATTCTGCAGGCGCTCAGATTCAAAGCCGACCGGGGATCGCTCGGGATTGCTTGTGACAAATTTTTGACATTGCGAAAATACGAGATGCAAATATTTTGGAGATGCTAAAGCTCGGAGTTTTACAATTGACTTCTACCACGAATCAATCAAACATCAAAGCAATCCCGAAGAGAGGGAATACCAGTGAATAGAATGCCGAATGTTCGATATTCTGCGAAAGAGCCTTCGGATCCGAGGATGACCAAAAATGGATGAGGTTTGAACTTCTCAGCTTGCAAAAATGGACTCTCCATATTTGAGGCTTTTCCTCCATATTAGCCAGCAATTGCAGTAACTCAAATCCCCAAGATCTGCTGTTGTCGGTTTGATGTCGGTTTTCCAAGCTTCATGATTCAACCACATCGGAATGTAAGATCTCTCTGCCCTAAGAAACTATCAATCCAATTTTAAATGACAAGGCTGGGTAATTACGAATTGGCTGTCAAGACATCCAGATGAGCCAACGTGTCTTAGCCGCTGTTCGCGTGCTTAATGGTTAACTGAAATGTGGCTATATCCTGGTAACATGAACATTGGTAAGGCCAAGAGCGTCTTCGGTCAAGGTCATGAGCTTCGGATCCGGTTTACCGAAATTTACATTTAATTTTATTAAATATCTATCTAACAATAGAATATTACTTCTGCTTCGTTCGGTACTTCTTGGAATTTCACTCCCTTAGCTGATAAGTGTTGTTGGAGTCTTCTTGAACACTGGTATTGTGTAATGAATATCGTTGTGACCCAACCAAACCCAGGGAGTTCTTATTTTTCATTACTCTTACAATTATAGTAGTTCTTTGGCATTTACCAAAGAAATATAATTTTTATCAAATCATCAAGGTAGAGTGATACTGGTGTCAACCAAGGACGACATAGCCGCGGGTAGACTCTGCACTATAGGGTAAGCAAGCCTCTCTTTGAGGTAGTGAAGGTCCGTTGTTCCATCTAGCCGGGGTAGACTTTGCTAATTTTGCGGTGAGTGTGATTGCAACAATGAATATCATCCTCTTTGGAGCATATAGAAGATCGACCACTCGCTGGCTGATTGGCTTATTAGCTTGAAGGTGGTAGCTTTGACTTAACCTTTGCCCTTAACGTTGTAAAGAGGACGTCGTGGGTGTGTGGCGGTGCGCTCTACACGGCATGATCGATAAGAGACTTGCAGCACCAAGCCACGATTGATAGACGACATGGCGGGCTGTAAAGCGCCGCGCTGATTTGACGTTTGGGGAAATAATTTCTTCGTGGGAGTGGAGGGAGGTAGCCAACCAGTGCCGATATTGCCGGGCAACTCTCATGCCAGTCGTGTTTAGACGATGTATGAGCCAGCCACAGGGAAGAAGACCGTGAGGATTCCCACCGAAGACTTTGAATCGGATTTTTAACATATTTAAATAAATCTGTAAAAGGTCACAAAAGAGGGATTAGTATAGCCTGCTATTCTTTGACTGTTGTCGCCCGTCCAGCTAGCGGAATCGAGACTGAAGACAGGACCACGTAGATGGGCTGAAGAAGCCACTTCCTGGCTGTGATGATGTGGCTTAGCGCTGACGCAGGAGCTGTTTCGGCACCTTCACAACCGTGCCGAATTACCGGAGAAGCCACCAAGCGCCGAAACAGCCAACCAAGACACGCAAGTCCAGCCTTATAATAGATGGGATCTGCTAAATTCGTTAAGCCATGCGAGCGGGGGCTTAGCTGTAGGGAACTGACCTATGGATTCCTTTCATGGGCCATTGTTGGGAGTGAAAGAGAGGCTTACATGCAGTAAGCCTGGAGGCCGCTTTGATGGTATATCAACGAGCGCGCCGTAGACCTGCGCCAACATTCGGACAGCATCAAACCATCAATTGATTAGCTGACCGAGATAATTTTACACACGCCATTCTTTCGACCGAAGCGCCTCGCTGCAATTAAGCACGATGGGCTTGTTTAACAACCATCAAGATGACAACACTCCGACGGACTCCCACTCATGCCCAATCCATTCGTTGGATGAAAGTAAGCCATGCAAATGGAACCAAAGGGAAACTCAGTATCTAACGACAAATAGATGCGACACAGCATATAGTTGGCAATCTTGACTTCTACCATCTGAATATGATCATCTCTGGCGCATGTTCGTTGATTGCCATCGTAATAATGCTCATTTTCAAACAAATGCACGCAACGCATCTTTCAAACCCAACCGAACAGGTCAAGTATGATATTCCTGTCAGTGCAGAGATGGAAA